TAAGTATATAACGCATCTTCATAAGCAATGCTGTATGTTTTCTCGGCACATAATATCGGTTTTATTGTTATGTAAAACCGTCATATTAATTTAGTTTAGTTTTAATCAACAGAAATAGTCATAGTATTTTGAATCTAACGCTAAGAAAAATTAGCATATATAACTCCTTAGAATTACATTGTACAAGATTCCGCCCGCGACTCCGTCCGCGTGGAATTAAAAAATTAAAAGTAAGTATCCTATGTGTTCTTCCAGATTATGTTCTCCTCATCCATCTATCTAAACTTTCGCATTTATAACATTAGTATTAAGTAGTATGATGATGTCCCAGTGTCGGTGTCGGAGTGGGTGTCGGTGTCGGAATAGTTGTCGGTGTCGGAGTGGGTGTCGGTGTCGGAATAGGTGTCGGTGTCGGATTGGATGTCGGTGTCGGTGTCGCAGTACGCACCTCGCGCAGTATGTCGCGCAGCACTTGCTGCGAGACCTGGGAGCCGCGCGCCTGCACCGCCGCCAGCCGCTCGTAGTACCGCGCTATCGGCGCATCGTACTCCACGCCCCTACACATATATTTGCTTATTACATTTATTTACTTTACTTATCTACATTAACTATATTTAAAAATCTGTACAAAGCAAAAAAAAAACAAATATTTTGCTATTTATGTATTGTACTTCATTGATAATTAAAATTTCTTAGGAATGAAGTTAAAGTAGGTTTTTGATACCAGTAATGAAGTTAACTGAATAGGTTTCACTCGCGTCTGCTATTATATTATAGTAATTAATTATTTAGATCGAGGAAATTAATACAAAGCACTCTATTACCTCGACCGTTATTTACTCAAACAGTAAGGCTATAAACTTTGCAACTTTATTTGCATATAAAAAAGAATTACTTTCAAAAGTCGGTGTGAACTAATTAGTGATGTCATGTTATGAGATCACCATTTAAAAGCTCAACATAAACATCTCGGCGGCGGAGGACATAAATCTTAATTAATATGTCCAAGAATTATTATAGTAAGAGACTTTTTTATCGCATACAAATAAAAAATATCCTAATGTTATCATGTACAATACAATAATAAACAAAGTCACTAATTTCAGCAATGTTTCAATTTTACAATGTCGTAAATATGTCCTTACATTTATTTGTCACGTCATAATTAAATACCAAAGAAAGTCTATTGTACAAGTGGTAAAACAAAGAACAAACCTGTTCGCACACTCCGTGCGATAAATATCCAATAGCGACAACGAGCTGGGATTGTCCTCCACCAGTCGCATCTGCGGCGACACGGACACCACGCGAGGCACCGTGAAGTGCAGGAATCTTCTGGAAGTTTCCTTCTGCTTGCCTAAATAATGGTTAAGCATCCTCAGGAGCTGGAGAACTCGTTCTTCCCGCCTAGCGTCACCCAGTCCGGAGTCATTGACGACTAAGTATGGGTAGATCTTGCCGTTGTGTCCGCGGATGTAGAGGCGGCGCGCGGACGTGTTGTGTTTCTGCACGATCTCGACGCGGGGCATGAAGCGCGCGATGCGCACGTGGTAGTGCGTGTGTTTGGGCAGCAAGAACTCGCCAGGCAACTCTATCTCTGCCGTTTTCAAGTTAAAGTTCGATAGGAATCTACATTTTTCTTCGATCAGGAATGATCTGTAAGAATTTAAATACATGCTAGTACTTATTTTATACTAGCTTTTGCCCGCGACTTCGTCCGCGTGGTTTTAATAGACAACAGAAGTGAGTAGCCTATGTGTCCTTCGAGACTATCCTCTACGTCTATGCCGAATTTCATCGAAATCCGTTGAGCCGTTTAGGCTACAAGCTCTAACAAACATGCATCCATCCATCCATCTAAACATTCGAATTTATAATAATAGTTAGTGGGAAGTAGGATTAATTAGTGATTATATCGAAGTTTCATTGTAGAAGATACTTACTTGGGTAGAACTTTAGTTTTGGCTTCAAGTATTTTAACCCATTTTCTTAGTTTTTGTATCAAATTCTGCAGCCTCATAGCGTTGGGCTGCGTGAAGTCGAAGTCTGCGGTGAACTGCGTCTTCATCTTCTGGAAGACGGGGTCTTGCACGGTGGCCTGCGCGCGACGCGCCAGGCTCTCTGAGGCGGCTGAGGAGATTGCACCACTTACACTTATTGAAATATTTTCTACACTTACAAATGGAGCGCTTATTACATTCGCATATTAAATATACACTTAATTAAAGTCTGTTTAAAAATATAAATTAATCGCTGAGCACATTTAGCAAGCATACAAGCGAGCAAGGTTACATAAATTATATCAAAATATTTATCAGTTTTTTCGTAGGAAAGAAAATTAATTTGTAATGTATCGGAACGGCGCTAAAATGTTCAATTGTCTGTGGTCCGGTAGTTACTTACGTATTAGCAGGCTGTAAAGGGAACAGAATGTAAGCGTGGTTGTGACTCACTGATGCCGATGCTGATGCCGAAGGTGGAGACGACCTTCTTGACGAAGTTGAGCGTGTGCGGGGTGACGGTGGCGTCGGCGACGGCGGCGCGGTGGTGGAACGCCACAACGTGGCACTTGGCGAGCCCCGCGCGCAGCTGACGCAGCACCTCCTCGTACCAGTTCTCGCGGAACCACACCATCTTAACAACATATCACTCTCTTAATACACAATATGACATTCAAAAAACCCTTGACACCTACGCATCTTCGACGTTAGAGGTGTAATAAAGTTGTTTGAGTATTTTTAAAAAGTAGTACTGATTATATACTATTTAGAATTGCTTTATCATACTAATATTATAAACGCGAAAGTTTAGACGGATGGATGTTTGTTAGAGTTTGTAGCCTAACGACTGAACGGGTCTCGATGAAATTTGCCATAAACATAGAGAGAAGTTTGGAAGAGCACGTAGGCTACTCACTATTGTTTTAATTTCACGGGGTCGGAGTCGTGGGCGAAAGCTAGTATAAATATAATTTGAAAGTTGTACTTGTAAGTTACCTGATCAACGATACCCTCTAGCGAGGAGAGCACGGTGGGGTGTATCTCGCGCTGCAGCTGCATGATCTTGGAGCAGCGCCACATGGGCATGGTGGCCTTGATGGCGCCCGCCTCGCCTGCACTGCCGCCCCCGCCGCCGCCCCCGCTCGTACTAGCCCCCGCACTCTGCTGCGGCTGCTGAAATACGAATATATTGTTTACTTTGACTCAACTGTAAATAATTTTTCGAAAATGCAATGTCTTTAATCGAAATAAAATAATAAACAATTGACAAAAACCAAAAATTAACAGTTGTGCGATTTTTGATTATTTCGCAGCCAATTTAACTGTTTAGTTACACAATTAAAAATCGTGTAGTGTGCGCACCTCCATATCGGCGCATAAGAATCAAAGCGAGACAAAACAGTTGCGCGATAGTTCAGTTTCAGTATTTTTTTTGTTGTTTCATTCCCGTTCATTAGTTAATCACTTTCAATACGACATTGTTAGTTCACAAAATTACCAACTGCCATACAACCCTTTTCCGGTTTACAATACATAATTTATATAATGTGTAACTAACAGCAGTGGAGGTGGAGGCGGCGGAGGTGGAGGCGCTGGAGGTGGAGGCGGAGGTGGAAGCGGTGGAGGCGGCGGGCTGGTGCGTGTTGGTGTTCTCCGCGGTCTTGTGCCTCTCGCGCTGCTCGATCTTGAGCGTGAGGTAGAGCGTGCGGATGGGGAAGTACACCGCCTGCGGGTACAGCCGCCCCACCTGTAACAGATACATACCATATAAATTTAAAATTTTCAAAAGATCACTTAACTATAATGTCAGTTTTTTCTGAATTTTATCTTCTTAGGCTAAACAAAACATCAATAACACCATAAGCTCAGAATATCTCTACATTCCCAAGCTCTTAGCCCACCTTATATGACCAGGCTTAATGCTGATCGGTTGACAAAATATCACGAAAGAATTTTTAACATTGGCTTAATAGTTTTTGACCTATTTCAAAACGTACAAAAAAAACAAATCTTTCTTATTTATAATATTAGAAATATAGAATAGAGTAAATAGTAAATAAAAATAATAATAAAAGTAATTGAGGGTATACTAACATGGCTGAGCAGGTTGAGTATGACGTTGCCGTCGTATTGCACGATGCAGGCCAGCAGCTGCGGGATCCAGGGCAGCCACTGCACCGGCGGCACGCCCACAGAGTACTTGTCCAGCGCCTCCGCCAGGCTGTTCTTCTCGTCGTCGAAGCTCAGCATCCACAGCACCTAATTCACAATTAACAACTGGTGTAATATCATCCGCTATACATTATAAAAACATTATTTGACTACATTCTGTTAAACTTTAAATTGCAAATATCAAAATTCAAATTCCGAAATGACAACTAAGGCCATCGCCTAAGACTTATCGTTACTTTGGCAATTTTGCTTATTTGCTGTTCGTAGTTTTCATCCCATTCCCCTAAAGCATGTTTGAGGTGTAGGGCTTTTTATAAAGAAAAAAAAAACAAATGTGTTTTGATAGATTAATGTTTTTCTAGTTTATAGAGTAGCTAATAAATACCTTAGCGCAGTACTTCCTCGATTTAGATTCATTCTGATGGCGGCAGGCGTGCAGGAAGCATGTCATAGCCGACACCCCCACGGATATCTGCCGCGGGTCTCTTATGAATATCTGCTCCAAGTAATCCCCCCACAAGGCCCAGGCCTTCACCAGCGTATCGTGCAGCTGTACCGCCGCCGCGAACGCTTTGTTCGCATCTTCCGAACGTCCGAGCTGCGCCAAAAGTAAACCTTTGAACGCATAAAACTCCGCCGTCATCTCCTTTGTGAAGTATTTGAAGTTGGTGGACTCTATCATCTCCAAGCCTTCGGTAAGTTCATCTCTTCCTTCAGTCCACGACATCTGAATGTGGCACTTGACTTGCTGTCGTATCTTCTGGAAGCAGTCCACTATCGGGACACTAGGTATCGTGTAGATACGGTGTAGGGAGTCGAGACATACGCCCGATAGGTTATGCTTCCTTGCTATTTTCGCAAAGTGTATTATTGCCTGAAATAAAAAAATTAAAATAGTAAAATAGTAACTATTCATTTTTTAAGAATTGATGTCATCATGCCATGTATGGTTAAAAAAGGTAAAAAAAGTACTGTAAGACTAACCTGAGCGCTGGCGTGCACGCCAAGCATGCTGTGGTTGGAGGCGTGGTCCGTCTGCGAGTCGTAGTGCGAGGCTATGAACTGGTAGTGGTGCTGGCGCCAAGTGAAGATGGCGCCCCAGTGCGACAACGGGTCCGCCACCACCGGCAGCCGATTGCGCCACGTCTTCACGATCGCCTTCATGTCGTGCAGCGACGTCGGACGACTGTGCAGCAGACCCTGAACACAACATATTAAAATTCATATAGTTACATTGTAAGTTAATATTCAGAAATATTGAATTGTGATATAGACTAGCAAATTGGTCCTTTCTGTCGTATTGCACCGTCTTTTAAGTTCACACACGAACACTGCTGTGAATCCCGCTTTCTAAGCAAGATAAAGTTATAAGGATTAATAGGAATAATCTTGTTAATATAAATGTGAAAGTTTGGATGGATGGATGGATGTTTGTTAGAGTTTGTAGCCTAAACTGCTGAACATATCTCGATAAAACTTGGCATAGATGTAGGGCATAGTCTGGAAGAACTCATAGGATAATTACTTTTGTTTACTTCTAAATCCGACGAAGTTGCGGGCGAAAGCTAATGTCTTTATAGTTTTTGTATGTGAGGAGTGTGAGGAGTGTGAGGAGTGTATGGTGTGTGGTGTACGGTGCACTGACTGTGTGTATCTGCGCAGCCTCGCTGAGCTCCATGAGCTGCTGGGGGGCGCGCAGCAGCGGCAGGTGCGCGTGCGAGACGAGGCGCGGCAGACGGCGCCACTCGCGCAGGCACTGCGTGGCCGCCGCCTCCGCGTGCCGCTCCACGCCGCCCAGCTGCTGCTCGCCGCCCGCGCAGATGCACAGGTAGCCGCGGTACAGGTTCACCAGCCACGCTGCACGTATATTGCACACAAATATTTAAAACAATCTATACCAATATTATAAAGAGGAAAGATTTCTATTTTTGTATCTGAAATATCTATTTATAGTGTAACAAAAACTATTGGGCCGATTTTAAAAAAAATTAAAGATTTTAAAAATTTCAGTGTTAGAAAGGTAATTTATCTGTGAATACCGTCTGTGTGAGTATCGGTAAAAATGGCAACGGACTCAATTCTTGTCAAAACTCGGATAAAAAGATTTCATTTTTATCTTAACAATTTATATCACTTTTTTTAGAAAGGGAAAAGAAAAATGATAAAATTAATAGGGATTACATTATATTATTCTACCTAATTCTTTAGGACATCCATATTCCACTTCAGCGAGAGCTTCCTTCATGGTAGGCCAGTTGGGATTCCTCCAAGAACTTTCTAGAATCAAGAACGGATCTCGACCACCTCGCGTTACGCCGAGCTCGAGCAGGGAGTCCCACTGGTTCAGTTCCTTCGCGCATTTGATCCAGTGCTGGGTCCAGAGGCTGCACTCTTTATGCATGCTGTACGAAGACTGGTTGGCTAAGTACTCTTGTTTTAATTTAGCCATGGCGACGTCGTACGCCGCCTGCGCCTGCTCAAAGAAGCCCTGTTGCTCGTACGCTATAGCGACGGTTGTCTCTCGGTACTTGGCGTGTTTCTGCCACAGCCCCGACCACATGTCCTCCTCTTGTAGCAGCTCGTACATCTCCCCCAATGAGTCCAGAATCTCCTGTAAATCATAATAATATAAATGTAAAAGGATAAATGTGTGGATGTTTCCTAATGTATATCTATTTTATATAATTTCCCTGTTTTAAAATGCTGATATAAAAATACTAACCGTAGACGTAATACTTTCGCTTTCGTGATCATATATTTCGAATTGTTCACGCTGCGCTCGACCCGCTGCATGGTCGACTGCCATCTGTTCTAGATTCAACGTCATACGATGCCATAGATTGTGCGTTTTGCCCAGATACTTCATCATTGGTCTGTAAATTAAAACACAATATTTCATAAAAACACATATAAAAGCGTATAAAAATAGTTAATAGTAGTATACTAACGGTTTCATAGTTAAAGGTGGATTACAGCGAGCCAACGCCTCAACAAATGTGTTGAGCGCACTGAGCGGCTGGTCGCGCTGTATCACGTGCACGCCGGATATCAGGAATGGTATCGCTTCGGACATTACAGTCTGAAAAATATCATCGCAATGGGGATGTTTCCTAATGTTACAAATCCAAATAAAGTTATGTTTAATATTTTAAAGACAGCATTTTATAACCTATAATAACATTTAGAGACCTTGAATGTTTGTCTCAAATTAAATATAAATTAAAAACGTTGCAATAGTTTGCCATTACTCGATCTCAAACACCAATGACGTCACTTTCTCGCATATAACATGGCAGTGTGACCAACTTCAGTAAATGTCAGTGCATTTTGTAGTTATATATTTTTTTAAATGATTATAACAATTGAGTTTTCGTGTGTTATATTATGAGGACTCCATTATTAAGTGTTTTTATATTTACGACATATTTTACGAGCAAATTTTCGATCAATATGACGAAAAAAATAGTAAAAGTTATTTGAGTAGCTAATATTCAAATTTGACAGACCGCGACACGAGGTTTGTAAGCAAGAAAGTGACGTCATGAGGCGTTTTCGCGGTCTTTGGAGAAGTTGTTTTTAGTTAAGTGTTTTTGTAATAAAATGTTGCGTATATGATTTTATTATATTTTTTTTCATATTCAGATACGGTTTATCTACATAATAAAAGCAATTCCAAAAATTAGGAAACATCCCCATTAAAATGCAATTTCTTGACAACACTTTTTAAATCCATCAGGATTCTGTAGGTCATTATTAATTTGAGAAAACAGTGTTTTTTTTAATTCACGAGTTATAACTATAAATCTATCGATTCTAACTTCTATAAAAATAAAAATCGAAAGAATCATTAATTTACACAACCCATCCCTACTAAATTGACAAACTAATCTATCTTATAGACAAAGTATAATGTTACATCAAGTTGTCGTTCATCAAGTGCGCTCCATATTTTGGGCATGAGGCGCAGCCAGACGTGGTGCGCCAGCGCGTCCTCCATGTGGCAGAGCTGCGCCGCCGCCGCCACCAGCTGCTCCGTGCGCACGCGCCCCGCCATCTCCAGGAACTCCGACTGCGTCGCCACCATGCGGTTCAGCGCTCTTTGTCTGCACACACGTTAACATACAACACCTACTGCAGTCACTCCTGAGGGAGCCCTAGAGAAGGGTTACTCATAAACGAGGTTTAGGCTAAGCGACATCTGAGCTCGACCACCTCAAGCCCGGTGAATCTGTAAATGCATCTTCAAGGAAAACAGTGGCGTTCAGTCACAAAAAGCACTAGACAATTTATAGTAAATTACGACTATGAGTGTAGATTTCAGACACTAAATCTACATTTAGGGAGACTACTGAATGCAGCATATAAAATGCCATAAAAAATGATTTAAAAATAATAAGAAGAGAATCAAGTGTTAAACGTAACAATGATTGTTACCTGTTTGGTACATTCTTGGTCAAATCATCTTTCTGATTAGAATTGGAATCTAAATCCATATCCAGTACATCCTCCTTGTCCGTCTCCATAGTTTCACTGAAGCCTTCTGCGGACTCTTCCTTCACAGAGTTGTACACAACAAAAGACTTTCGATCTTCACTAGTGCCCAGATTTATAACAGCGGTTATGCTGGGAACTAAATACTTGGCGTTGGAAAGCCGAATTTGGGTGCCTAGAAAAAAAATAAAAATTAAATGATTCTATTGTAATTATTTTATAGTTTACAGTCGACATATATTAGAAAAAACACAAAAGTATTTATTTATTAAAGTACATATCAATAAAAAATGTCAAATACTCACTAGAGACACAAGTAACAAGTAGTAACTCAAGGCACTGCTTGATCCAGTAGTGCTGTCCGATGTACTCCCAGTTCTGCGTGCAGAAGATGTAGAGTAGGCGGTCGAAGATGCGCCGACGCACGCTCTGGTCGAACACCTCGAAGAACTTGGCGCGGATGTGCGGCTGCGGACAGCGCAGCCCCGCCAGGAACGCCGGCTCCAACTTCATCGACAGCTCCGTCATCTTCAAATGTTCATCTCTGAAATACAAAAACATTCATTAGTTTTGTAAACAATTTTTTTTTAATTTAAATTATGAAGATAGGTGTAAAATATTGAATATTCTGTTGCCCTTATATTACCTATAAACATAATTAATGATGTCGAGGAAGTGTCCATTAAGCTCCAGGTCATCTGGGAACCGCTTCTCGACGTACTGCATTAGTTTGACAAGCAGGATGGACTTCTCCCGCAGCGAGGGAGCGCCGCCCGACGCGCCCACGCCGCGCCACTTCACCCAGTCCTCCACCATGCGGATGATGGCTCTCATCACCTACATTACCAATATTTTAGAATTATGTATGATAAAAAAAATTAAAACGAAACAAGCAGGAACAAACATTACCTTAGCATCGGTAGTCTTTTCAATTAATCCAACAAGAACAGTACCGATAAACGTTTTTCTTGTCTCCCCAGGCATCACTGAGACGCGAGCTTTCAGGAGATCTAGTGCCAATATCTGAGGAAAACAATCATAAACAATTAGCAACTACACATATTAATCTAGTTAGTTGACTGTGCATGTGTGGAAAACGTATATTTACAAGTAAATCTGATGTGGCTGCATCAGGGTTAGGTGCGACGTGGTCGCGCAGCATGCGCTGCAGCACGCGCATGAGCGGCAGCAGCAGACGGTCCACGTAGCCGGGGCTGGAGGCGCAGCACGCCTTCAGCATCATCAGCGGGCCCAGCAGCGCGCCCGCGCCGCTCCCCACACCAGACTTCTCGTACGTCGCCAAACCCTCGAACGCGTATTTGCTCACACACGCGTACAAACTCTCCAATTCTTCGAACTGGAAAAAGATTTGTTTTTAATATTTTCCATCTATACTATACTAATATTATATATCCAAAAATATAAACATGAAAGATTTATATTTTTGGATTTTTGTATGTATTTGATTCACGTAAAAACTACTGGACTGATTTAAAAAATTCCTTCACCGTTAGAAAGGTTTATCTGCGAGTAACATAGGCTATATTTTTTAATTTCACGCAGGTGAAGTCGCGAGCAACAGCTAGTATTTTATAAAGCAAGACTTGTTCACGCTACCAGATAAATACGTAGTAAATTACCAGCTTCACAATATGTTATAAGTAAATATGTAAAACTGTGTCACAATAGCAAATAAAAGCGTAAATACCAAAAATAATTCAATTAATTAGCGGCGACTTAGTTACCTTGGAGGCCTGCGCGGCGCCCGAGGGCTCCGTGGGGAATAGCGCGGTGAGTTTGGCGAGCAGGTTGTGCATGAGGCGCACCACCTTGGGGTTGGTGGAGGCGACGCAGGCGGCCAGCCCGCGCTGCAGCGGCTTCAGCGCCACCAGGCACTGCTCGCGCCGCAGCACGCCCAGCAGGAACGTCAGTAGCTCCAACGCGGTGCAAGCGTTAGCGCATGATGCTACGTTAGTGTCCGCTGTTGCGAACACCTACCAAAAAACAAAATTACATTTTAATACGGACCAAACAATAAGGTTACGAAAAAGAGATGTGATGATGAGAGATGTGATGAAGATGATGTGTAAGGGCCTGTCCCACTACTGGATGATAGAGGCTCAAATAGCTCAAAAATGACGTCACTGTCGAATAAAGGAACAAAATCCAATATTTTCATCACATATTTTACACGTTGGATTGTTATCAGACAATTTACAATTTGGTGGGACGGGCCCTTAATATCTAAACAAATAATTGCGTGATACCTTATCGAGCCAGGACAGTTTAGGCTCGCAGAGGTGCGGCCACACGTCGGGTTTGAGGGCGGTTTTAAGCAGCAGCACGCAGCGGCGCGACAGCTGCTCGCCGGGGGAGCCGCCCACCGCCGCGCTCGTCGCGCCCATCACCAGCCCGCTGCTTACTACTGGGCCCTCGTTCACCTACAATATCAATGAAAATATGAAAAACTGGCTTACTTAAATCAAAATTAAGTAGCCTGTGTGTTCTTCCTGACTATCCTTTACAATTAACAACAGTAAAGGAATGGAACAAGTCGCCGACCACAGTGTTCCCGTCCAGTTATGGCGTGGGTGCCTTCAAGACTTCAAGAGCAGGGTTAATCGGCACTTATTGACCTAGCGCGCATCTATCCTTCAACCACGTGTTCACTTAGCTTAGGTGGAATCGAGGTTAAGCGCTGGTTTATATAAAAAAAATGCGAATTTTCGTCGAGAACTTACTAAACTTGTGCATTTATAAAATTAGTAAGAATAATAAAAAGGTAATAAGATAAATTTATGTATCTTAAAATATTATACAAATTTCGTTGCGTACCTGACAGGCGAGTCTCAGCAGCAGGTTGACGACGATGTCGACCTGTGCGCGGTCGAGCGGCTTGGAGATGTCGGGCTCGAGGCGCGACGTGCTGGCCTGCGGGCTGGCCCAGCCAGTGTTGAGCGCCTTGCGCGCCTCCCCGCCGCTCTCGTCCACCGACACGCGCTTTACAGCGCCGCTTGGAGATGTCGCAACCTATGTGAAAATTACGTTATATTTGGGGATTTCCAAAATATTATTAACTCGCTGTTCCCGTGCGGCTTCATCCGCCTTCATACCAATTAACTTACTATTGCAATCTTGCTTCCTTATTGGCAGCAGCTTATGGTCTCTTTTCCACATTGGAGTTTTTATCCGATTTATTTACCCCTTAAGTTTAATAGCGTGAAAATATATAGCCTAAAGCGTGACGTAAGTGTAGGGCTTACTATCAAAGAAAAAATTATTCAAAAATATGCTGTGATTGCTGACATCTTACGCCACAAAGTAGTGTGTTTACGCTTTATTATATTAGTATAGAAGTATAGATTATAGGCAACGTGTGCGTGTAATGAATACGTACGACAACGGTGTCATCGTGGGCGTGGTCGCGGATACGCTGTAGCTCCCACTTGAGCGCGACCTCGGCGAGGTCGACAGCCAGCCGGCGCTGCTCCGCCGTGGCGGTGGAGAAGCCCAGTCGCTGCATCGCCGCCACCATGTGCGCCACCAGAGCATGACGCACCGGGTAATACACCTAACAAAGATATAACACAATAAGGGTAAGGCCTGCCCCACAATTATTTTTGAATTACAGATAACAATGTAGCGCATAAAATATGTGATGGAAATATCGGATTTTAATACTTTATCTGATAGTGAAGTCATTTTTAAGCTATAGGAACCTCTATCAGCCAGTGGTGAGACAGGCTCTAAATCTATTCTCAAGAGGAATGAATTAATTTAGATTTTTTAATACAGCATCAAAGTATGACAAGCTTACCTTATAGTGCCTAACAACGAGTTGCAGTATATGGTAGAGCTGCTGCGTGGAGTGTCCGTCTTCGACGATGATCTTCTTGGTCCAGTGCGTGAGCATAGTGTTGCCGTCCTCCATGCGCTGCGGCATCGCGGGCGTGAGGATCTCCAGCGCCTGGCGCACCACCACGCGCGCCTCCAGCGCATGCGCCTTCAGCAGACTGTGGAACACTGCAACACGAACTCGCATTACTATACTTACTATGATATGATATACAAGGAAAGTTTACCTTTACTTTTACATTTACAATAAGTTTTTTTTTAACTGTCATAAAATCGTTGTTTTGTGTAATCGTGTGTAACTGAGAGTCGCTAGGTTTAAGGTGAGCACTTAATTTGTTAGAACTTACCTTGCAAGACAATCCGTTTGTGGATCGCAAATTTAGCGATGATGTGACTCAGCAATAAGTGACCGTGATACCTGTTCATTAAAACAAAAAATGTTCAGTTAAACAAAAACCATTAAAGAATAGAATAGAATTAATATTGTCACAAAAAAACAAGAAGAAAGAGAAGAAATATCACGAACTTATTCTAAAGACATAATAGTACACAGTGTTTCGAGTGTGAATATCATGGATGATGTGTAGCTCTAATACTGTACCTTGTAGCAGGATCTACATAGTTCTTGCCGAGAAGGCAGGGCCAGGCAAAGGTCATGAGTCTGCGCAGCTTGTTGCCCTGCTTCTTGTTGTTGGCGTCGTGTATGTGCGCCGACGCCTGCTCCAGCAGAAGACATGCGAACTGCAGCAGCGATATGCGCACGCCGTCCGAACATGCGAACGGATTCTCCGGGTCGATCACCTGACATACACATACACAGAAAATATAACAAAAGTAATTTTTAAATTACAGATATTCTAATAAACACGACCGTCCTGGATACTAGAGAAACCCATCGGAGTGAAGAAATTCTACATAAAGTTTGTTTTAGCCATGCAAATTTTTTTTTTATTGTAGTAAAGTGGTAAATCAGATATTATTACTAAGTATAAAATGTTACACTAACATTGTTAATGAAAACCGACACGACGTTATCCATATTGTCCTGGTAGGGCGCGGGCAGGCCGCCGACTATCTTCTGTCCCTTTTCAAAGCTGACGGCGAAGCAAGGTATTAGTATCATCTGAAGAACTTTGGCCTTGAGATCCTGCGACATGGCGTCGCCGGGGAAATGCTCCACAAAGCGGAAGAAGGCGGACCGCTTCCATTCTATCGTATAATTCTGTGCCACCGTGTGCTCCAGGAAATCACGTAGAAACTACAAACGAAACAAGTTTTATTAGGTAAGTAATTTTCTAAATAAAAACTCAATTATTTAAATGTAACACAATATGACACAAACCTGGAAGTCAGGTATGAACCGGTCGCACAATGCTCGCAGCAGTTGGAACAGCAGATCAATGTTAGACGGGTGATGACAGAAGTAATGTAACAAAATCTTCACTATCAATTTAGGTTCTTTCCAATGGGTACAGTGGACATTCTCAACTTTTTTATGCATTTCCTGAAATAAAAAAAAAAGTATTACACTATGAATCATAAATAACAATAACATGTAGTTAGAATATGAATCCAATGCTGAAAGTGGTCAAGTTATTAGGTCTATCTTAAAACATCATCGTATTGCTTTGAGTATAAGGAAATGGACTAGACGTGAATTCAAAAAGCAAATTCTTATGTATATGGAGCCAAATTAAAAATTCTTACATGATAGCTATCACTGCACCAGATGTTTTTAAGTAATTCTATAAGATCGTGTTGCGCCGACAGCCATTGATCATCATATTTGATAAGTAAGGATATAATCCTTATGGCTTGGAACTGCATCTCGTTGCGTTCGGTCTGGGTGGCTGTAGCAGCTGCGGCTGCGCTGTTGTTGACCGCCAGCAGCTGCAGCAGGCGCGGCTTCTTCGGTGTCTGCAGAGCTTCGCGGATCGCCAGACCCGCGTCCGGGTGCCTCATGAGGTATATTATGAATCTACTCCACTGCTGGTGCTTGATGTTGATGTCATTCATCAACAGATCTAGTGTTTCCTTTGGATACCTAGACATACACAAGCATATTTGAAAAAATCTGTAAGAACGCATTTATTATTCAAGTTTTATTTTTGTTTTTGGATATGTAAGTACTAGGTTTTTATAGGCTATGCTCTACATCTGTGCAAAATATCAGCGAGATCCGTGAAGCCGTTTTGGAGAACGCTAGTAAAAAACATACATCCAAATATTCACATTTATATTACTTACCTTAGAAGAAATTTAACTAATGGTTCTCTGAAAGGAGATCCGGCTTCGACTGACAGCGACTTCTCCGCGTTCAACAAGAGTTTGCACAGAACTTCTATGAAGCGCGGCGCCGCGGCGGGGATTTGATGAAATATACCAACCAGAATCACTATCTTCTGCTCATTGTCCATATTCTTTGATACACTTTGTAAGAAGTTGCCCCCTGTAAATACTTTATCCTTAGAATTTACCTAATGTGTATGATTAGAAGTTAGAGAATTGAGACATTTACTGAACAACTTATAGAGAAAATATATCTGTCATGGGAGTTAACAACATTATGAATAATTGGCAAGACTAAAATGTTATTAACATCTTTCAATCTTACCATGAATGTCTACAGACGGAGGACCTGGTTAACAACATAGTGTTATAGTTATTGATATATTAAAGTTAATTATCTTTAAGAGTCCCGTTTGTTTTTAACTATGGTAAGCGTACAAACATGCTAATCTCATACCTCTATTTGTGTGAATTGAATAATCCAATAACTTCCTGAGCAACTGCAGAAGTTGCTCGCAGAGTTTTTCACTGAATGTGGAGGGGAACAGCTGCGTGAGGTAGGAGAGTCTCTTAGCACCGTTGACACTCAGGTTGCGGTGATCCCCCAGCGTCAGCAGCAAAGGCCTCATCACGGGGTGAACCATCTCCATATCGATTTGGAAGCCCGACAGGAACTTTTGCATACATTCAAATCCAGCCTGTATTAACAAATAATAAAATTCAATAAGACCGAACAAAAATACGGGAATACTTGAGATTCTTGTTGCCACATTATGGCCACTGTTACAGTTTAATTTAAAAACACTCATCTAAACAAAGAAATATGTTACCTGCTGTAATTCCGTATCATTCTTTTCCAGAGCTTTGTACAGCACTTGGAATATCTTCTCTCGGCAGGGCTTCTCCTGTATGTAGTGGCAGGAGGCGAGCGCTCGCAGCGCGGATATCCTGAGGGGCACGAGGTTGACGCCCTTGTAGCACGGCAGCTTGCCCAGCATCGCGTCCTCGCCGTCGCACAGCGATATCAGCTCGCGGAAGAACACCTTGTGCTCGTTTATATTCAAATCTATCGAAGGAAAGTTTAGATAAGACATTTATCTGTTTCGTTTAATTTAAAATTAAATACTGCATTTGTTAATAACAACTTTTATTGTTTCATAATATAAATAAAGTACCTATTGTAAACAATCTTGGATTCAACGTCGTGCAAAATGTAGTGCCGTCCATTAGTCCCATCTGTGCGTTCGCAGGCTGATGACGTAATAAATGTTTCTTTGGTGGAATTATATCGGCTATCGTCTCCCTGTGTGGGTCCATAACTTCCGTCACAGTCTTATTTTGCAGCTGAGCAGTAAGTTCCAATGATTTCATTGACTGCAATAAAAAATAACATTTAGCATTTCAAGTGAAATATTAAATTTTAAATAAAATGATTCGTAACAACTTTAATTAATTCAAATTACCTGTTGGCGGACTAACAAATGTGGACTTGTAATTTGTAGCACTAACTCCTGCAGCACGTCGTGCAGTGCGCGCGTCTTGGCGGCCGCCACCTCGGGCTCCAGCTCCGGCTGGCCGCTGGGGCCGCTCACGCACACCCGCACGAGACGCTCCAAGTTTATCGTCGCCATGTCTATAGCGCCAGACGACACTTCTCCCGTCAAATCCATCATAACGAACAGCACAGCTTTTAAGAATGTGAACACGTGCTTGTAAACCCATTCTGGAGCCATCTTCTCCAACATAAACTTGACGGCGATACACCCGCCCAACTTTGCGTACCACGCACGCTCGTAGCACAGGGAAGACATCCTTTCTGCTAAGTATTCCATGAGCGGCAAGCGACAGGCGCGCTCCTTACTGCCCAGCACTGTGGCGGCCGTCTCGATTATAAGAACCAAAGCTAAATGTCCAGGCTTACATAGTTCTTTTTCTTCGTGTCCCATGACGACAGCTATGGCGTCTATCAAAACCAACGCATCGAGTCCTTCCTTTGGCCCTCCGGTGCCAGCGAAAGGACCAGCTTCCTGAGCGATGGCCACCAGGGTGTAATGACGCACGAGTGATACCATCGTTGACAGCACATGTTGTCGTAATTCTTTGATGGCCGCTGCTACAAACATACCGGTGAGAGCTGTTCGGTGCGTGTTCCTCACGATTGAATTGCTACATTTGTAATATGGACCATTCTGTGGCGGTATTTTACCATCCACGAAACTGGGATGATTCAATAGCTTGTACAGGGTCGCTCTGTCGTCATCCAAGTTCAGCGTAGCCGCTAAGTAACAACGAAGAACTTCCCAACATTGTCGGCGGTAGTAAGGTTCGGTGGTACTAGACTTCAGCGCTGTGAATGCTGTCTCTATAATTTTATCAACTTCAAAATCTATCGGTTTAGATTGTTCCTGGAAATAGGCAAGGACCGCGGGCGGAGGAGCGTCGGTCTCCCGATACTCCAGCCTCTGCGGTTCTATCATCATTTTTCTGTTGCCGCCACCGAATTTACCGAGAACTCTGAACGCAATTCTTGCAACTTCATTATTCTGCAAGGTTCGCCACAGGGCCTGCATGAGGTCCGCCCTTACCGGTTGTATGTGTTCGTACAAGAAGTCAGGTTGCAGATTGTCAACGCAGAGTTCGAGAGTGCGTAGGCCCTGCGATATAAGCGTATGGGAGCCGTTGAGCGCCGACACCAGGGGATCCATGAGCATTGGTAAATAAGGCAATAGACTGCTTAATCTGACAGGTACAGTCAAACACAACTCCACAAACAGATCCTTCATGTGCTGCTTGTGAAGGCCACTTTGCAATCGATTGAGCCCTTCCAATAGATTGGGCAGCAATGGTAAAAATTCCTGATAAAGTAAATCGTGGCTTCCGCCTCCTATGGAGCGGAAAAGTGCTCGCAATAACAAGAAGTAGTTGTACGGCTCCTTGGCTGTCATTGCGTAATCCATCGCCTTGTTCACGATGCTATGTAAGTGCGGCCGAAGCATCTGTTCGTTCTCCGTAGGAAACAAGCTGACTGAACCAAACACCAGCTTGAACAGCCTAAGGTACAAATTTGAGCGCTCAACATTCGTACCCATTTCTTCCATTCTCTTCAATAAGTATTCGACTAGGACTGTCGCGAAAATCGGTGATGTCGCAGGATTCGACAGGAATGTGTTTGCTATTAATTGTAATGTCATGTTCTTATTAATTCTCTCGACCATATGAGATATGGTTGCTGTGAAAATTTCTTGAAACGTTTGAGGATTCATCATAGAAAACTAGAAGAGAGAAAATAAATCACAATTAAAGTACACACAAAAATACATTAACTTATTCAAAAAAAATGTTCATAACATGCTTTGATTAAATGCAAATACATACGAGTTGACTGTTCACTGTTTTCGGGGTAGCATGAACCTTACCGAAAATCTCACAATTTTAAGTTAAATATTACATCGACACAAAAAATTACATATCTTAATTTAAATTAAATGATAGACAAAATACTCACGATTCCACTGAAGTGCTCGAGCACCTCCTTCTCCTCCTTAGAGCGGACGTGCGGCTGCGCGGGCGGCAGCGCGGGCGCGCGCGGCGCCGCCAGCGTGTAGATGTCCAGCGACTGCAGCCCCCAGCGCACCAGCCGGATGAACACCAGCGTCTCCCGCGAGCTGAACTGCTTCTGCGCCGCGCCTGCGCCCGTAGCCGCCGCACCCGCCGAGCCCGCCGCGCCACCTGCACCCGCCGCGCCCCCCGCGCCCGCCGCACCCGTCGACCCACCCAGCGAGCTCGTGCTCGCGACCTCGCCGCCGGCGCTTCCCTGCTGCTGGGCAATTTGAGTATATTGCACACTACACATATTACTCCTTACTTAACATTTTCAGATCGAAGTATGTTTCTACTACATATGTCCAGAACGGCTAGACACGGATCACTCTGAAATTTTAAATGTGGAACATAGTCTTGAAGAACACATAGGCTACTATTTTTTTTTCGCGCGGTCACAGCTAGTTGAACCATATAGACACTAAATTCTGTTGAAAACTTAACTTAGATTAACTAGGAAAATCAAGATTGATTTGACTCACTTTGCAGGCGGCACATCCCCATGTTATAGTTTTGGCGCCACAGACTAGTGTTTTAACTAACGTTCTGTAGTCTCCGACATTGAGGTTGTTTAAATACGAGTTAGGAAATCCTATCTTGGATTTCTCTTCAGGCTTGTTAATACTATCGAAGTAGTCTGGTGTAGTTTTATCATCGTCTAGTCTCCCTTCAGTGGTTGTGGTGGAGGTGGAGGTAGATGTGGAGGTGGAGGCAACTGGCGCCGGAGTCGTCGGTGTACTCGGCGTTGTACTGCTTGCAGTTACTGTTGTTTGTTTGCTAGAGGAACAATAAGTTTACTATCAGTCTGCACTGAAGGCGGAGCGTACACCAAAATTCTCTAAGTCGTAATCAACCATACTGGCTAGTGCAGGTTGATTGGCTTCGCAGAACATCAATGAATTTCTTCACTTTAATCAAATATTACATTAGTTGTTATAAGAAACATTGACTACATAGTAAAACCTGCAGTATATGCTAATCTTAAGATTTTAAAAGTATAAAAACAATATGTCTTACCACTTAGCCATGAGTGCAGGCAGCTGCAGCTTGGAGATGGTCTTAAACTTGAGCACAAAGACCTCCAGGATGCGCATGAGGAGCTGGCGGCCCTGCGGCTGCGTGGCCGAGCCCTCCGCCTCCGACCGCTGCCGCACGCAGTCCACCATATTCAGTAGCAGTTTACACGACATTGTCTGAATACTGCAATTATACAGGATAAATATTAATTACTAGAAGATAAAATAACAAAAACTATACTAATAATATAGAGGAAAGATTAGTATTTTTGAATTTTTGTACATATTCGATTCACACAAACTACTGAGCCGATTTAAAAAATTATTTCACTATTAAAAAGGTTATTTATCTGTGAGTAACATAGGCTATAATTTGTATTATTTTTTAATTTCACGCGGGCGATGTCGCGAGCAACAGCTTATGACACACAATACAATCCTAAATAAATCCTAATTGGCTTGAATTAAACAAATCTTGCACATAGTGTAGTTTTCATGACTAGAATATCTATAGTAATATTATAAGAAGGAAAGATTTTAATTGAAATAACTCAAAGCCGCGGGGCCAATTTATAAATTATTACTGTTTTTATTATTTTTTATTTCACGCGGACAAAGTCGCAAGCAACAGCTAGATCATGATAAAGTAAACTTTGTAATGTACCTGGTAGGTAATGATTCATCATGAACATTCTTAGCAAAGAGATGAGCTGCTATAGCCAAGTCAGCTAAGGGCAGGTGCTGTCTCACATGGTGCACCAAGTCAGCCAGTGTAGAGTATGCCAGTGGTCTCAGGGACTCATGCACAGTCCATCCTCGACCCAACAGAACTTCTTCATCAAATAAACGCTCCATGTATGGAACAAATTCTATAGAAAAAAATATAGATAAAACCAATAAACTAATACCTCCCAATCCCATAGCCAAGTAACAGGTGGTTATTGTAAGTGGATGAAACCAAATTCCGGAATAAAAATAAAAATACTAGTAAAATAAACAAGTCTGTTAATACTTTATAAAAAATAATAAAAATGAAACACTTGTATTAGGAAATATAAGCCAATAATATAAAATCCAAATGGTTATATCTTATAGTCCACAACTTTCATTTAATATTCATGACTTGAATAACATCAATGAAAACAAAATCAATAACATTGCTATGGAAATATTATTAACTGATGAACAGTTTGTATTTTTACTTACTTAGTCTTAGGTCTGTGGCCATAACATGTCTAGTAGCTATCACCAACTCTTTCCTCAAATGTGCCACTTCTGGAGGACAAAGAGTTAACAATCCTATAATTCCTTTGACCATTAAAGTTGCATGATTTGCAATCGTGTCTTGATATATTCTTATGATGTATGCCAAAAATGCCAATGTCTTTATCTGGGCACCCATAAAATCCACAAATACTTCTTTATTGAAAGATGCTGATTGCCTGCAAAATGAAAAAGTTTATATTTTATATGTGTTGGAATTTAAAATTTTATATTAATTTGTTAATTTGTTACCTGTGATTGGCAGCTGGTTGCAATGTAATAGTCTCCATAATCAATGGTATAAAGTTGCTAACTTCTTGATGCACATTCTGTTTGTACAGTTGGTACATAAGAACAACAATGATAGGCAGCTCTTGAATCACTTTTAATGATAATACAGATCTAGGTATAAGATTGTACTGAAACAAAAACATAATTGATAAATGGATGATTTTCAAAAGGTTAGCGTGGTATGGACATGTTATGCGACGAAATGATGGGGACATAAACCAGAAAGTGTTAGGATTGAATGTGGATGGCTACAAAGGAAGAGGAAGACCGAAGAAAGTATGGATGGATTGTGTGACAGAGGATTTGCTTAAGAAAGGAGTGGATTCAGATATGACAGCTGATAGAGATGTATGGAAGGGCAGCACATACTGTGCCGACCCTCTGTAAGGGATAAGGGCAAGTGGATGATGAGTATAAATAGATGATTTTCACATATTTAATAAGCAATTTATTAAATTTCTTGATAAAAACAGCAGCATATCTCAGTGGTATTGGACAAGTTATCCAAGGATAAATATTTGGTACTTACTGTAACAACACTGCCATCCATTAATTTTTTTTCAGTGTGTATAGGTGTTGTTGTGTATGTTTCTTGTAAAATCTGAGTAATGTTAATCTCGGAGAGATCTTTAACTCTGATTGTTGGTTTAGGTTCAAATATTTTGGGTAAATGATTTGGCAAATCCGAATATATACCTTTCACCCATTGTAAAAATTTGTGTATCTAAAAAACATTAAAAAATATTGATTATTTGGATTTCAATATGTACAATGTATTATTGACTAAGCAGTATATTGCTAAATGTTATACAATACTAACAAAACTTTATATTAAATATACCTTTTTGAAAAATCACTTATTTCATGCTATCTAAAAATTTGCAACTTACATCTACATCAGTGCTGTACGGAGGTCTGTATTGTTTATGCAATTCCATAAATATCTTTAAACAAACCAACACATTCTCTTCATTTTCAATTTCCATCAATTTCAACATCAAGATTAAAATACTCTTGAGATATGGTCTCAATGTCTCATTCATTGGTAGACGATGTATCATTTCCAATATTAATTTCCTTACTTGTTGAATGTTATACTCAGCAATGAAATGTGGATCCCCATCTTGTAAGATTTTCAAAAAGATTTTGAGGGAATGATCAAGAAATTGTGGGTACTGCGGTGAGTTTAAAATAACCTGGAAATGTGAGGAACCAAAATTTAAGAGTTAATATTTGGTAATTGAAATGAAAACAAAACTTGAATAAGAAAATATTTCTACTCTGGTCTGATGAGTTTGAAGAAACTGAAGGAAAATCTTTGTATCAATATTTTTTAATTTTACAGAGAAATAAAATTAAATAAATAAATCACCTCAAAATTTTCACTAAGCTCTTGGGCAGCTTTGAGTTTGATTTCATCTTTGGCGCCGGGATCGGCCAACATCGTCACATAACTTCTGTATGTGTTCATTTGTGTATGGGGGTCGCTGGAACCCCCAGACGCCATAGTAGTCATCATTTTGTATATATCTATCTACTATTTATATCCGTAAATTCATTAATACTTTAATGATAGACATTACAGTATTTTAAGCACACACCGCACACAAACTTGAAGCACTTTCGTAACATTAGAATAGTTTCACTTTTAGCTATTTTAGAGTTTATGGAAATAAATTACTACCACCTAATGATAGAAGATTAAGAAAAATTAAAACTACATCTTAATTTTTACACAGTGGGTAAGATACAAAAGATTTCTCATATACACCACCCTAACACTACTGCAAAGTAACGAAGTAGTGAAAATGTAGTCAATACTTATAACTGGCGATCAACTGCTATATTGCTGTTGTTGCCTTTACCGTGTAAAGTTTAAGTTTTCTAAATTGCCGGATTGTATTATCAGGCAAATAACAAACATACAGAATAGACCAAGGCAAATAGAAATCACCTCTCACAACACACAAAACCAAAATTGACAATTGACAAACAAAATCGCAAAACCATTAAAATCAATGTGCTGTTATCACAGAATACGTAAATTCTTAAGAGGTAAATAGATAATCTAAAGTGAATTAAAGTACAAAATTCAAAATAACCATAGACCTTTAAGTTTTAAAAATCAACGCTGCTTGAATCGAGGGATGAGAATATAGTTTTCATATAATCAATGATCATCAAAGCACGATAGCGGATGGTTTTAGTAGAAGAGATTTATAGAAAAGCATTTTAATTTTTCTTGTTATTTGCTTAATCAACGTCTTTCTTGAAGGCCGAACGTGAAGTATGATCTTCGCCTGCTGTTGTAAGATCGAATCGAAAAAAACAAAATATTGTTTATTCCATGTCATCGGCATCGATATGTATGCTTTTACATTATTATTGTAAATCTAAAATGGGTTGAATAAGTGATGAAATTAAAGTTGTGTTTGTGAAAACGTGAAGAATTTTAATAATTAGGCAGCTTAAAATGTGAACATGGCTGCTTCATTGACAGTATTAGTCATAACATTTTGGCTTCGGTGCACAATAGTGTATGGATACGAGTTTATATCACAATATCCTATTCATCACAATGAGACTTTTAAATTTTATCACCTTATAGTTGATAAAATTAGTGGCCAAGTGTACGTAGGTTCAGTGAATTGGTTACATCAGTTGAGTCCAGATTTAAAACCGATACATGTTATTCGGACCGGTCCTAAACTAGATAATCCTATGTGCCATGCCAGTGGATGCCCGTCCCCTGACATTCAAACGACGTGGATTGACAATGTAAATAAAATATTGGTCATAGATCAAGAGTCCAGAATAGTGATAGCGTGCGGATCAGTAGCGCAAGGATCCTGCGTTAAATATAAACTGGGGGATATATCTGCGGAACCGGACCCTATTCCGGTGAGTGTTGCGGCAAATGACGCAGAGGCTTCGACTTATGCATTCATAGGCCCGGAAAGATACAACTCCTGGGACCGTTCCAATGTATTGTATGTGGGTACTACTTTTACTAATATTGGAGATTATCGACATGATGTCCCCGCAATTTCCAGTCGCGACCTTATGTCTCTTGAACTGGCGCAGTTCACATTTTCGAAGCAAAGTTTGGTACAAATAGATGTTAAGTACAGAGATAATTTTCTAGTGCAATATGTGTATGGTTTTAATGTAAGTGATTATGCTTATTTCCTAATTATTCAAAAACATTCTCACTTAGCTGGAAATGAAGAACTTGGTTATGTGTCACGCTTAGCCCGCACTTGTGTCAATGATGACAACTATAACAGTTATACTGAGGTTACATTAGAGTGTCATGTTAAGGAGGGAACCATAAACGATAAGATTGAAATTGTCAATTATAACTTAGTTCAGGATGCAAAAATAGCCAATGCCGGTGTTAAGTTAGCAAATCAATTAGGTATTGAAATTGGTGATCCTATTCTTGTTGCATCATTTAGCCCTTCTAAGGGCATCAGTAATGAACCTATTAACAAATCTGCTATCTGTGTGTTTTCCTTACAGGAAATAGAAGTTAAGTTTAATGAAAATGTTCATATGTGTTTTAATGGCAGCACTAAAGCTCGTAACATGGGATACATATCAGGTATGATATCTGATGGTAAATGCCCTAGTGTCGGTTCCACTGGTAATATACTAAATTTTTGTGAAGTTGGTCTTAAAATTAGTGGACTGTATCCTATTAAAACAATGTCAGTAATAAGTTGGAATGACACATTAATCTCCTCTATAACTATGTCAGTAACTGGGTTACACACTGTAGCTTTCCTTGGTAGTAATGATGGAGTTTTGAAAAAAGTACTAATTGATGCAGAGAAATCTTCAGAATACTCAAGTGACGTAATTTTACCAGGACAAAGGATACTTCCAGATACAACATTGTCACCATATCACAAAACTCTGTATGTGTTAGCCAGAAATACTATTGTACAAATACCAACAGAGAAGTGTGCAGAGCATGGTAACTGTTCATCTTGTCTTGAATCAAATGATCCACATTGTGGCTGGTGTTCATTGGAAAAGAGATGCACAGTACAAAGTATGTGTCAAAAGGGCACCCAGAGTGCTCCTAGATGGCTGTCTCAATATACAGGTCAGCAGTGTATTGATTTTGAGCAAATATTACCTGAAAGGATTTCAATTAATGAAATAACAACAGTACAGCTCGTGATTAGAACTCTACCAGAGCTCCCCTTTGGGGCCAAATATAAATGTGTTTTTGGTAATGCCCCTCCAATTGATGCTGCGGTAACTTCCAATGGTTTAGCATGTCCAACTCCTGATATAAAACATAGGCCTAAAATAACACAAGGTCAAGATCATGTTTATGTCCCACTCTCTGTGCATTCTTCAGAAACCAATAAAGATTTTGTATCTCGGAACTTTGCTTTTTATGATTGTGGCCAACATATTACTTGTCACACCTGCATACTGAGTGAATGGGCTTGCAATTGGTGCATTTACGACAATAAGTGTACTCACGATGCTTCTGTGTGTCAAAGAACAATTATAAGTGGAGAAAACAACCCCACCAAGTTGCTTAACCATGGCATTGGCCATTGTCCTAGAATAAGGCAATATAAGAAACCTATATTATTGCCTAATAATGTTCCTAAAGAACTGGAATTAGAAGTGGAAAATTTACCTCATTTGCAACCGGGTCACACAGGTTTTCAATGTTCAGTAAGCATTGAAGTTGCCAACATGATTTTACCTGCTAGAGTTGAGTCAAATCACTTTATTGTTTGTGACAAGACCACTTACTCCTATGAAGAAGATGTTGGTGAATATAATGTCAGTGTTAAAGTAGTATGGAACCACAATCATTATATAGATACAATAAATATTACTTTATACAAGTGTGAAATTCTTGGTTCTCATAGAGACCATGCTGATTGTTCTCTATGCATCACAAGAAATTCTATTTACCAGTGTACTTGGTGTGGTAACTCATGTTCCTACAGTGAATCTTGCCTTGAAAATCCCGTGACAGAATGTCCTAAGCCTAGAATAGATATGATAAAGCCACTAAGTGGACCCATTGAAGGTGGCACAATTGTTACAATTGAAGGGAGTAACCTTGGTTTAAGAGTGGAAGAAGTGACAGGCAAAGTTAGAATTGGAGATGTATTATGTGATATTGTTGACTTTGAAGTATCTGTCAGTATAACATGTCGCACAGGCCCATCTAATGGCTCTGTTGTTGCGCCTGTGATTGTCCAAAATGATGCTGGCTATACAGAGTCAAGTGTTTTGTTTAGTTATAAAAATATAAAACTGCAGGGGATTTATCCTGGACTTGGCCCTGTTTCAGGAGGGACTCAGTTAGCAATTGGAGGGCAACATCTTAATATTGGATCATCAGGTTCTGCATTTTTAGATGAATTACCATGTGCTGTCAACAAAACGCAATCTTCAAATAGCAGGTTAATATGTGTCTCACCAAAGGCAAATACACCAAGGGTTATACACACATTAACAGTTGTTATTGATAATGCTAATAGGACATTATATGGTGATTTGTTTAATTACACAGCAGACCCTACAATCATGGAAATAAAACCATTAAAGAGCTTTGTGTCGGGTGGTAGAATGATAACAGTCCATGGAACAAATTTGCATACCATTCAGAAGCCATTAATGAAATTATATTATGGAAATGAGATATCTCCAATTAATTTCACAGCCTGTGTAGTTCTTAACTCAAATCAAATGGAATGTCCTAGTCCTGCAGTTAACAAGAAATATGACGAGATTTTAATGGCAACTAAATCACAAACAAGCACTCCACAGATAGCAATGAAGGTTGGATTTGTAATGGACAATGTGGAAACTATGCATGACTTAGAGAAATATTTTAATCCACCTAGAACTTACATGGTTTTTGTTGAGGATCCACATGTTTACCAATTTCCCAGTCGCATAAAATCATATAAGGGTGATCCTTTAGTAATAGAAGGCGAAAATTTAATAAGAGCAAGTGATGAATCCGATGTTGTAGTAACAATTGGTACCCAACCATGTAATGTCACAAGTTTGACTATGCAGCAATTGTTATGTACACCACCCGAAATACAACCGTTTAACACTGACGAAAATGGAGTACAAATAAGTGATATTAACTTGCCATTAGTTGTTGTAAAAGTTGGTAAAAACTTAAGGTTCCCAATTGGCTACCTTCATTATGAATTACTACGTAATTATAATTTTCCCCCAGAAGCTATAGCTGGTATTGCTGCCGGAACATTCTTTTTAGTTCTTATATTTATGATAGTTCTAGTTATGTATAGAAGAAGGAGCACAAAAGCTGAGAGAGAATATAAGAGAATACAAATTCAAATGGACACTCTAGAAAGTAATGTGAGGCTTGAATGTAAATTGGCTTTTGCAGAACTGCAAACTGATATGTCTGATTTGGCAGCTGATTTGGAACATTCCGGAATTCCAACACTTGATCATGTCAATTACGTTATGAAAGTATTTTTTCCTGGAGTATCTGATCACCCAATATTAAATGTGCAACGTCAATTTATAAACACTCCACGAACTAATTACGATGCCGCTATGATTCAATTCGAGCAACTGCTGAATAATAAATGTTTCCTTCTGTCATTTATCGACACATTAGAGGCTCAAAAGTCATTTAACATACGAGATAAGGTTAACGTAGCTTCTCTTCTTATGATCATCCTGATGGGAAAAATGGAATATGCTACAGATATTCTTAAATCCTTGCTTCTGCGATTGATCGAAAAATCAGTTTGTAACAAACATCCTCAACTAATGTTGCGGAGAACAGAGAGTGTTGTGGAGAAAATGTTGACAAACTGGATGGCTTTGTGTATGTATTATTATCTTAAAGATTATGCAGGCTCCTCTTTGTTTTTACTGTTCAAAGCTATTAAACATCAAATAGAAAAAGGTGTTGTGGATGCCATAACGCACGAAGCCCGTTATTCGCTTTCTGAAGAAAAACTGTTAAAGGAGCAGATCGATTATCAAATGGTAACATTGCATGTGATTCAGGATGATTTTGACGATAAAATTCAATGTAAAGTTTTAGATTGTGATAGTATATCTCAGGTAAAGTCAAAAATCTTAGACTCTCTATTTAAAAACACTCCATTTTCCATGCGCCCCTCCGTCCACGAAGTTGATTTAGAATGGCGGCATGGCAGAGGTGGTCATGTTACTCTCCAAGACGAGGATGTCACGACAAAAACATTAAATGGTTGGAGAAAATTAAATACTTTGGCTCATTATGGAGTAAAAGAGTCTGCTATCATGTCCTTGATTCCGCGACAGAATGATAGCTTTAATACCCCATATAAAATACCCTGTAAAAATTGTACTGGCATATATTGCTCCAATTCTCACATAAGAGTTTACAATAGCGATATTACTGATCAAAATGTTCATTTTTTTCATTTAGTGAAACCCATTGAGTACCAACATATTATAAATAAATCATCTGAACATAGTCACAAAGCTATTCCAGAAATATTTCTTACGAGACTTCTTTCGACAAAGGGAACAGTACATAAATTTGTTGATGACTTTTTTGGTACAATACTAACGGTAAACGAAGTATTACCTCCTGCAGTGAAATGGCTGTTCGATCTGTTTGATGATGCAGCAAGAGCACATGGCATTATCAATCCGGAAGTCGTACATGCTTGGAAGTCAAACAGCCTACCGTTACGTTTCTGGGTAAATCTGATCAAAAATCCAGATTTTATTTTTGATATAAACAAAACGGCAACCGTCGATTCCTCTCTTTCTGTGATCGCTCAAACCTTTATGGACGCATGTTCACTATCTGAACATAGGCTTTGCAAAGACTCCCCGTCCAATAAACTACTTTTTGCAAAAGACCTCCCAACATACAGAGATATGGTGATTCAATTTTACCAAGCTGTGTCCCAGTTACCCCAAGTTTCGGACCAAGAGCTAAGCACGTCGATGCAACAGCTTTCAGTGGAACAACTGAATGAGTTCGATACACTGTCAGCTCTCAAAGAATTGTACATCTACGTCAGTAAATACAGAGAACAAATTATGCTAGGGTTAGAAAATAAAATGCACTTAGCTCATAAATTAGACAATATAGCTTGCACTATGGAAGGAGATCCGACCTCCATATGCTGACTATATGATGATGTTACTTACGATTTGATTGCATTTACCTAATTTATTTATACAATACATATTTTGTAAAAAGGAAAAGCTTTAATTTATTCTGAAATACTCAGATTTTAATACAGACATGTAAAAAGACTGTAAAATATGAGTTCCATAATTCTAAGTAAAGTTGGTAGCAGATATGACATTATGATTTCTGCGGTCACATCTTGAAATTTAATTTTGGTATTTAGCCTTTAAGTGATTTTGTATTTTAAGGTAATTCATGAACAAATATTGTATGATGTCATAATTTGCAAGTGCTTATAGTTGATGAATATTTTATTGCATATATTCTGTTTAGTAATTTACTAAAAACATTGATCTGATTTATGTACGAGTTATTGTTCTGATTGTAATACCTCTCCCAGTGGCCATATTTCATTACTTATGCCATTTTAAAATTGATTATAATAAGTACCTTTAATTATTTCTTTAATGCATATTATAACTCCCTAAATTATATACAAATTTGGCACTGAACTTAGTTTGTAATGTAAATTATTCACATGTATTGCATCTAACAACATACTTAATGATTTATGTGTAATTATAATAATAAATAAGTACATGTAAAGAGAACTAAGTTTTATTTTAAGGAAATTGTTGTGATATTTGTATTTGGAATATTCATAACGTTTTATGAATTCATATTTTTTACTGAAAATGTTCATAAATAGTAATAGTCCGTTCATGAAAATGTAAATTGTATAAAATATAAATAAATGTTTTTAGCACACTTTCAATGTTTATCACAATGATTTAAATTTATAAAAAAATTACTTTGATACTAAGATTCTCGAATTAATGTCACAATACTTTGATGTAATAGAATACTCACTTGAATCTCTATATTGTATTTCGTAAGTAAAAATTATTTTGATCTCATGTTTTTGTTATTGCTCAACTTTGTGTAAAAAGAGAGGAAACAATATTTAATACGAAAATTACCATATTTAATATTTATTAATGCCGACATCCAATCGTATGGTTAATGTTGTACCGCAATCCATTCTTATCGTTACCTCTCTGTTCAGAATATAGATAAAATTGTGTTTCCAAACATGATGAAGATGTCATTATAATATTCCATCTACAAAATAGTTTAAGACTAGATGTATGTCTTAGATATTAAGTCCGCGTAAATTCACCCGTCTCTTAAAATTTTATATTATTAAAATTAGAAATATACTTATTTATCAATCTTTTGTAATAATTAATTTGAATATGAATGGGTAAACAAAATGCTGTATTATTTATTGCAACATTTATTCAACATGAAATTAACATACATTTTGACAAGCAATCTTTTAACACTGTGAGAGAGACAAAGCACTGCACAGAAACATATCTCTTTATGTGACATGTTTTGTACAGTTGCTTTGACACTTGAAACTCGTGGTCACCTTAGTTCACACTGCACAGTGGCCACGCAGCTCAACCAAAACATAAAATAAGTTGTACAAATTAAATACAATAATCAGGTTAAAATAGACTAACCAAAAATACACGAAAGTTGTGTTCCTTTTATCATAGCGGCGTACCATTAGAATTTTCAAAACAACTTCTTTCATATCATAGTATGTAGTTTATACATACATTTGTAAAGAATTTACACTACCTATCACAATTATACTTAAAATGTCGTATACATACTTAAAAATGCTTCAAGTGACAAAAGAAAATGCATAAACATTAAGTAATAAATAGTACAATAGATTTACAATGCACAATTACAATAAATACAACTGAAACACAATTGTTTCCACACAATCAAAATTACCGTCAATAATCAAGTCAATGAGACAAAAAAATGTAAACGGTGATTACCACTACAGAAACACTAGTTATAAACGTGTTTTTACAAATGTTTCGGCAATGGGAACACACGGTTACAAACACGTTATTACGTCATAACATTCATGTGATCATAGCTACTGCTACTTGAGATCGAATTTGGTCTGCTAATGTAAGTACCACATTCTAAGTAACACAAAGTATACATATTGCAAAAATATGAATACAATAAATAATTCAACACAAGCATACACTTTTAACCAAAATCTATAAACTATTGGTCATAACAAAGGCGTCACCAGTCGATGAGCCAAGCTAAGGGTGGACAGCTTTTATTAATTCGAAATTTTAAATCTACTTTACATAGATTCTCTGAAGGGTGAGTAGTTGGCCCAACGTCGACGACGCCCATGGGTCATAAATAAATTTTATAATTGATATAAAAAGAACACTAGATAAATGTGTCTTCTACGTTAATTTTCCCTAAAGATATATTATTACAAATATCAACCAAAATCTTCACAAACAAGCTAACGACCGATTCAAACATACAAATATGTAATTTTACAAACTATTCAAGTACAAAAATATCGAGATTCACTGCATTATATTCCTTGGAATTCACTTTTGCTACGAATTACTTCAAATTTATTTGACGACAAGCTGGTTCACCAGTACATAAATTCGGAAAACCTTGTTTTATTAACAAAAAAACAAAAGTTCGTTAAAAACCATCTTCAAAATGAAAAGCAAATGGTAAAACAAATTGTCCAATTAGGTATCAGAATTAAAGTAAGTTTAAATTGGAATGTCTCAACTATTTAGATTGGATTTTAAAATTATCTGCCTAAATGTAAAAGGTAATTTTAAATAAATCTCTCACTGTGGCATACTAGAATTTAATAATTATCTTGAAAAAGGTGTCACTGCACTTAAAATACAGTTAGATGCTTTTAAAATCGTAGACACTAACATGTAGTGAAATTAATGTTAATGTGACTTGTGAATATTGAGTTACTAGGAATTTGTTTTCAAAACATTTAATATTGTGTTAGCCAGACCTATATCAAGGAAGTGTTATTTTATTCGTATTGAAAATATAATTAACTATTCTCTTGCGAACATGCTTTGTTTAATAAATATTCGCATTTAACAAACATTCGATAGTTAAATAAAATTACATCAATTAAATATAAAAAGAAATGGAAAGCATTACAAGTTTTACAATTATAAAAAAAAATGTGTAACAAATTAACAATAACCCAATGCAAATCAAACATTTCATTTCTAATTTTCTATAAATTTATCAATAACACGTTAATTATAATACTATATAATCTCTCAAAACTAATTGTGCTATGAATTCTTGTACTGTTTCTAATTTGTATCAATATTCAATCTACAAAAACGTTGCCAAAACAATCGATTTCGGTATCAGATATCACATATTATAAATAAAAATAATGTGCAGACAATATCATAGCAAATGTGCGTAAAACCTAGCACAATCGTTTTCTATTTGACCTTATTTAATCGCTTAATAAAATATGTCAAATAAAATGCATATTGGAATAATCTTAGTGTGGCCAAAAATCTCAAACATGTATATAATATCTTTTTGAACACAAATATTGTCCGTATTACAAATAATCGCAACATATACAAAATTCTACATATTTATATTTCAACTCGATCAACGAGGAGAGATAACAATTTCTATTCCAATGACCAATATATAATAAGTATTACAAAATAATCTTTGTAAAGGCACTTAACAATATATATTTATAATACTACATATAAATTAACGGAATTAATTGAACTTGGCGATTTATCGTATTCAATAACACGCAAATCCACTTTAATGACTAAAATTTTAGTCGAATATTAAAAAGAATTTCTTTATACATTAAAAACATAAATGAAAACTATCGGCTTCAAGCTCTAGGCATTGTAAGAAACCGCTCTATTGCACTCTCTTTAGTACATTAAATACTTTTTTAACTAACACATCTAGGAAACAAACAACTATAACCTAATAAATCGCCAAGGCTATGCCATTTTTGGCGATATAAAATCACCATTAAGTCACAGTTCATTCAAATTTAAAGCAGTGGTTTCCAACCTGTAAACCGCGATGCTTCGAAGAATTTTCGCCAACTTTAAACAAGTTATATCAAAGTCGCGTCAATAGAAGATTGAAAAACACTGTTTTACTATTGTAAATAAAAATAAACGAATAGGCCTTCAAGAATAGGAATATGAATACTTAGAGGTTCTGAGTTTTGTCGAGGGGGTCCCTGTAGATGATGGTGGCGGACTTGATGAGGTCGGGCTCGCGGGCGGCGGCGGGCGCGTCCTTGGGCGCCTTGTCGTGCGCCATGAGCAGGCCGCCCACCAGCCCCGCCAGCGCGCGGTCCAGCCACGTCACCGGGTTGGCGTACACCAGTCCGCCCTCGTAGAAGCCCAGGTGGCCGCCGTGCGACAGCTCCAAGTACATCGCTTTATCGTGTGAACCTACAATGAACGTTATGGAGTTACTATTATACTATACTAGATTTCGCCCGCGACTCCGTCCGCGTCGAATTAAAAAAAACAAAAGTGAATAGCCTATGTATTCTTCCAGACTACCATCCTCTATATCTATACTAAATTTCATCAAAATCCGTTCAGCCGTTTACAGTCTACAAACATCCATCCATCTAAACTTTGGCATTTATAACATTAGTATGGTTAACGCTTATTCTAATCCTGAATAAATATTATGTACAAGCTTTCATCCGCGTGATAAAAAAAAAGGTAAGCAACCTATGTGTTTTTCCAGATTATGCTCTACATCTGTGCCAAATTTCATCCAGAGCCATTCAGCTGTTTAAACTATATACTCTTACATCCATCTAAACGTTCGCATTTATAATATTTGCAAAATGGTAAAAACAATATAAAAAACATTTTTAAATCAGTATAAATAACATGCTTTACTAACAGTGTACAATGCACTATGTTAAATCCAATATGCCTCTACGAAATGGCGATGTACAAGATAATAGTAGAAATTCAATAAAAAAAAACTTTTATTTAAAGTAATGTTAGGTCTTTGTACATACGAGAAACATAGTATTGAGTTTTAAGTAAATAAAAGATAACCTTAGTTGCATTTGCTAAAAGGAAATTAAGCATTTAGGTTAATTGCACAAGCAATCGGTGAACGGAAATTAATAATTGTTTGCGGCTACGCTCAGAAACTGAATACAGACTAAAGGATAACATGTAAATATATTTTGCTAAAGTTAGTCTGTAAACCGGCTGTCGGGAAACGTTACATTGTTACCAAAAGTTATAAATATTTATATTGGCAATACTCACTAACAAATTCCCGTGCAACTGGCAACAGCTGTTCAGGAACTATGGGATCATCTCGTGCGTTTATAAACACCATTGGGGTTTTTATATTATCGAGGTAGAATGCTGAGGAACTCCATTTGTATAAATCCGTTACAGATTCAAACCCGTACACACGCCTGTCAAATATTATTAATTTATAATTAATTCTTATTTACATTGGCACGAATAAATTAATCAATAAAAAGACAGGCAAGTTTATTAAAATTCTTTGGTCTATAGAAAAACTGGTCTATCGTTTAGAGGGCAATAAATGTATATTCTGTGATTAAGAGCGGGCGCTCCTTTACTAAACAATCGCACAACAGTTGTGCGATTGTCGATTGTTTTGCAGCCAATTCAACTATTTAGTTGCACAGCTAAAAATCGAGTAGCGCGCGCACCATATAAACTTATAGGAGCGAGACTTAACAGTTGTGCTATGGTTTAGTAAAAGGTGTGAGCGCGCTCTAATGAAAAAAAAATCGTTAGGCTATAAACCAAAGACCAATAACTAACCTTGAATAGGCTTCATCCAAGTCTGGCAAAGTACCGGCGGAGACAATCATGTTCTCGTCTAAAGTATATCTGTTCTTCATCTCTGGACTGAGCAGGATCCGCTTGTGCCGAGTTATTATGTTACGATAGTTATCAGTCATTATGTAAAGGTAGAAACGACGGAAATTCTGCCATTGCAATAGATGTACCATGGTGCTGGAAAAAAATTATTGTTATTTAAGCAAACAGAATTTTTTTTAAATAATTACCAAAACTAGCTAATATAGTTTTTGTTGCAGTCTGGGAGAAATATAATCAAAAAGAATATTAAAGTTTTGTTAAGTAGACTTCGAACTGTGTTGCAAATTAGCGCGCTTAAAAAAATACTTTTACTCTTTCTATCCCAGTCTTTTCACACACAATATCATTTGTTACTTAAAACAGAACATTTCTTGTCGGCGATTCATTAATTTTTCCACGATGAATCCATTCGTGTTTTAATTAGCATTGTTCTTATATATAAACATTCACGAAAATGACGTAATTAAGCGTATACCATGGTACAAAAGTAGACATAGACAAACGTTATGCTAATAGAATCGATATTCATATGCTGGGAGCGTCTACATCTGTATTGTAATTACGATTCATAGTTATCGATTTCTATGAGAAAAAATACATCAAAAACAAATGTGGATATAATGAAACTTCTTCATGCGTATACATTAATAATGATTACTTTTTATAAGAGTTTATTAACATTGATCTGTAGGTTATCTTAGTACGGCATACAAAGAGTCAATTATTAAGTCCACTAGTTGTCAAGATAATTATAATAAACTATAAAATATTTCGAATATTAAAAACTTTAAATTATTAACGTTTTATACGGATTTGAATTATAAAGAATAATTATAAAGAATAATAATTATAGCCACTATAAATCCTGAGTTACAAAATATCGTACATTCTAAAAAATATTTCTATAAACGTGTCAGTCAGAAAGCATTGTTATAGTCTACTCGAGTAATAAGAGTATACCAATTGTCAATCGGAACATCGTTTAGCGTCGAAACACGTTTCTTGCCGCGTGATACCACTGGCACATGTAATTGTCCCCGCTGTCAACTACTTCATAAAACTCGTACAGCAAACAATGTTGTTAAATGTTCCTTTACATTATTTATTAAAAGAAAGCAGAAAAGTAGGAGTTTAAAATGTAAATTTATAACGTAGGCGAACACTGCTGTTTTCAGAAATTTAATAATTTAGGGATATAATGTCATATCTATAGAAGAATGTAGATCGTAGTCTAGTATTAAAGTTGGCACTACTAACATCTATAGCGAAACGACAACTTGAGACAAAATTGCGAAACGATATTGATCAAAATTTCCACATAATATTTCTCTCTTTGGAGTTCTGTAGGTTTGTCCTTAAAATATCTAAAACGCAATCATATAAATTAACATAAGGAAACTATAAAATTATGAAAGATCGACACATGTTAATAAAACTAACTTATAATAAAATAGTATTATTAAGTACTAAATTGATAATGGTATAATGCAAAATATTACTACAATTTGTGCCCAGTTTTTACGAAAGACTCGCTATCAGATCAGACGACTCGACCTTGCTAAAGTGTTAGTAATTTGATAAGAAGTGAAAACCATACGTTAATAATACTAGAACATCTATTTTTGCACCGGAAACATATAAATTAGATGTTATACGCGACTGCAGAAACATTTAAAATGTAATACATGTGTTATGATAGTGGAGATTCACCAATAGATGTACAATAAGACGAATTGTTCACACTTACTCAATAGCATTGTATCCTTGGCATATAGAGATGCCTCCCACAATATTAAGAGGTCGCTTCCTGTCCTCGCCCAAATACTTCGATATCAAATTACCTCCTAGACTGAATCCGACTAGAACTAATTTGGTGTTCGGGTATCGTTCTATTAAATTATCAACCATGTAACCAAAGTCGTCAGTGTGGCCTGAAAATAATATTTACGTTAAACATTCTTCTTGCTCTTATCCTTTTTACTCTCACATAATGTAAATCTTTTGTGAGTAACACAACTGCTTCTATTTACATTAGTTAAATATATTACTATAATAGTAAAATTGCAAATAATCTGTTGCGAAACAAATACATAATTTGAGTGAACGTAACATAGTGGAACGCCTTGACATTGATTGGACAACGACAAATTGGAGAGACGGCCTTAATGACCTTGACTATCACATAATATACTAAATTAATCTTTGATGGGATTAATAATACTTTGATGAGATTAATAAACTATGTAGATGGTCCCTTGATAGATTATCCCATAGTAAAAAGCAAACATTGTTTGAAAATAATCATTGGTTAATATCATTGGTAGAATTAAGTGGCGGAATGTACAGCTGAAATTATAACTTCAGCAAATTATCGTATACAGTAGGTTCAAAATTGCTGCTTTTAAAACTAAATTACCAGACAGATAATAACAATATATGCAAGTTACGTACGTAAATTAGACAAAGATAGCAAGATATAACGGGTGATTCAAGTGTGATTGAAATGTAGGTAACATTTTATCGGATTACATAAATCTCATTATCAGAGATCTAGAAAAGTAAGTGAAGCATAACGTTTATTAGCATTATTGTGTTGAATGAGCGATTCATCGTATTGGTATTAAAGTCAAGGTCGTAGAGGCGTGACGACAGTGCTCTACAGACATTATGACATCCAAACTATATAGCGGTTCGCAATTTTGCACGAGATTTTTAATTGTGCACACTTTCTTATGCCAAGAAACGTTTGCAGCTAACCACGAGCCTGCATAAAGTTTGAATATTGTAATACTTATGTAAACAATGAGTCACCGTAGGAGAATATGCGGGCGCCTGTGACGGGCACGCTGGCGAGGGCTCCGATGTGGTTGAGCACGGCGCAGCGGTAGCCGTGGCATTGCGAGTAGTGTACATATGTACGGATGTACACGCTCTCCGACGTGTTGCCGATGCCGGGACAGATCGCCACCGTGACGTCATCTAAACATACATTTTACAATCAGAGCCGGATCAGCTTGTAACGTTTTTAGTTGCTAACCAATATTTAACCGTCAAATACGATTATGGGTAGACAATTTTTATTACTATGTAACTCAGTAATGTAATCCTCTTTTAAATTGTCAGTAATGTAATTACCAATGCTTTTATTTTTTTTTTTGTGATCGAAAATTAAAGGGATACTAAAATTAGAAACAATACGAGAATAAGGCGGCAGTTCGAAGTTATGACATCATCAAACCAATACTGAAACATAACATTACTCATTTCATTAATCATACCTATTCTTAAATTTAAAATTGTAATTATTCCATGACCTTGCAGTGTGACAAATTATTGTTGAATATGCATTATTGTGACAATGTTTTCATGCTAATAACACTAATTAATCTTTAGAATACATTTGTTTCTAATAAAATTACCTTTCTAAACAATTTTATTTTAAATGTGAAAGTTTACATGGACATATCTCCAAAAATGAATCTGGATAAATTTAGTAACAGATGTCAACACAAAAGATTTTTTTTTAAATTCCACATTGACAGAGATATGGGAAACTTTTACTTAGCATAATTAATACAGTACCAAAAATTAAAAAAATTTAAGTATCAATAAAGATCATGGCTAAAACAAATCCTACATGGTATTTAATTGTCATTTGCTATTTTTAAATAACAGTAATAGGCAATTATTACCACAGAACAATTTTCTAGAACACAATTATTTTTAGTGTTCTTAGTGATAACTTTAAGTGCTCTTTTGATAAGATAATCACTAATTGCAATAAATATACAATATTGTGTCAAAATTCACTGTATCAAAAGATAATTACACAGCTTACCTTCCCGTTCAGATCCAACTGGTTCATACAGATCATATGTGAGTGTCGACTTGTCTGGGAGAACCAGAGATATTCTGCCACCGATGGGCCAAGGGCATCTTACTCGGCCAATCAGACTATGAAGTATAGTCTGAACATGACCACTGAAGCCCCACAGTCTTGTTGGTGTGTAACTGTAGCAGATAATATTTATTATCAAATAAATAACTTGAAAGAATATATTTGTTTGTTTATGTTGGATGGTTGATTAGAAAGTTGTAACAAAATAAATCAATCTTATATTAAAAAAAATAGTCTTATTGAAAGAAATTGCTGTTATATTACTCAAAACAATACTAGAAGAGCCTATAAGTAATGTTAAATTTTTATTATAAAAACCTTGATATGAAAGAGATTATTTGTACCATAAAACTTGTACTTGTAATATGACCGGTTTAAATTAAGATTTTGGTTTGTGTATAGAAATATGCCTATTTTTAAAGTATTTGAAATACTATTTTATTTCTTATTTTAGGTAATGGTGAGCGATTTGATACTGTATACCGATTTGTAAATAAAACTGAATAGAATGATCTCATCATACATGCATCATTGCTCATCTACTTTTTACTATATTAGGATATTTTACAAATGAAATAATAAATAAGTTATTTTAACATAATTATGATTTAAATTAATCTGCCACTTACGGTTCATTTAAGAAGGGTGCGATGAATAAAATATTTTCAATAAAATTCCTGTCCCTTCCGTAAATCACGGGTTTATAAGGCTGGCTGTTTACGTTTAATATTCGGAAAAGAATGCACAAAATAACGGCAACCACGGCTAAAAGAACTGTCGACATTTTAACTATTCTTTTATTATATAAATCTCAATAAATATATTTCATACACGCTCATAGATTTACTCCACTAATTCACCATTGTCACATTCACAACACCACTCAGCATAACCTAATCCAAGATACTGAAAAGAATAAATGAAAACAGTATCTTTTCTTTCCCCGGCCTGCAATAATCCGTCAAGTTCTAGACTTTTTGGAAATAAGAAACAATAATTTTAAACCTTGATGCAGAACATTGATTGATTCGTCAGTTTTTTTAGCTTGTTTACCAGAACTGCGATACTATTGGATAAAACTTCGATCTTCCTTCTTTATAATTGGTCAAAAATAATGTTTGACAGTAAATCGCGTGATAACCACAGACAATGTTGAAAGAGCCAAAGACACACAGGCATCTGTAAATAGACCGGCAGAAAGAAATGGAGTTTTGTGCTTGTTAGATTTACGCCATTTTGGCGCTGACCGTCACTATTGGTAGCGGTGGTTAGGAATCGAACTAATTGTAGAGATAGAATTAACTAGCATTCTAATCAACAAGCACGTTTAAATGGAAAGGTATCAAAAGCTGTAATTTCCAAGCACCAACCTACAAAATCTGTAGAGATCAGCTCAAAGACAAAAATCTTGTTTTTTCGTTTCAACTCGAAAAAAAACAGAGCCTTGAAATCGCACAGCCTAAATATTCTAGTGAGCTATATTTATTTTTTATTAATTTTTTGTTGTAAGTATATTAATTCCATGGGCGCCGTTTTAATTTTTTTTTCAGACATAAAAAGAAGATAATTTTATATGGCAAAGGTAAAGCAAAATCCTGCATAAGGCCTACTTTTTACACGTGAGAATTTTTTCAGTTATGAGGAAACGATTCGGAGAGAGAGTGCAAATATAAAAATAAAGAACTATGATTTAGAACATAATTTATTACAGAAAAAATGTTTACATGTCTAAAATAACTAATTACCAATAAATAACGTTAAAATTGTCAATTTCTCATTAAAAAAACCTAATTCCAGTTGCTCCAAATAAAAAAAGTTTAAATTTAAAACAAACAAAACATGGAGCAATCATTACACACACATTTGTATTTGTACGATATACGAATAAAAGGACTTTTCACTTATTTTCAATACCATAATCAAAGATATAATTATTATTGAATAGTTGGGGCCAAATTCAATCAATTAGTTTTGGTTAAAGTCCCAAAAATCTATTAATTTTAACATTATATTAAAACAGTTTATCTGGCCCATAATGAAAAAGAATTTTAAATGATAGTAAAAGTTATGTAAAGTATATTATATAGAGATCAAAAAAGAGATTTAACAATTCTAATATAATTATTTCTGTATAAAGTGTAATTTACGTTGAGTGATATTTAAAAAATCAGTAGCAAAATCCTATAGAAAATGATACAATATATTTTATAACTTAATGTTGTATTAGTTTACGCGACATAAAACTTAAAGTAACAAGTGATAAACTAGTTTACTTATCAAAACCACAGTTTGATCCATCCAAATCCTTCCGATGTTTATCCTTCAGCCTTTCATGTCAATAAATATTTGTACACACCTTAAAATACAAACATATCAATAAATGGGAATTCAGTGCAAGTTTAATTTGAACTACAATTATCTGATTCCCAATAGCAATATAGCATATCCAAAGAAAGCTTAAGTTTACTTACAAATTAATGTGTTGTGATGAAAATATAATGGCAATAATAGCTTACGCTAATCTATGTACTCTTAACAACACTCTAGTAGTCTTAATTTAAAACATGAATAATGGGAAATTTTACACTGAAAAACTCCCCTTATACTAAAAAAAACTATGATATACCTAAATGAAACTGTCATACAGATAACGGTTATGAAAATAGGCAACTTGTGCAATGTATTTAATGTTATTTGTATAAATTTCTGAATAAGATGTTTTTATTTAGTAAAACATTAACATTATTATTTTTATATGTATTTAAAATGCGAATTGAATAAATTGTGTACTGTAAAGACAAAAATGATTATTCTGTGTAAATATATAATCTATGCATTCATTTTATATCATTCACAACACTAGTATCCATTGTGTTGTGCTATATTATAAAAATTACTGACAGTTTTTTACATACTACTATATACATTGCAATTAAAAGCTTTAAAAAGTTATAGAATCAACGTCCAAGACCGATTTGAGCAGGTAATTAAAAAATTAAAGACAGAAGTACTTATAGAATTACATGGAAACACATAGCACCACCAATCTTACTTTGTGATAAGTTCTTCCAAAAAGTTGTGATCCATTCATACTTGCATTTGTAACACTGTTCACATTCACTTTGCACTTTACACTTAACAGCATGAAGCAGTCTCTTATAGGGAAGATGATTTAGTAGAGTGGTGTAGAGTGGTAGTCGGGGGTCAGCGTATGAGGCAGGTGAGGCAGAGCTCAGCGGAGCCAATGCAGTCGTCGTGGCAGAAGGCGCCACACTTCTTGCAGAGTATCATGGCTCGCAAGTTGCACACGCAAGCGTCGTCCGCGCCCACGCTGCGACATCTCGACACGTTCTAGAACAAATACACCCAGTTTTTTACTCAAGGAACAATCAGAGTAAAGGTTTTCGCGCGTATATAATTTGATTTTTATCTATGAGCCTAAATGACTTAACTTAATGTTTAATGGTCACTATGGGCATAAGTATAAATTCAGACTCAGAGTCTACTTATGCATAGTTAGTTGCAGTAAAAGTTAAGGCCACTTACAACATTCGTGTTTAGATTTGACGGCGGCGCACTGGACGCTCTAGGTATCACGTTAGGGGTTCTTTGTACTAGGATATATTGCCCCATGTTATTTGAGCGATTTTCATTTACCTGAAACAATGTTATTTGTTATCAATAGGCAAGTTTTTGCTTACTGATAACAGCCTATACAATGTGGAACAAGTTTTTTTTTAATATGACAATTATGAATTAAATGTTGAATAAGTTTGAATTAATGAATGAACTAGCTGTTCTCTGCAGCTTCATGGACATCAAATTTTTAAATCGTACTTCTTTGCTGCCATTGGCTTGTAGTTTTTATTTGAGTTTCGCATGTCATTTTTTCTAATTTGTTAACTCCCTGAATTTTAAAGCATGAAAATATATAGCCTATTGCATGGCTTTTTAATAAAGAAAGAATTATTCTAAATATGCTGTGATTAGTGCCATCCTTCACAACGAAGTGCGTGTTTACAATATTATCTATACTAATACTATGAAGAGGAAAGATTTATATTTTTTTACATAACTCAAAAAATACTAGACCGACTTCAAAAATTCTTTCACTGTTAAAATGTTACTTTACATCTGAGTAACATAGGCTAACATCTTTAAATTTTTATTACCACATGGACGAAGTCGCGTGCAGCAGCTAGTATTAAGTATAGATATACATAAACATAGTTATACCTCAGTGTGTGGTACGACGGGCGGCGGCAGCTGTCGCACCATGACGGGCGGGTGCGGGTGCGGCGGCGGCGGGCGCGGCGCGCGCGGCTGGCGGGTGAGCAGCGCGGGCGGCGGCCGCAGCTGGCCGCGCAGTGCGTCGCGGTTGGGGCTGTTCTGTATCACCGCCTGGCAGATCTGATAGCTGCGCTCCAAGTTTACTGCGCCCGGCGGCACCTTGTTACAACTACGGCTTCTGAAATTCACAAATAAAAAACGAATTGACTTATTGTTACAGACACTAATTTTAAAAAAAACTTTACATATCATTATCATCAACCTGCCCTTGTCCTTCCTTACATATTTATTAACTGTCTTATCTGATTTCACACCCTTCTTACATATCTCTTACATTACATACACACCTGTTTGATTCCTTTCCGGATTTAGATTTTTTCCCAGTACTTCTTACACTTTGTGTAACCGTAGTAGAATTAATTGTTGGATTACATACAGTTGAGCTCGAAACAATGCTATTAGCAGGCTCGGTTTCTTGCTTCAAATCCTTCATAGAGTGACAACTCTCCGATGAGTTTGATGATTCCATGTTAAAATTTGCATCCCTCTCTTCTTTATACATAGAATTTTCATCATTCATATTCATATCTTCCAAGCTCGCTTTAGAATCTTCACTAACGTATTTAGAATTTTCATTGTTTACACATGAAAAATTGTGCATCGTTATAATACTTTCGGTGCTAGTCCAATCATTTTCATTCTTCCATGATACAGCTGAGTTTTTTGGTTTTGCAGCATCCTGCATGTTGTCATCAGGGTATGATACCATCTGTTAAATTTTGTTTTATATTACGCAATTGGAAATTGACAGCCAAACCCAATAATCTACGAAATAAGTACAAAAAAGGGCTGATGGACCTTAAAATAATATAAAAGGTTTTTGTTGCTGTTATAAGTTAAATTTGTAGAAGAAAAATTAAATTAAAAACCTTAGGTATGTAGGGAGATTTATTGGATTCTGTTATTATACCAGTATTATAAAGAGCTAAGATGTGCATTTTTAAATTTTTGGATTTTTTATGCATGGAAATAAGTCAAAAAGTACTGAACAAAATTAAAAAAAAACTGTACCATTAAAAAGCTATGTCATAGCTGAGTAACGTAGCATATATTTTCTACTATTTTTTAATTCCATGTGTACAAAGTCGCTAGCACCAGCTAGTAAATAATTAAAGTAAACAATCTACTTACTGTAGAATTTGACACTTCCATCATTGGTATTGATGGATTTTGATTCATTGGCATTGTTACAACAGCTGTTACATCTGTAAATCACATATATATTTAACAACAATAATACTTCACAAGAACAATATTTGTAACACTAGAAATGTTTATACTGAACTACCCACACATGTCAAATTACACAAATCAATAATGTTTGCTTACTTGTTTCATTCATGTATGAAGACAGTTCCATTAGATCAGGATGAGGAGTATATTTGTTTTCCTCAGTTTCTGTAAAAAAAACAGTATTCAATAATATATATTTAGGGAAAAACATGTCTTATTATACCTTGTTCTTTATGTAGTTTGTTTTGATGTTAACATAAGATTTTCCTCTATAAGAACTAATTGGAATTTGTATTAGAATTACAACAGTTTATTAATTCAGTTTGTAATTGTTTCACAAAAAATGAGAGCTGGGGAGATAAAGGTTTGGATAATTTACATAACTAGATGTTTGAATGTGGAAGACGTAAGAGAGGTGGTGTCAGGACAGCGCCAAATGGAAGTCCTCAGTCTCTGCCTACCCCTCTGGGTTACAGGCGCAAGTTGTGTTGTCTTTTCTTGTTAATGCCCATAAAGCCTTTAATCACAAAAACAACTGTAATAATTAACAGTTTTCCTTGTAGTTTTTTTATTAAGTTGATATGAATTTTGTTACAAGATTTCTCACCATTTTTATGGTAACTACAGTTTGTAGATGCAGATATTTACTTACGAGATTTTGAACCTTGTTTTAATGAATACAGGAATCTAGTTGTAAACTGACGAAATAATTAAAATAACAGAATTTTATATTAATTAAAGTTAAACAATCCCTTTAAAACTAAAGAAAATACAGAATTAAAATTGATTATTTTGCACCATGAATAGTTGCCACTAAACACAATATTAGTATTACATATTTAACATAACTTTAACATACTTTCCAAAAGTTATCAAATTGAGTGCCACCAATATGCCTTTAAAGTTCATTTTCTTATTTAAAACCAAAGCAGTTAAATGTTGCAAGCAAATTTATGAGAATTTGAAGAGTAAAGCAAATTAATTTTCACTTACGTGGAGTTAGAATGGAAAGGCCTCCTGTCTCCATTATAAATGATTCTGCATCTTTGAAGTGGTCATCATAATAATTCGAGGTTATGTTATCTTCAGGTCTATTTTTATCTTCATTTTTAATTTCATCATTTGTTTTATTTTTTAAATGTTCATCAGTGTTAGTCTCTGCACTCTGACATTCCATATGTTTAACAGATTCAATGTTTTGTTGAGGCTCTTCAATACTATTGATAGGCAGATTGTTACATGGAGATTCCCTTTGTGTGTTAAATTCTTCTTTAACAATTTCTCTGCAAGATTCACTTGCATTTACATCTTTTTTATTATCCTTGTTTATATTTTGACTAGCAGATGTGTGTTCTACATCTTCAATTGTACTTTCACATTCAATTTCATTCTTATAAGTCTCATTTACAATTGGAACATTATTTATGCGACTTCCTATTTTCAAACTGGACATGGATGAAATACTTCTTTCATCATATTCATAAGCTGAAGTTGTAGCCTTACTATCTTCACTGTTAGTATCAGCATTATCATGTCCAGGAAAGGTGCTGACCTCGACACTTTGACATGTTGGTTCATTTCCATAAATTGTTTCATTGTCAGAGCAGTTGCTACTTGGCTGTTCCGCATCCCGTGTCAGAAAATTAGAATTATCAGTGGCATAATCATCTTCATACCTGATTCTCTTAGTGAACCTGTAATCGCTATTGTCACTACTTAGTCTTTTAGTAGGTTCAGGATAGATAGTATCTGAATCAGTTGCTTTCTCCTCTTTGCAATCTTTGGAAATGCTGGTTTCTTTTATAGTTATTACACTTATGTCCAATTCTTGCTTTATTTCACTGCGTTCAGTTTCATCAGGCAGTAATAAAGGATCCACAGGTGTTGAATCTTCTATTCTGGGTGCAGAAGATGAATCTGAGAAGGTGAAATCTAATTGACAGTCAACATAACCTTGGTTATTGTTTTTCAAATGTTTTAGAGGGAGTAAATCTGGGACTGGTACTGTAGATTTTGAACCAACACTAACTGATTCATCAATTGTATCTTCCACCCTAGCAGAGGACCTTGTCACTGCACCTACTGACCTCATTTTTTTACTGGTACTTGAAGATTTACTCTTCTTAATTTTTGGTACAGTACTGCTACTAGTTATTGAAGCTGTAGGTCGTAATTTGATGGTTGTTTTCAATGACGGTCTTTCAGAATTAATATTTATTGAAGATTTTTCTTTCCGAGATTTTTCTCCCCAAAAGGGTTCAAAATGTTTTAATTTCCATGGATCAATTTTGCTTTTCTCTTTTTCAGCTTCAGTTTTCATTTTCTGTTGATTTTCTGGTGTAAACTCGCCACCCGAAAGGCAGTCTTGCCATTCCAAGCAAGCTCTCGCAAAGAACTCATTATTTAGACTAGATGAACTTAATCTTCCAGAAGTACTTGGTCTATCAACACTTGGCAGCAATTGACCTAACTTATATTGGTATAAAGGTGGTAAAAGAGAAAATGTGTGCTTGTTTAATAATGCCCTTATATTTGTGTTTACTAATATTGAGTCAGGTGTTTCTAAGTCAATACAGCCTTCTCTTGTTTGCTGTAATTGTGCAGCAGTTGACAGCTTCTTTCCACTTCTTTTCCTTGGTTTTATGCAAAAGCCAGGTATGCTCGCTAAAACCTCTCGCATAGTTGACGGTCTGTTAGAATTAGTATTTGAATCAGTGTACGATGTAGCCGCAGTCCACTCACGACTTTCTGGTGGCGGTGGAGGAGGCAGAGGCTTAACTATTATCCTGGGAAGTGGTCGTGAATGATTTGAACTCTTTTTTCTCCTTTTTGATTGCTTTCTTGAGGAATGTTTACTGGATTTCTCACCATCTTGGGGTATTCGAATGACAGAAAATTGTTCGTTATTGTTGCAAGTCAAATATTTACTTTCAGACGAATTATCGGAATAATCCATGCTGTTCTCAGCCTGATTCAAAGGCGATACGTCTAATTCCATGTTGCTAAAGTATTGTACTTGTACTCTATCACATGTAACATAAAATACCAGTTATAAATTCAACGTAGAATTATAGCAGCCGACAACTATTATTTCAACCCATAATGAGCAAATTTACAATCCTTGTAAGTTTTTTATATTGTTTATCATATTACGACAATGTGTAGTATTTAATCATCACTTTTTTCCAACAAGTCAAGGTTGAAGAGCATTACATTCATCGTTTTTTCACAACAGAATAGCAAAAATCAAAATGTCACAACAACGCAGAAAATGGATTCCGTTACGTTCCAATTTTCTTGTATTAGAAAATTGATTTTAATGAATGTAATATTTCATTAACAAGTTACTATTTTTTAATATATAGTTATATTTTTCCTATTAAAAGAAACAACAAACGTATAAATAATAAAATAAAAACCACAAATTGAACATGTTAAATTAGATTTAGAACAAACAATTTACAAAACATTTCAATGGATATTTAAATCTTTAGAAGTTTAACGTAATGTAACAACCTTATAAATGATCAATTTAAGTTCTACTAATCTAAACAAAAGTTAATTTATTATTTCTAAACGATAAAGTGCAGCATTATTCCGCAACGGCAATTTTGGCTTGCGGAACGGAAAGAAGCATCGGCAGCCATTTTGTTTCTGCTTTGCCGTGTCTTTCATTGAAGGCATTGTGTAAATGTGTTAAATTTAGTAGCAATTGATATTATTTGCTATTAGCAAGTTAACGCTTATTGTAATTTCTACTGAAAGTATCTATTAATAAGTGTATTTAAAATGGGTCGAGGAAGGTAAGTGTACTTATGAAGCCTTATTACATGTTCGCATTTTTCAATGTTTCATATCTTTTATCGCGTTGCTTTAAATGATGCATTTCCTCAGAGACCGTAGCCGTGACAGACGTCGTAGCCGGAGCAGAAGCAGGAGTAGAAGTCGTAGTCGTAGTCCTCGTTATGGGTTAGGGTCGGGCGGTGGTGGCGGCGCTTACGGCGGTGGGCGTCGCAGTAATCCTGGTGCGAATCTGCGCAAACCCAAATGGGATTTAAGCCGATTGAAACCTTTCAAAAAAGATTTCTATGTTCCTCACAAAGACGTTGAAAATAGGTCCGATTCGGAGGTGGAATCTTGGAGAAGCGACAATGAGATCACCCTTAAAGGTCGAAATATCCCAAAACCGACGTTGACTTTTGATGAGGCTGGTTTCCCTGATTATGTTATGGATGAAATTGATAAAATGGGATTCAACAAACCTACGCCCATCCAAGCACAAGGTTGGCCCATTGCCCTTAGTGGATATGATATGGTTGGTATTGCTTCGACTGGATCTGGTAAAACACTTTCTTACATTTTGCCTGCCATTGTTCATATTAATAATCAACCAAAGTCTAGTAGAGGCGATGGACCTATTGCATTAGTTTTAGCACCAACAAGAGAATTGGCGCAACAAATACAAGAAGTGTGTGATAAATTTGCAAACACTTCAAAAATACATAACACTTGTTTATTTGGTGGTGCCCCTAAAGGACCTCAAGCAAGAGACCTAGATGCAGGTGTGGAAATTGTAATTGCAACACCTGGACGTCTTTTAGATTTTTTGGAAAGTGGTAGAACCAATTTAAAGAGGTGCACATATTTAGTCTTGGATGAAGCTGATAGGATGTTGGACATGGGTTTTGAGCCTCAGATCAGAAAGATCATTGAACAGATTAGACCCGATCGTCAAACGCTCATGTGGTCTGCTACATGGCCAAGAGAGGTTCAAAGTCTTGCATCAGAATTCCTCAAAGACTATCTACAGATTAATGTAGGCTCTCTGCAATTGGCTGCTAACCATAATATTTTGCAAATCATAGATGTCTGTATGGAATATGAAAAAGAAACTAAATTAAGTACACTTTTGAAAGAAATTATGGCTGAAAAAGAAAATAAGACTATAATATTTATAGAAACTAAACGTCGAGTTGATGATATTACTAGAAAAATGAAAAGAGATGGGTATGTTCACAAAAGATTTAAAATTTATGGTAATGTAAATTGCAGTAAAAGTTTTGCTAAAACTCTATTTTTTACAGATGGCCAGCTGTGTGTATACATGGAGACAAGTCTCAACATGAGCGTGATTGGGTATTGCAAGGTATGATGACAGTTAAAGTCTGCAGCTTTAATAATCTTATGTTGAATGTATAATTTTTATAATTGATAATACCGAAATACATAATTACATTTTTATTTTTAATAAAAGTTCAAAAAAAGAGTTTAAAATGGTAGTATTTAAAATATAAATCGAGAAGCGGTGTCGGACTGGACTAAGCAAGTTGAGAGTAGAGAAGTAAACAGTTGGTGAAGATGTGTCTGCATGTGCAGGCCGTGGAGACTGCGGCTGGGCGGCGGAGGCGGCGGCAAGCGCGCGCACGTCGCCGCTAAGCCTCGCCTGCGGCCGCTCCCGCCTCTAGTCCAAGGGGCTAAGCCCTATGCACTCTGACTTGTCACCGCGGCTAGTCTGAGCCGCTTCTCGCGCGTTCGGCGCGCTGGGGTCCGCCCCACGCCGCCCCTCGCCGCCGCGCCGTCGACGGCGACGGTGCGCAGGCGCAGCGCCCGGCTGCCGGGCTCCGGCCTCTCCAGCGCCCGGCCCGGCTCGCCCCGGCCCGGCCCGGCACGCCCCGGCACGGCGCCTCTGTTCTCTCTCGCGCCGCCCCGGTCGGCACCTCGCTCTTACTTGATTTTTTTATGAGCATTATCAGCCATTTTTATTAAGGGATCTGTATTTATTAGTAAGTTTTCGGAAATAACACATAGCATATAAATGCGATACTCTTAGGTATATATGTATATATTTGTTCCATTGAATTTTATATTATGAACATAAAGAAGTAAATAATTTTTTATCAAATAAAATTACTTATTTCTCTTTGACAGTTTATCATCTATCGAGTTCTTTAGTTAAGATATTAGCAAATATTAGTTAATATAATTTATTTACATAGACATGAAATAAAAAATACAGACCATATTAGGACACGTTTTTTTTCAGTAATTTATTCTAAAGAGCTAAGAAGCTCTTGCTTTTGAAACAATATTCTACATGTGTATCTATTTTACAGATTTTCGCAGTGGAAAAGCTCCTATTCTTGTAGCTACAGATGTTGCTGCTAGAGGTTTAGGTATGTTTTTGTATATATTTCATTCTTGTGTTTTTTTTGTGACTCTAATGTATTAGTTTTACTATAGTTTAATATTAGTTCCTCATTTAATTAAGATGAAAATTATATCTTTCAGATGTCGACGATGTAAAGTTTGTCATTAATTTTGATTATCCAAGTAATTCAGAAGATTACGTCCACCGCATTGGAAGAACAGGAAGAACCAATAAAACTGGAACTGCCTATACCTTTTTTACACCTTCAAATGCCGCCAAAGCAGGCGATCTCATGTCAGTACTAAAAGAAGCTAAACAAGTTGTAAACCCCAAATTACAAGAACTCGCAGAGCGCGGCGGCGGCGGTGGCCGGCGTAAGTGTTTGCTTGTAATGCAATTTTGACTGGATGGAGTTTATAACAAAAAAAATTGTGTATACTTCTAAACAGTTACTAGTCTTTAACCATGAAAAATTTTTTGCACTCCACGATTGCTTCAAATTCTAAAATTTCAGCTTTAAAATACTAAACAAAATTCCTTGTTTAGGTCACCGTGGGCGAGGCGGAAGATACCGGCGGGGAGGTCGTCGCTCGCGGTCGCGGTCCCGCTCCCGCCGCCGCCGCAGTCGCTCGCGCTCCCGCTCGCGGGACCGCCGCCGCCGCCGACACAGCTCGTCGCGCTCTTCACGCAGCAAATCTTCAAGATCGTCGAAAAGCCATTCGCGATCCCGTTCCCGCTCCCGGACACGTTCGCGCAGCCGCTCTCGTTCAGGCAAGTGCAGTCCGTTGAAGGACACCACTAACGCTGTACCGAAGCCTCCGACTCAAGCTCTGCTGCCCACGCCAAAGCCACTCTTACCCACTCCAATCGGTCCTCAGCTTCCTGTGTCACAAAACGATAAGTATAATGGCAAATGTTCCACAACTCCTATTCGAAATGAAAATTTAAATACTAGAGGAAATAGCAGATCTGTAAATGATAATGTCACAAATGATGTCCCACAACAGCAATCTAATCAAATTCCGCCGTTAATGGCGCTCAATCCACAAATGTGTGTGCCTCCTCCCATGACTGGTCCAGGGTTTATTATGCCGCAATACTTTCCACCTGATCAGTATGGAATGATGATTCCACCTTTCGCTACCGCTCCGATTATGACCACCGCCAACTGGGCGGCCCCACCTCCGCCGCCTCCACCCCCTCCTGCACCCAACACCTCCAACAATGTCAACAACTACAACCAAGGGCAAAGTGGCTATGGAGAAAGCAGCTTGGAGTCAGATTCCAGGAAGCGAGGTGGCCGTTCTGGCGGCCTTGGAAGCTCGAGCTCTTATGGGCCGAGCTCGGGTGGGCTCGGCTCAGGCGGCTTAGGCTCAGGCTCAGGCTCAGGCTGCGGCCTGGGCTCCGACGGGGGCCTGGGCTCCGGCGGAGGCCTGGGCTCAGGTCGTGGCGACGATCGCGGCTATGGTGGTGGCCTCGGTTCTAGCGGAGGCCTTGGCTCTGATGACGCCACGTCAGCATCGCGATCGCGAGGAGGCCGCGACAGACGTCGTCGCGGCCGAGGACATGACGACGACTCGGAAGGTCCGGGTGGTGGCCTCGGTTCCTATGGATCCGGCGGCCTTGATGGTGGCCTGGGTCAGGCTTACGGAATGCCCTCTGGCGGTGCCGATGTGCCCCATGGGAGTCAACCGCCGCGCCTCCTGCCCCAGCCCGGCGACGACTACTTTACACAGGGAGCCAATTTTACAGCATATGGCTCTTACGGTCCTAAAAATAAAAGAAACCAAGGCGACGGTATTGACAATAATGACGCATATCAAAACGAAAGTAATTATAATAATGGTATGGATTTCTATAATCAACAAAACATGGGTCCTGGAAGACCTTTTGGTTTAGGTTCGGACCAGAATGGTTCCAACGAGGCGCTGGTGAATGGCTCCATGGGGTACAATAATAACCGCCAGAGGAATCGCCAACGGCGGTGAAAACACCGAGGTTTGTTATACTGAAACCAATCCGAACTCACACTCTTACATATCACATATTTATCCAAAATTCACTGATAACATTAACTTGGGTGTATCTGAGTTTATTATTGTAGGTCGCAATTGCTATATGACCCTATTATGTCTGTTAATCTAACTTAGCATGTAAAGAAACACATAATTTAACCAAAATGTTTTATCATTACAGAGAATGGCTACAATGGTGACTCGCGCCGACGCAGAAGACGCTGAAATTACGTCGAAAAGAAAGTGGAGAACAAAAACTCTAGTAGTGTTTAAGTTTATTGGACAACATAGAATTTCATTCCATGGATGTGTTTGTAGGCATTTCATATTGATGCTTTTAAAATTGTAACCACAAATTTAACATTTCATTAGAAAGTACCTTGTCTTTATATTTTTTTTGCACATTTATGCAAACTAAGTGATTGAGTAATTTTTTTAAGTAATATACTTATTTCAATGTATTCTGATATAATAGTGATCACACATTGTATTTAAGTTAGTATCATCAATCATGTACATTGTAAGTACATACATAAAAGTGAATATGAGCAATTTGGATTCTGAAGTTTAATACATTAAAATACTTTTTTATTGCCGTTGATTTTATTATTACCTTTATCTTGGTTTCCTAAAAATAACACTAACCCTTTTACTAGGACCGTTACTCTTAACGTCCACTGAGTAAGAATTGATCAATATAATGTCTTATACTAAGATAGTGTTCAATTCTCGACTTGTTTATCCGATTTAAAATTTCATATTTTCGAACCGACATTATAGTGGAAAACATCGTGTTGCGACTTGCACATATTTGCAAAAAAAATCAAATATTTTCACAAGTCAACCAACCCACACTGGCCCAGTGTAATTTACCTAGTAAAAAATTAGGTGAATTTTATTTATAGGACAAATAACGTCACACCAATTTTTCAGCATTTTTGACAATTTCGTTTTCTATTCAAATTAAAAGGTATGAAAAAATATAGTAAACAGTAAAACAAAGTCTTTATTTGACATTTCCAACTGGGTTGCTATGGCATTTTATGTTGCTTATTTTAGACAATATTCAATTTGTTGACTATCATGAGTTTTTCTGTAGATTTAGTATCAGAAGATTCTTTTTATGAAAATATCACGCTGGGTGTTACAAGAGTCCTTGGTTAGTATATATATATAGTATATATATTATCAATATGAGTTGGCTTTATGTTTAGGTAAAAACACAAAACCATCAGGTACTGGACCTAGTAACATTTCACTAATTTTTATCCAATCACTACAATTGCTTGAAGCCATAAGAGTCTCTAAATCATCTCTGCCTATATAAGTAGGTGGCCTTTCATTTATTTTTTGTGGTGGTCTTTCTAATAAACCTACTGGTACATATCTGTACAGGAATGATAACCATTCTAATAAAAATCTGCGCGTATTTTCAACTCCTTGAGTGTCTGAGCCCCAATGTTCAAGACCATAATTAGTAAATTTCTTAATAATTTCAAATCTTTCTTTACTGCTTATATCCCACATTCTTTGTTCCTTAATTTCTGTGAATATCCAAGGTTTAATAAGTGCACCACGACCAATCATGACGCCTTGTATTGAAGGTGCTACTTCTTTTGTTTTAACATAATCATCATAGCTTAATATATCACCATTACCATACATGGGGTGTGGTGCAACAGCTTTTGCACACATTTCTATATACTCCCAGTCTGCTGATCTAGTATATCTAGCCTCTCGTGACCTACCATGCAATGTTACAAGTGATATTCCCCATTCAAACATTCTGGGTATAATTGTATGAGCAATTTTTTTATCTTGGTACACCCCAGTTCTTATTTTTGCAGTGAATGGTATATCTAACAATTTTGAAGCAGATTTGATAGATGTCTCTAATCCAGGTAATCTATGCATCATCCCGCAACCTCCACCTTTTTTATAGATTAAATCTATAGGACATCCTAAATTTAGATCAAGAAAATCAAGTTCTGTATTTTCTTGTAATAATTGTGCTACTTTGGTGATAATGAATGCATTACTTCCACATATTTGAGCACCAAATATGTCCTCACATTCATGTCTTTTTACTAATGCCCATTCCTGTTTTAAACCTTTAATCAATGGTTCACAGAGAGCCATTTCCCCACATGTAATATCAACACCAAAATCTTTACATACTCTTCTAAAAGGTAGATTTCCCACTGTTGTGAGAGGGCTTAGATACAACTTATCACTCCAATCTATTTTCTTTTTTTCACGGGAGTTCAGTTTTATTAAATCTTCATCAGTTACTGTCCCACTGTTAACATTTTTGTTGTTATCTGTAGAGTCATTTTTTTGTGTATTCTTTATAAAACTCTTCACAATATTTTCAGCTAAACTAAAATCATATTTTTTCTTTTGCAATTGTATCTGAAGTGAACTTTGCAGTGTATTTTTGGTATCGTCTTTCCACTGTTTGATTTTATTGTCGTCAGTAATATTATAGCCCTCAGGCGTGATATGACATGAGCCAAAGCGGCATCCTATACCTCTTGGACACCTGCCTCGGATATCAAACAATCGACACTTTTCACCTATATCTTGAGGTTTCGTTTTTAAATAATCTAAAGGGTTGTGTATATATTTGCAGTTAGTAAATTGACATTTTTTTTCGTCGCTCTTACTTACGTCTAATATACTAGGGCAAGGTTTATTCTGTATTTCATCTTTGAATGTTTTAGGTCTTGCTTTATTTTGACCTCTCTTTTTGTTTTTGTGGGACGGCTCTTCATGTTTAATTTTCTTCTCTTCATATTCGTTCTCTCCATCTAGCTTTCTTTTTAAAGATGTTTCAGATTCTTGAACGGTGTTACATTTATCTGACCTTTGAATGATATATTCTGCCTTAATAGCACAAACACCTGGTGCTACATTTGTCATCTTCGGACCATTATAAATAAAATAAGGAAAATAAAATGGAAAAACTTCCTTATCGATACTCGATTTTGAGATAGAGTATGTTAGGTTAAGAAAACATGTGTTGATAGTAAGAAAACAACTTTTTGACAGATTTATTTATTCATTGAAAGTTTTTACGTGTGTTGTCATTTCATTGCTTTTTGAATGTTACTTTATTCAAAAATTACATAATAAAAAATATGTTAACTCAGATTTGAATGCATGATTTATTAAAGTATTCATTAATAATGAAAAATCATTGTTATTAAATTTAATTTAACTTGTAGAGTCTGATCCCCGTATATCAAACGTGGCAGTAGAACGACGATCGCCCTGCGATCGTATAGCTATTTCTAACTGGGAGCAAAGGCATTCGACTATTTTGCCGGATGATTTACGCAATTTTTATGCTTCTAGTGATGGATTTTTATTGACATGGAATTTTAAATATTCGGGCAAGTATAAATATTATGTCAATAAGTTTTCTCAATATGCAGTATGCTAGTATATAAAAGCAAGCAAAGTTTCTCGATGATAAGCATGTCTCTTCACGAGTTGCTAAGGGAAAGAGAGAAAGATAAACCTCGCGCGACTGCAATTTTATTAGTTTTGTTTTATACCAATGATCTATTTCCACTCTCTTCCATGAATCCATGAGGAGTTTCTATAAATAAATAATACGACACGAATGGAAATCTTAGTGGATAATGATTGGGACGGAGTTCTCCCATTTAAAAATATGAGCATTCAAGTGTAAGGAATTAGCAATAGCCATGATAATACTTTGTTGTAAAATAAAATTTATTTTTAAATAACATTTTTTGAAGATACTTTTCTACAACTGATTATATTTTAAACAGCTGATGAAATTTTGCAAGTTGGGTCTATAAAAGTAAATTCGTTAAGTGAATTATGTTTGTCTGCCGGCTTAAAAGACCTTTTGGACTTCTCGGTGACACGGAATAGTTCTGGATCACGACCAGTACTTAATCCAAAAAGCAAAGTTTTTGAATTAGATACCTGTAGAAATATCGGAAAGGTTAGTAGTTTTTTATCATTGATCGTAGGTAAGCAGTACTAAATTTCTATCTCGTGTTAACGATCGTAATCCTTCCTCAATTTTTTGTTATAGCTTATAATATAATGGCTTTTTTTTCATTAATATTTGTTCCTAGTGCGTAAATGTATATTTTTAAGCATTAAAATTTTAAATCTAGATAGATTTTTTATATATAGGTTTGCCTAATTTGTACAAACGGTAGCTGGTCCATTTGGTTAGCGACCCGCGAAGGTGCCTGGGGCTGGTTGGCGGACTCCTTCACTTGTTACTTCAGGATGTCCTTAGTACACCTCGGACTGCCGGGTTGGCAAGCCGCTTTCACGAATTTGCCTCTTATTCCTTGGGCAGAGGTAAAAATTACGCCGAGACATTTTTATAGCTGAGTTTTATTAACATTCTTTTATTCAGGTTTGTTTTATTTTAGCAACTATTTTTATTGTTGGCGCCTCACCTATTGGAGAGAGAGACTGACAGTACGAATGCGAGCGGTTCTGAAACTGGCTTGAACCATATAGATCCCAATATATTCAAGAACTCCGTTCGCCATTACAAGACAAATCGTCAACCTAATAATCAATGACCATCATGTTGTAGTTATGGTGGAATTCAAGGATAAAACATGTCGAAAGATGTGGTATTACTGAATAAAATTCTTGTGCAAAAGCAAATAAACTTTTATTTATTAAAAAAAGCGAAATTTAATTAAAAAAGCCATGAAATAGTGGAAAATAAAAAAAAAAACATTGCTTTTGCTCGATGCATATATTGAAATACTCTTCGTACAAATAGACTTTATAGCTTAACAAACGAAACAAAATGGACGGAATGTGAGATACTTTACGAAATACAAGCTAAAATACGCAAATCAAACTACATAATATTTAATACACACAACACAAACATACAACTATCTCTAAACCTCCAAGATATAAAGATGATAAAAAAGAAGTCGTCGTAGATGCTGCCATACCTTTCAATTATATGTGCTATATTGAAAAACTATATTATTTTTCAAAATATAATGTAAATATTTTAATAACGTAATATAAGAAATAATTATTTTGCTATAAATATAAAAATACATGTGATTGCGTTGCTCCGTTGCGCCTTTACTATATTTTTCTTAAGACAACAGCAGTAATGTCCGTTTTCACTAAAGGTACATGACTTGTAAGAAATTAATTTTGACGGATTTTAACATGACATTAACATTATATCATAATTCTTGATATTCTCATCAGTACTAAAAAATGTTAAAAACTAGATATATGCTTGTGAATTAAATTTTAGTAAAACGGGCATTAGATACTTATTACATAGATTTCATTGTTTAAATGCATGCTGTTCTTAAATTAAGCTAGACTAAATATAAAAAAGTTCTATTCACTAATTATTTAGGCCTGTGTACCTTAATGTTTAGTAAACATAATTGTAATAATTGTAATGACACAAAAATCTTACAGCTAAGGTTTTTTTATATTTTTTTGGTGGGATGTTAAATTTTGAACATATTAATATTGAAAATGTTTTAATAGGCAATGTTATAATTTCAAGGTTATAAAATCAGCAAAGCCTGTGGTAACAGTTTTGTAAAGAACAAATATAGATCATATCAATGGAATGATTTACAATATTGCTCAGTGCTAGAATAGCTTGGTGCTAAACCATCTCCTTTTTTGATAGAGCAAACTGTCTACATATCTGCAATATCTTGCATTTAAAATTCAATGCAACCATGGTATAAAACGTACATCTATTCCTTAATACTATGTCTAAAGCTGTGATAACTTTGTGATGACCGTACATTAAATTCGATAAAAAAAAATCTTAAAAAAATATCAAAATTCCTTATAAGTAGCTATTGCTTTTATTCTATTATTATTATCCTTATACATTATTTATTGTAATTGTTTTTACTGTACAAAAACAATTTCTTGTCTCTGATTTTTGAGACGAGAGGGAGAAAATATTTCAGCACAAATTATCTTAGTAAACAAACGACATAAAAAGTAGGCAGTTGAAATGTAATACAATAAAACAAAGGCAAGTCTTCTTAAATAAACTGCTGATTTTGACAATACATGAAATTTGTAGATCGATACATAAAAATCGAGAATTCTAACTTGTGCATGGTGATGAGAATCTACATCGTACAAATTGTTTAAATATCTAAATGACGTTTAAATTTTAATTAGAGGTATATTATTTTTGTAAGCTATAAGGCTGCTATTACGAACAAATTTAGCTGGGAAGACCATGGTTGCTTAAAATAAATCCTAATGCTTATAAAGGTTAATAAATCCAGCTGACAGGCACCCACTGGTGGTCTGTGGACAGCGAGTGGAGAGCGTCCATTATTTTAGAGTAAGTGGTGTCATTATTGTTATTGATTAACACAAGATCGATGTACTTCTCATATGTTCTCTGGATGCGAGCGCTGTCCTCTAGCGTTTGCTTCATATCTTCCTCCTGTATTACAAACATACATATAAAGATTAAAACTATACTACATATCTACCAGTTTTTAGACTGGACATTTACATCAAGATATCAAAAGTGTTGATTGGATTTTTTTACTGCAATAGAATTTTTCTTCAAAACAGCTTGTCTATACTGAAATTTTCCACATTGAGACGAAGACTGTATATATAGAGATTTAGTTAGACGACATTTCTTACTAATATTATACATGTAAAATTTATACAGATGGGTATTTGTTACTACGTATCTATAGAACAGATTAATGGATCTGGCTATTTGGCATAGATGTAGAGCATAGTCTGTAAAACATATAGACTACTAATTGTTTTTTTAATTCTATGCGGACGTAGTTGCCGGTGACAGCTATGTAACCTTATTTTAAAACATAACATTATAAAATACAAATGAATTTAAGTGTGTTACCTCGTATAGCGATGCGAGAGACTCGAGCGTGCGCGCGCGCCGCGAGCTGTAGCGGATGGAGCTCTGCCTGTCGAACTACAGCGCACATGCACACAATCAACATGCATATACTATCTTTTACAAATCACAATAAACACTAAAATACTAACTCATCTATGAAAGTTACTCTATGTCATACATAACTTTAAATTTTTTCACAAACTAAACAGTGTTTGACCACAATTCCACCTAAACTGAGTGAAGACGCGGTCAAAGGATGGCATGCGCTAGCTTTTTAGCATGAGGATTGGGTATATTTGTAGTATTGCCACCTTATGAAATAAAAGAATTATGTTGGATACTGACTAAAATTTTGACCTCTAGTGTACAGATATAGTCTTAATACATTTCAAGACAAATAACACTAGAAACTTACAAATAATAACGACTAATTAAGAATAAAAACAGCTACATTCAACAACATAACAACATATGCACATATCATATGTAATTTTAACAGAATGTTGAATAATCTAAGGTAGTTGAGAAATTAAGGAGTATAAGTTTAGCAGGGTATAGGCATGTTATCAGGAAGGATGAATCGCATGTAATAAAAAGGACGTTAGTTATGAATGTGGAGGGAAAAAAGAGGTAGACATAGAAAGAGATGGATGGATTTTGTGAAAGGTGACATGATCAAGAAGGGAGTGATGACTGAGATGATGGATTATTAGTTATTTGGAAGACGAAAAGCCGGTGCTCCGACCTTACGGGGATAGGATAAGGTAGGGGAGATGAATGTTGAATCTACATGTGTACGCAGTAGTATGTCTGTCGGTGTCTGCTGACCGTGAGGTTCCTGTTGGAGGCGTATGTGAGGTTGCGCAGCTGGTCGATGCCGGGCGCGCCGACCAGCACCACGTACGGCAGGAACTCGCTGCTGTTGTGCAGCAGCTTCAGCGACGCCGGCGCGCAGTCCAGCACGCACATCTTACCTGTAAACACATCATTTACATAAATTTCTTCGGTGAATAGTAAAACGGGAATAAAATTTGTTATGCGAAAATCAAAGACATTTAAGAAATATATAGACTAGACATAATGAACATCATTTTTTCACTGGTAACATCTTTGCAATGTTAGTTGTCAAGTTTACTGCCACCTCATGTCCTTGTATTGTCAATTTTACAAAATTATAATAAGCTCCATCTTTTGTTATAAATAAATTAAATAGTGTAACAAAATAAAATTTAAACATGTAATATTATTTCACTAGTAATAGATAGCGGTAGTGAGCATTACATAAAAAATGTCTCAAGTGAAGTGTCAACTACGCTTCCTCTATATACTTTTTTAATATCTGGCGAAAATCTAAAACTATCTGGGAAATAGTAGCTGGACTTTAAATGTCGACTTAATATGAGAAATTCCCATTCTATACAAATACTAAGACTTTGAACAAGAACACTTAAATGGTGTTGATATAAATGAAATAGAATTAGTAGACTTACCCTCTTTGATGACGGCTCGTATGGAGTCCAGGTGTGTACCGTAGATGTGTCCGTTGTGCTCGCCGTACTCCAGGAAGCGGCCGGCGTGCGCGTCGCGCTCCATCTCCTCGCGCGACACGAACCAGTACGACAGACCGTTCTCCTCCAACGGACGCGGCGGACGAGACGTATCTGCATATAGACAAACAACGCTTTACATTCCAAAGTTTGAATCTAAACGAGGTTTAGGCAGAGGGCAATCTGCACTCCACCTCAAGCACGGTATAGGGTGGTAGGTCATAGGGTGACTAGGCCTATGTTATTATTTAGAGTAGGCTCCGAGCCGCTCAGCGGGGACGTATAATGAGCTAGTGATGATAAAAATAATAATAAAATCATACATATTTTACAAGTAGAGTTCTGGTGCTGGGACATTCTTGTAAGTAAGTTATTTACTTGTGACAGAATGACTCGTTTTTCCATAGCATACATTACATTTTGCTTATATCTAACAGTTATACATTTTAAAGATTTTTTTTTATAATTATTAGTGCGTTTCTTTGATGCATCTCATGCGTTTCATGATGATGAATAAATAACTGAAAACCACTCACGCGGTACAACAGCACCAAATCTGTCAGGATGTTCGTGTATCATGCGGTTCTTGAGCGTGCGGCGGCCCACGCCCTTGGTGCCGACGAGCGCCAGCACGCGGCGCAGGAAGGGCGGCGTGCGCGCCACCTCCTCGTACAGCGACAGCTCCGCGCCCTCCAGCTGCACGCTGGACCGGGACTCGTACACAAACTTCTTTTTCTTCTTCGATATCTGTTAAAATATGTGAAATGCACAAACATTTGGTATCACTAGTATCGGTTCATAATGTGCGCAAATATTTAGTAAAACATAAAAAATTGGCACTTAATTTTACTTATATTATAAATGCGAATGTCTGGATGTATGGATGTTTGTTAGAAGGCATCACCAGAATTAATGGATCTTGATAAAATTAGGCATAGATAATAGACTGGAAGAAAACATAGGCTACTTACTATGTTTTTTCTTTAATTATGTGCGGATGAAGTCACGGGTAAAAGCTAGTCAAATATATTTTTTTAGGATTCCAGTAACTTCAGTACATGTACATTATCAATAATATTTGGAAAAATTTAATACATCAAGAATGGTTTATTAATAATTAGAAAAGTATAAAATAATAATTATTACTATAATTAGTCCAAATTGAGAAGTAAGATAAACAAACATAAAAATGAATTACCCGCGCACCACAGATGCTTATTTTGTGTACAAAGTCTGCTTCAGGCGGCACATACGCCTTCCGTCTCTCTTCCAACTCAGGGGAAGGAATGAGACCCACTACCTCTGTGTTCTCAACATGACTCGCTTGCCACCAATTTGGGTCTTTTCTATCTGAAACCTTGATACATTGAAGTTTAAATAAAAGGAAGTTAGTAAAATATTAATATTAATTACCATTAACAATAAAAATCTGATATGAAAATAGTCAAATTTACCTGTAAAATATCTCCTTTGTTGAATGGCAATCCAATTTCCTTACATGGAAGTAACGTGTCGTCTTTTGGATCATAATCAAAGAGGGCTCTCATATAACACTGAAAATATAAAATTTTTGTATATAATTATCAAAGTTATGCTACCATGAAACAGACCACTAAATGTGATTATTAAAACTAAAGATACTTACGCTAAGCTTATTTGATAATTGTCCACTTTTCTCTTTTAGATTCGGTCCCACTTTTAAGGTGACTCTATCATTGGGCTTGGACACTGCTTCTTTAAGCTGGTCCTCGGAGTCAATATGTACACCATCTACTTCCAGAAGTACATCTCCTACAGAAAGTAGTGCTTGTTTAGCCGCAGCACTACCCGCTAATATTCTGGCTACTATAAGTTGCCCATGTTCATCTGTTGTAACCTGAAATAAAAAGAGCTTTTTATAAAATATAGCTCCCTTCAAAATATGTGTCTTTTTATCTCTACTAGTCAAAATATCATATTAAAATTCAAGACAGCCAAACATAAAAATATCTAGGCCTCTTCTTAAATAATACAATACACTCTTTAACATAGCATTTGTTTCTCTCAGTTAAATTGCTCATCAATTACTTAATTGTCTATTCAATTGAGGCAATAATTGTGAAGTGGCAATGGCTTTCGTAATAAATTAGTGGACCAATTTAAATACTGGCGAACCATAAAAGTTGGTTCTTTGATGTATTTTAGTTATTACAATGATTTTAGAAATCAATTTAAATTCACATAACCTATTCATTTTTGTAAATACTCATTACTCTTATTTAGCAAAAAGAAGGGATATGAAAATAAATACAGAAAAACAAAACAAAGATTTACATCAATAAATTGTTCATGACAAGTCAATGCATGTTTAATTCCTAAAAAGCAATTAAAAAATACTAACAGGCTTCACAACTTACAGTTAGTCCTAGAGGCTGACCGGGCACTTTTCTTAATCCTACTACTTTAATAGTTTCCACAGGCATGTCTCCGTTTAAGTCAAGATCAAGTCCTTTATCAGTGTTGTCCGTTGTTTCACTGTTTTTGTCCTTCTCAGTTGCTTTCTCATCTATGCCTGAGCCTCTATCCAGCCAAATTGCTCCAATTTGATCATGAGCATCTATAAGAGCCTGAAAATAGACAATAAATAAATATTTAGAATCTACGATGCAATATGTTTTTTTTGTCACCAAGCCTTTGTTACGAAAACAATGGTTGCCAACTCGATTTATTTAGGAGAAATGTTTTGGGTACTCAGTTACCGTGACATTATAGGCAGATATTTTTAAAGTAATAAACAGGGATTGAAATTTCTAAATCTTTAAGACTGTTTCTAAACACATACATACCTTAAAATGCACTCGTGATAGCAATATAGCGAGTTCTGCTTGCTCAATAGTTCGTATGTTATTGCCTCGATATTCACTCAACGAACGTATTATGTTTACGTTATCCAAGGAGACGGGTTTTATTATTAAGTCCTCCTCAGAATCTACGGACTGTAAAATAAATTCGTCGTCTTAATAATTCAATACAGAATGTTGATACCAATAACAAAAACTGGCTTTAGGCGTGGCACTTGTTTATATCATTTATTGAATTAAAAATGATATAATAAAACAAATACACAACACTTTCATACATAATTCCGCATATGGCCTTAATTACTTACGTGATACCAGTAACAATTTGATTATATTTAAATTTTTTAAACAAAAATGTTTAATAATTAAAAAGGAATGAACACACCCATCCTACTCGATTTCACATTAACGGTTTTCCTATTGGTTAAAAAGTCATAAGAATTTTTGGTTTGTCATTCAATATTAGACATTAACTTTGTAGCTTAAGATCGATTGTCCATTACCACATTGAAAACCTGTATTACGTCAGGAGTGGTTGGCAGTTGCTGTCAAAGTAGCTTTCAAAAAGGTACAGATAAAGTAACAACGTTGTAGAATATACAAGCATGGAATCAGTGTAAAAAAACAAATTAAAATCATTAATTTTCTTTTTTCTCTTTTAAGTAATAGATGAAATCAACGAGATGCGGCAAAGTATGAAGTGATACCATGCTATAGAATATATAAATGAGTGTAAAAAATTGTCGTAAACGAACAGAGACGGCATTGCCTGCCGCGGCACAGGGGCCTGTGGTAAACCACGGAACATAAAACACTTTCCAGTGTGATCTTGTCCCTTCTTTGTTTTTAGTTTTTGTCACCTCTTTTTAATTTCAATTGCATTTCATGACCTAGGAGCAGTTAGTACTATAAGTATTAAATATTCATGTCGCTTTTGTCAAAGATAGACGACGATGATAAATTATATATACTTTTGTAGATACTGAATAGCAGACCATTATGGGATTTTTTTAGTTGTCGTATGTTACAACTTGGGTTTTATATTTTAATAAGATTCCTTATCCTACTTAGGTATTACTAATGTTCTAATGCATACATATAAGGGTATAGTATTAGGTATATCACGAATGATTTATTGACATAATGTTTATACACATACAAATTTATCGCAAGTCGTTTATTCGTGGAATTACAAAGTTAGCGAATATGTCATCCTGTTCTGCGTTTAAAAGTAAAACGACTACTCACATATTTTCTCCCAAAATCAGGACTTTCGATAATGCTTTTGAGAAAAATGTCTTCGTGGTTAGATAAATCTTCTTCAGGCTTTTCTTCTTGTTTCTCTGTAAGATATACATGAATTGTTAAAATCTCAATAAAAACAGTGCAATAAGGAAATTAACAAGTCACACTGCAGTTTTATGAGATTCTTTACTTTTAGAAACATTCTTAAAATAAACATTAAGAATCAAATAAGAACTTTAATTTACTGTAACAATTTCATTTATTTAAATCATTTCAATGGCAAAATAAAAATATTAAGTAAATCGTCTGAAATATAAATTTTCCTTCTGGGAAGGTTTGAATTTATCGTACGTGCTCAATGACGCGCTATAAATATGTCTAGTGGTACTCGTTAGGTGGCGGCGGGTGTTAAGTGATGCATTACACATAAAAAAGACAAAAAATATGTGTATAAAATACCTGGGCAAGAAAAGTTAAAATGGCTTTGAAAGCAATAGGTCTGGCGACTTTCCTGTATATTTTCTGGCTTGACCACGGCGTCGCCAAGGAGAACCCTTTATAAAAAATATGCTAGCCTCCCTCGATCATTAGCTAGCGACGCTCTTGACTTTTACAATTAATCATTACATAATTAAGTAAGCAAGTTTCTACATTTAGTATATAAAATAAATTACTGTGATACATGTAACGTTATGGTCAAATATCACGAGATATTTCACGTTAGTTTCATGACAGTTAAATTAAAATAGTTACTTTTAATAATAGTAACCGACACAAAAGGTTCGCTAAATGCCATTTGACGATTCTTTATTCCTTATAGAGTTCAACGGATTGCGCAACAACAATGAATGACATGAATTTATACCTTCCGAATATTTTATACAGGCAAAAGCGTACAATTCAATCGATGTCATCGGTTAAAGGCATTTTTTATAATATTCAATTTAAAGTACCGTAAATAGTATTTACTAAATATTGTGGTGAAAATTAATATTTTTTATTTATATCTTTATTCACATATTTTTTGTTCAAATGAAATTACCTAACTTAATAGTTTATACGTACCAATATCGAAAACATCTAACATCTACCTGTATGACACCTCGTAAAAACTTTTGCTTATTAACGTGTGAAAAACAAACAGGGTACATTCTAAATTAAATAAAAGAAAATGTTTCTTCCAATAATCAATAGCGAATCATCTGTTAAAAGTCAAAAACACAGTGATTCATAACATAAACGATGTTTTCACGCACGCAATATCCTGCAGCTATAACCGTTGCGACTGCGACCGACTGCGGCATTCCGAATATCGAATTTTACGATATTTCAAATAATACGTCGAAAGCGTCCACGAACATTGTAATGCTTACCGGTCTTTACTATTTGAGGTTAGGATCGCTGTAGTTCGAATATTGTCAAAGTACTCACCGTCGTCAGGCGGCTTGTTCCCGAAGGCGAAATCCCGGAAGCCGCGGAGGCTGACGGTGTAGCGACCGTTCCTGCGGACCATCATGAGTAATGTTCTTTACACAACACGGAGTACTAGAGTATTCAGCACGGATAAGGTTTGCGTGGCATGTGTGCCGGAGCGCGGGCCGTGTGGGACGTGCGCCGTGGCTGCGCGGCGACGGCGACGACGGCGACGCGTCACGCGCACGCCGTCAGCTGAGCGCGCCGCGTCACGCCGCCCGCCGCCGCCGCCGCCCGCCCTTCGCGCCTGCGCATAGCGCAGATCCCATTCCGAAATCACGTCACTTATAGTGAAGCTACCTGGACTTTGTCACAGTAACTGTCGATATTTGTTACCATTTGTCACCAAAAGATTGGAAAAAAATAGATACTTTAACTTTGCTAACTAAATTATGCCTGATATTTGAATCCGTATAGTTAATAGAAATTTAGCAAATACAACTGCCTGTCATAGGTAAAACACATCATAATAATGATTTTGTTAATCTGGGTTTACTAAAGAATTCTACCGAAGTTTAAATGCCCAAAGTATTCATATTATATTTATTAATGATTCGTGGTATTACTAATTCAATATGTCAACCTAAAATCATTAATGTATCGATATTAATGCTAGCCATCTCTTCAATGAGCCGCCCGCCCCAGCGCCGCCGATGTTATTACGTGATTTCGCAACCAAAGCTCGTTCAACTTTCTTGTTTTCTCATTTGCCTCACTCACACTTGTGCGAAATGCGCGACGCGACGTGTGTGGTATGACGACAAACTTGGAAAATCGATTTCATTCTTACTATATTCATCTGAACTTCAGATACATTTTAAAGAAGCAATTTAGTAGAGTATGTATAATGTGAAAAAACTAAAGTTATTATTTATACCGACTTCAGATAAATTGGGATCAGTCTAAATAAAAATAAAACGCATAAAACGTTATGATGCGTCTATAAAATATGCGCAGCACTTATTGTAAATATGATGTAGAGTGTAAAATAAGAGTTAAAAATATAATCTATTTGCAAGTGTAAGAAAGAATATAGGATATATAATTTTAACACGAGTTCGTAATTTAAATAAATTATCTTAACTAAAGTAAAATAAAATTATTAACAAAGGTCTTTTAATTTCATGATGTCTGTGGAAGACAATGATGATTCCATATTATATGATTCGTTGGTTTATTCACAAAAAAAAAACAGTAAAATAAGTACCAAAATTATTGCTTGTTTCTAATTAGCCAGCGACATATGCCAAAATATTACGGTTTTCATGTCCGCAATGCAATGTTGCAAAGATTAAATTGTTGTGTATGTATTTTAGTACTGCTAAATATATTTCATCATAAATAGATTACGTGGGTTAATTTTATAATCATATTTTCCCAGAATATGTTCAATAGATTGATTAAATAGAATATGTGATCATAAGATTGTTTAAGAATGGTTAGAAATAATAAATAAACCATCATCTTGGGGTAAGTAAAAAAAATACTATGGACAAGTACCATAAACATAATGAGATTGAAACTTTAGTGTGGCTTGCAATAAGCTGCTAGCGCACTATTACGTCTTATTACGTATTAATGTAAGATATCGTGTTATGCGCAGAGTCTAGTATTAAATTGCGAACCGCCAAAAAGTTTGGACGGCACTGTATACGAAGATCTCGTGATATTATATCTATTTGTTTTCGTTATGATAAAATGTAACCTTATTTGTCTTTGTGATTTAAACGTTGGGGTCAAGGGTGATCTTCGTCATTACATGTTGTTATTCGATTGTCACGTTTGTAATTTTTTAAGTAAACTTGTCACGACTTATTTGTGCCATAACTTCGAACGCATTTTTACTGTATACTGCACTATTGATCTTATATCGATAAATTGTATCTTAGTACAATATGTACGTTATTTGACCATATGATATTTAAGATCTCACTGTGCAACACAATAAAGCTAATGTGCTTCATTATTGACAGAGTTTTGTGTTTTAGCTAGATGATATCATAAATGCTTGAAGACTTTATTGTTATGGAAGAGAACTTTATCTTGGTAGCGGCATTTGCCGTCACCTTACTACGAACCAACTGTTTATTAACCTTCTACCGCACGGGAAAGTAGCGGTCATCATCTGCACAGTGCACAGTGCGTTTGGATACACGGATTAGATAATGCAGTTGGTGTTAACATGCTGTCGGACCACTGCACAATGAAGCTCTCAGAAATAACTATTATGTAGTCAGTTTATGGTCGCATAAGCGTCTTGTTGGCATTTATTTAATGCAAAACACAAATAATTAACAAACAGCAGTGCTTTTTATATTTTTTGAATATACAGAAAGTGTTGCTATTAATTCAAAACGGCCTAACAAAGCATAAAGCTTGTAGTCAATCTGTTGTTATTCTTAAAGCGAATAAAAGTCTATAGAGAAAACGTAACGTAATTAACGATGTGTTCAACAATCAAATTCATGTACACAATTATAATTTCTCTTATACATTATGTACTTTGAATCTATACGTTGAACTCTCGATAAAGGAAGTTAATTATGTGGCACAAGTGACGCGTGCCTCAGACGATCAGCATATCACCACTACGTTATTTGCCAACGCCAGGCCTTGACTCCGCCGAAGATAAAAGCGATTATATTTGACAAATAAACAAAAGCTCACGTTTATTCTTATCTTAGACGTAGCTCAATCCAATTCCTTATTTGTTATTTATCAAACTTATATAGTAGATTAATTGTGGAGGATTAATAGTAGATTGCGGTTTCCTTAATTGCATATACTCTTGTGATTGTTTTGATTTTTTTCTCATCAATGTTTATATTAATGTATGAAGTATTTTATAGTGGTATAAACACGTTACATTCATAAACAAATCATAAAGATGGGACATTTTGACACAGACATATAAGTAATTGATTACCTATAGTTATTTTATTCTAGCCCATATTAAAATTGTTTGATTAGCGATGAAGTCATCGTAATTATTTTCGGCAGTTTAAGTCTCAAACAGCAAATCCTTTCATGATAAGTGTACAGACTTTTATCACGTACAGCAATATTCTTACAAGTGTTTACTCATAAATAAGAAAATCCGTAATTAACTGTAATCTCAATTTTTATGTAACGAGTAAAGTTGGAGCTGGTCATTAAAAATATGATCGTGCAACCTGGACGACAGTTCAACTTTCATTGCATAAATGCTAAACGGAGCTAGTAACGAAGATAAAATTCTCTTGTTTCTCTAATCATAGTAGCCACTTTCCATAGTGTTGAATATGTTCACGGCGATGTAGCGATCTGGAGTATCTCTTGCACTTACCTATATCTTGATCTTTTGCGCCTTCTTTGCGATTGTATGTGTACTTAATATTGTTGTATAACCTTAGAACGAGTCGTTGTCATTTACAGCTCTTGTCTTTTTGGATGGATCCGCTATCAGTCGTACGTCACAGTAAATATCAAATATAGACATGTTACTATTGAGTTCCCACTGGGCGCGTGCTCGTCCGTGATAACGGGGGTCACGGGTTACTCTTATATATGAGGGGCTGGCCGGCTCTTATCGCAGTCACTCCGGCCTGGCCTACATGAGCCGTCGTTGTTTCTTGCACACACTCAAAATAAAGTAAATTGTTCGAAATGCCGTGGACTAGCACCAACAGGTACAATAAATATCTAAGCTTTCATCGCAGCTTTTTAAATTATGGCGATTTTCTCCGCACAAGTCTATTTTTTATGTCTACGCTTTCGTACTAATTTTATTGTTTTTAATATAGAATCTATGCGAAACCCTCCAACACGAGTGGAGGCGAGGGAGTCGCGATCGTCGCGGCCCCTAGCAGTGCTCGCGCCGCGCCTACGGCCGCCGCAGACACCGGTGGCCGGTTCGAACTCAGCGACCACGGCTACGGAAAAAGCTGCGTTAAGCTCCTACACGTGTACCGTGACGGCGAGTACCATGCCATTCGGGAGTACGACGTGTCTACTGAGTTGAAGCTGACCAGCGAATCGCCATACGTGATCGGTGACAACAAAGACGTGGTCGCCACAGACTCGCAGAAGAACACCGTCTATTTGCTGGCGAAAAAACACGGTGTAAAGACGCCCGAAGAGTTTGGCGCAGTGGTTGTGAACCATTTCCTGTACACGTATAAGCAGGTCGGCGAAGCGAAGTGTCGTGTGGTCGAGTACCCGTGGGAGCGGCTGCAGGCGGGCGCGCCGCATAATCATGCATTTATCTTCTCACCCGCAGCCACGAGGTGGTGTGAAGTTTCTCAAGTTAGACACGGTGAGCAAATCTTAAAACAAATGGGTTTTTGAAAACATATTCATACTTTTTAGAAGCCGAACATTTTCCTTATAATAAAAAAAAATGGTAAAACAATATTCCCCATTAATTTCCAGATTGGAATTGGTGAAGTCAAGTGGCAAATATAAAAGCATTTTTCCCTAAAGTTATGTTAAGTAAATACGTTTTTACTAATACATTAAGATAGTTGTTTTTTAATATTTTTTCTTTACAGACGCAGTAGTTGTTAAATCAGGGCTGAGCGGATTAAGAGTGTTGAAAACGACACAATCCGCTTTCGTAGATTTCGTTCAAGACGAGTACACAACCCTTGCGGATGCTGCTGAAAGAATATTCAGGTATTTTATTTTAAAAGTGATGAAATTACTTTTTAAAACCCTTTTCCAAAAATAATTAGACCAGATAATTTATTTCAAAAACCTTTATTTTTTTGCTATAGAATCCTAAATCCAATAAAACCTTTTAAGTGATAGACTGAATTAACTATAAATTAATAAAATTAAATAAGGTTATCAAATACTAGAAAACTTTAAACACTAATAGACTTTTATACATCTGTTATCTAATACCCCGGAAAAATGAAAGTCACCTACGCCTTTGGCTGATAATAACAAAATAAGATAAATATTGCATATGTGATTCGTTAGAATATGTTGTATTTTATGTTTAGTACGGTGGTGGAGGCTGAATGGACGTACGACAGTATGCGGACAGCAGACTTCGATAACGCATGGCTGACGGTGAAGGACGCCATCTTGGAGAAGTTCGCCGGCCCGCCCGACACCGGCGTCTACTCCCCCTCCGTCCAGCACACCTTGTACCAAGCTGAAAAGATGGTCTTAGAAAAAGTGTCAGAGGTTAGTACTTCAAAGCTACCTTCCTTATTATCAGCAGTTACACATAATATACGTTCCCACCGAGAGATTAGCTCACTCTAGAGATATGGTTAGGCCTTAATAGATCACACTGGTCATGTGCAAATTAGATGACTTTTGAATTTCTTCTCAGATTGGTACAGTTTCCACACCATCTTTACTCATCTCTTTTTGTTATGTTGCCTTTAACTTTGCTTGTTTTATAATATTTTGGTCTTTTAGGAAATATCTATTTAAAAACAAACGCGAAGAGATAATACACGATTAGGGTTTATGAACTTCATACAAAGTGTTGAATATAATAATAGTAATTAAAACAGTTTGTCCCAACGTTTAAAAACATGTTTATCTCGTGGAGCGAGTGATATAAGCATCATGATATTTTCGGGTGTTACTTGTCCTTAATTAGCTCTGTTTGTTTACTAATCAAGTGGTCATGTGCCGGGGCTATCTCAATGAAATGTTATTGTACCTAGTGAAATAACAATACATAATATATCAGTATATAGGACGACCGCGTGCAGCGATAAGTTATTATAAGGATCGCTACTGTTTATATCACAATTATTTGTTGAACGTGTGCTTATTTCAAGCGATAATTGTCTTAACTATTAACTATTGATTGTGTTTGGAGACAAGATTCACATCACGTCAGCCAACTTATCAAATCTATAATATTCGGCCTATAACACCAAAACAATGTTAGTTTCTATAAATAACAATCTGATAGTTAGAATTGATCTGTTATCATAAATGACTGAATTATTAGTAATAACTGAATTATTTTGTTTTCAGATTTCGTGGATTAAGATGACGATGCCGAACAAACATTATTTAAATATAGACATGTCCAAATTCCCCGCCAATGTAACGAAAGGAGACCCGAGGCATCACATCTACCAACCCATAGATAAGCCAGCGGGACTAATCTACGCACAGCTACGCCGTAGACCAAAGAGCCACTTGTGATGTAGCTTAAGGTTACGTTTCGTAGCATTGTCTGCAACGTTAAAATAAGGCTATTTTAGTGAATCGTTATACAGATATTTTGCTACTAAGTTACTAAAAAATCTTGGATCTAAATTGTAAATTTTATTTTAATTGAAAATGGAAGTTTAGTAGTCGAGTATTTTGCTTACATTATTAGTACGTAGTGGAGTTTTATTAGCGACTTTTTTTGACCTAACAATATTGTTTTGTAATTTGTCGATGTTTTCAATATATTTGTAATCTCAACAATGTAACCATGATCATTAATATTAGTCTTATTCTTTAAACTTTAGTATTTTAAAAACACATTCCGTGTGATTTAGTTCAAATTAGTTTAATGTGTGTATTTTATAAGAATTTTCAATACAAATACATTTGATAGGTTATGTTATGAAATATAAGCGCTCCAATTCTCAATAAAGTAATCAAAATCTAGTCAACTTAAGAGAGTGAGGCGCCACATCTTTTTTGGTATCAAATCTGAATTATATTCTGTATTGGTTTAACGTAAATATGTCATGTTAATACTTTACTCATCATCATCTCCCCTGCCTTATCCTACTCCCGTAGGGTCGGCGCACCGGGTTTTCGTCCTCCAAAGCATTCTATCATCCGTCATCTCAGTCATCACTCCCTTCTTGATCATGTCACCTTTCACGCAATCCATCCATCTCTTTCTAGGTCTACCTCTACCGATGTACCCCTCCACATTCATAACTAATATCCTTCTTGTCACATGCGATTCATCCCTTCTCATAACATGCCCATACCACTCTAACCTTTTACTCCTTATTTTCTCAACCACTGGGGCTACTCTCAAACTTCCTGTTAATACTTTACTCATTATTGTTAATATTTAAGCTGTTAATACAAAAATCCAAATGATATTTTAATTGTATATAAGAATGGGATATAATTGAATTCTGTAAAATATTGTTGAATCTAATATAAAAAATAACTAATAAATAAGAATCGTATTAAAGTGTGTTTCATTTTATTAATAAGTACAATATTCTTTTAGAAAGTGATTTGTAAGAAACATTTGAAATTTAGTCTTATTTTGGTAGATATACTTGTAAATATCAAAAATCCAGGAATAGTTAAATAAAAAAGTTATTTAAACAAAACATTTCCTTATTTATTTCATTTCAATATATCACTTACTACAACTATTATACAATTTTTGTAATTGTATATTTCAATTTTTTTGACATAATCATATACTTAGTAAAAAAAATATTTGTTGTAATAAATATACAAAAGTAGACAAAGATAAATGACTTGTTTGTTACATTTTTTATTAAATACGTTTAGTGCCAATGATCTTATCAGCCAGTGCGTAGAGCTCTTCGACGGTCTGAAAAGAAAAAAGAATCCACCGATTAAGTTGTTACATAAGCCTATCAAGTACCAATTTGCTATAGAAGTTTTGGTGTCCGTAAAGATTTTAGTATCGGCATTGCATCGATCGGAGAAGGCATCAAACGGTAGCGTAGTAAACAAGATTTAGTTTACGAAGTGTTGGAGTTGACGGAGGAATTAAGTGTTCTACATTGTGAAATCAAGTGTAAAAATGTATTACACACTTGGAATACATACGAATTAACAGTTTTCAAAATTATAATAACTACTCGACTTTGAGAGTGCCAAATGCAATTGCATTATTATTTTTGATTTGTGACAGTAGTATCCTGTTATTTTTGTGATCACATCCTCTCGAAGCGTTCCACATTTTACTAACGTCAGCAACAATTCAAGATTAATCACGTTTACGGAACAAATATTTGAAACAAAGATTTGTTTATTCGTGCCAAGCAACAGAGAGATGTCAATGACACCGACTGACGCTCGTGTCCGCATTGCGTGGACTCTGCACAGTCGCCATCTGCCGGACGCGATTTTTACACGATAACTACAATGTATGCTGATAGTAACACTAATCAGAAATGACTAACTGTCCACAAGCCCTATTACAAAATGTATCTAGGTATAAATATTTTGACATTGATTAAGATATAAAGGAAGATCGGTTCTTAACAGAACTCTGACCGCGTACCGCCATGCTACGGCGGTATTGTACCAAATTTTTCGAAGACTGAAATCTCTATTAATTTCTCGTACGATACAACAGAGAGCAAATCAGTTATCGGGAAACTAGCATATAATATATGGAGATGGAAACAACATTTCCGATATAATAAAAACTTATAAAGCATTAAATACCGCTATTAAGTATTTAAAAGATTTTTCTTTAAGATGATAAAGACAGTTGATCTGCCACTCTTTCCTATATAGAGATGATGTGATTGAATGGTTTACAATATAGGTATAAATCGTACGCATTTATAAAACTCAATTACTGCAGTATGCATTAACCTGACTATCGGTCTGCCAGTGAGTGATACGTGGAAGGTTAATCACGTTTCATCGTGATTCATTTGAACTTGATTAAGTTTCTAGTTTAAACTAGCCAGAGTAAGTAAACGATAAGATTTACTTTGTAGGTTTGTTTCAATTTGTACGTTACAGAAAATTTCTATGCAAAAACAAATGAATAGTAAAAGTAAAAAAATGGCAAGAATCGATCATATTGTTAGCGATCAAAACTTAGACTTTATAAAATGTATTTAACATAATAAAAAGAGTTAGTGAATTTGTTTGACATTCTCGATATAGTCTAAGGAAGGGACTGAAGTTCGGAAAACAAGATTATAACTACAAATTGGTAAACAAAAAATCAATAAAACCGTCTGGCTCTGACACTTTGCGCAAGAATGGGTAAAGATTGAATGACTATATCACTCATTAAAATCGTTTATATACGAGTACATACATATAAAAACAGTACCTTCCTAAGATACTAAAACAAAAAACTATGAATTGAATATTCATTTAAATGGACCAAGAATTAAAAATATTGTCTTAACATAACTACTCAAGTTCTCAGTGGCACATCACGATTGTTTGTTTAGTATTCGGTATCAAGGAGCAAACTGAGCTAGGGGTCACTCGGAGTTATTAGATATCCGGTTGTATCCAGTTTGACACGAGCCTTGTTACTTGTATGTAAACAAAATGTCGATTACTTCGTGCACCATCTAATACAAGTCGTAAATCTTAAATGGTCCGCAGGGAGAATGAGCGCCGATAGTGCAGACCTTTTGACATTCTGGCATCATTTTGTTGGATCTAGACTATTCTAAGTTATGTAAAAATAATTATTTAAGAATTAAAGAATACTATCCAATGTGAGCTCTCTATTTGCATCCCATTATATTTAAAAAAATGTGTGTTTAAATTTTGTACGTATTACATCATTTAAAAATTTTACCGTAAGGTTTTTTAATGTCTTAACATCGTTGGTTTCATATTTAAGTACTGCAAATTGTTCCTCGGTGAAGCGGACGCCATTCTCAATGTCTGCTAGTTTGCGTTCCTCTAAATCGGCTTGACATTTAGCAAGGAGTTGCTCAGCGGTGAGCTTTGAACTTCCATCATCAAATTCTTCTGCTTCACTTTCTTCACCGATAGTCTAAAAATGTAGTTCATTAAAAACTAGTTCTTAAAAGGTTGAAAGTATAAGGAATATAAAACATAATCTTTCTGAACGAAACATCGTCACCAGCATCAATTTGGAGTTATTTGTAAAAATACAAATAATTAAACTTTTTATACCGAGTAAAAATACATGGCTTACCTGATCAGCTTTTTGTGATGATTTTAGTTTTCTGTAATATGCATCGGCTCTTTTCTTCGACGCTTTGGCAACTTCCTTGTTCACCATCCTCCAAAACACAAACACGGGGTGATTGTGGAGCTCGGGAGGGCACTCCTTGAGGGGAGTCTTACCCACCAGTATCAATCTTTTCAGTCTTTCCATCTCATCGAGCTGTGGGCATAATTACTTTTAGTAAAAAGTGTTTTAGAAATATGTTAGTACATAGTTGTACTAACATATTTCTAAAATTGTAGTTGTTAGTACATCATCAACTACGGTTTGTCTTTCTTTTTTCTTAGCATATTGTTTTGCTGTCAATACTCACGACTCTCATAGATATTCTTTTGTTGAGGTTCTCCTCGTTGACGCTGCGTATCATCTCCTCCAAGTCGGTCATGTATGTCTTGTCGGTGAGGCGCACCAGGTTGGAGCCCATGTGCTTCTCGAGGCGGGCGCGGACATGCGGGTGCAGAAAGCTAGAGCAAAACATTAACAAATTGAAACACTGTATGATTGGACACTAAACATGATGCACAATAATTAGGATAAGGAATAAGTACGCATTTTCTACGCTTATTGCAAAAACCAACACAATTTAGTTGTAGTTTTAACACACAATGTTATAAAATTAACCGAGTTTGTATAAAAATGTTAACTATTGCATCTAAAAGCAAATTTAACAGCAGACGCTACTTACGTGCCCCGCGCTGGCTGGTGCAATGTTTGTCGATTCGTTTTGGCTGCGATTTTTGATGAACTTGGAGCAGAAGACTGACTTACCGTCTAGCCGCGTTCGCCGTAAAGTTTTAGTGGTTTTGACGCGCGGTGGCTCGTGTCATAGTTGAGACCTTTATAGTAATACAGTGTAGGGCGAGCCTGGTACTGTGAGGTACGCCCGCCGACACCACATGTAAGTCGCCTCTAAGGGAACGTATACATTTACTAGATGGAATTAATTTGCAAATAAAGAAAGACTAACATGACGATGAATATAGCTAATCTATTGGAAGCTTATTTAAGACCCCGTGTAACCATGAATGTTTGTCTTTACTCGGCGGAAACGGAGATTTTGCGACGATTTGTATATATGTTTACGTAAAATATGTTTACATTATGCAATTAAATCAACCCATTTTGAAGTCATTCCAATCATATTATTCCCTGCTGTCTTGTAATTAAAGTCACTCGGTCTTCTTCACTTTTTTTAATTAGTTTTCGAGTTAATGTTTCCATATTGCATCAAATTAATATTTAATCGATACACGTTCCCCAGCAGGGAAAATGACAAGCTGATGATGATGTTTTAAGCAAAAATAATAAACAAAAGATTTATCCAGTATGTAAGCCACATTATATTGCGTGGCTAAAGTTTGTCAGACAATCATACGAGTACATGGTATAGAATTATGGTTTTGGTATAAATTTCGTTGATAGGGTGTACCTGTCAAAGTGTCATGATAAATTTACTTTAAAATACATTTTAGCTTTTTTTAGTTATCGATCAAAAATTTTATTTAAACACAACTTTAGATGTGTTAAGTTCAATTAAATTTAATTTAATAATCAGAAAAGGAAGACGCTGTTACACTTTGATATATTTAAAATTAACACGCATTTAACATTTTATGTTGTATTGCATTTATAAATTGATATGTGTGTCAAGGTATGAAGCCAGACTCATCGTAAACTCGCGGTAGCCGTCTTTATGGTTTAATAAATCTCCAAAACTCGGTAAGGCTTGACTTATTCGTCCTTATTTCGCTTTTTGCCGCTGCCTACAAAGACATTTAGTTAATAAAACTTTATTAGGGCGCTTTCAACTGTAAACTGTCACGCATCAATAAGAAAACATGCGTTGGGGAGATTGGCTCATAATTTTTTTACTATGTCTAGTCGTTTATTTTAAGAAAAACCATAATGTTATCGTTACTAAATACTGAAATATCACAATTTTTTCTTTAAATAAAATGAAATACAAAGATAAATTAAAAGCTACAGTGTTGGTCGCTTTATAAAAACCTTTTTCAATGTGTGTACGAAACCTTTATTGACATGGGGGACATATGGGGAATGTGTAAATTTATTTAGGGCGAACCAAAGACCAAAGTCTGATGTAGAGTTTTTTCCCTATATTTAGACCACTAGTTAATATAGCAGTGTAAATCAATGCTAATTATCATCATTAAAAACCCCTAGGTATATAATTGATAGTGGTTTTATTTAGTACAGGTTAATAGAAATTGTTTTGCAGCTGTTTGCTATCTTCAAAGTTTTAGATAAAATTTAAATCTTATTATATCCGAACAAAACTTAAAACTAGAAAATTTGCCAAAATAAAATGTAATCAATGTTATAAAATAGACAGAGGCTCAATATATCAATCATCTAAATCTTTGAAACGGATCGGAGCCGACAAATCGATAAAGAACAGACGTACTCTGGTGGGAATAGACCGAATAGATTGGAAATAGACCTCCAATAAATCGATGTATTGATGGACAAGATAGATCTTTCGTTGATTATAAAATAATCGAGTTCTAAAGATCGATTCGATATTTCGAAACTACGCTTGCATGTTGGAAAACATCACGAATACGATGGGAAGGGTGAGAAATTAATTGCTGCGTTGCGTTTGCGAGTAATACTGGTAAATTGTTTTTTAAATTACAATAACAGTTGCTTTGATTGTTTTGTTTTTAAGTTTATAGCTACCAATTAAAGGCGTTTGTGTCAATATATTTAAATCTTTTACAGGTGTCTTAAAATCCCTGGAAATAAAAATTGAGAAAATGTGAGGTGATTTTTAACTAGTGTGTTTTTGAAAGAGTTCAAAGAGAGATAAATCTTAAACTTTAGTATGGTCATAAAAATTCTAGGAATTACTACGAGTAATTATATATAATCAATATTTTAGTTAAGTGCTGTGGTTCACAGATAATAAAGCATATGATATCACTGGGACCTCCCCAGTTACAACGGACAGCATCACACTATCATTCCATTTCCCTTAACGATACGGTTTAATACAAAGAGGACCTTTATACCTACTCATTTAAGGAAAAGAATATTAAAATCATGTTATAATAATAATTATTATTTAGTTAAGTTTGCTAGGTTTTAATATTTCATTCAAATCTCATAAAAGTTCTAGCATAGCGGAATATTATCCACTTATTTATTAAATAAAAACTAATAGAGCATTGGAATTTAAAAGAAACATGCAATGTATTTGCAAACAATAAAAAAGAAAATAAAAATTAAAAAATGCGACGGCTGAATGTTAAATTAAATATCGGCATGTATTTAAACGGTTCAAATGTTATCTTAATAATATGATAAATGGGAAAGTTTGTATATTTGGATGGTTGTTTTATAAGGTATATTGAAGGTCTGGATGGACCTGTATGAATTTTGGCACAGATGTAGAGACAAGATGTAGTAACACACCTAATTAACTATTTTTTTTTATTTCGCGCGGACAGATTCACTGGCAACAGCTAGTATAATATCAAGATTGTCTTACGAAATAAAATCGTTGTGGCATTTTGTCGACTGAAGGTTATCTTACGTCCGTCTTGATAAACTATTACTTGGAGCAGTTGTAGAAAAGTATTTTTTTTTTATCAAATGGGGGAAACGTGCTGCAGATAGCCTCATCTATATTAATTGATCATAGGTATCGCCATGCATATCTTGATATCTACACCACCAGAGGAACCTTACGCGTTGCCTTTTTTACAACTTGGAATACTTCGCTTTGAACAATCTCAGTCAATTAGAGAAAAAATGGGGCAAGCGATGGCGAAATCTAATTTTACACGACTGTGTTGAATTTCGATATCATTAAATATAAATAATAAACAACATAATATGAAACTTAAAACTTTTTTGAATTACATAGTGTTTATCAATAGTCTTTACTTCGCAAACAATATTTCAATAGAGTGCAATACAAATATTCTTTAAAATACTCTACATCTTACAGAGCGACTTCTCAAATCCCTGATATTATATACACAGATATACATAAGAAATACGTAAGCTTGTTGCTTGCAAATAAAAACATTCGATAAGCGTGAGTTGCTAAAGCGATTCGATAGTCTGACAGAGGGGTCATCATAAATCTACGCAAGTCGTTTCCCGGAATGATTACACACTGCCCGAATTACAAGTGACGACACGACGACGTGACGTGTCACTCACGTGTATGCTGCGGTCTTCTGCTGTAAATACGCCCTAAATCTCCGGAAAGAATGCTCTCGAGATAACTCACCGATGAAATGTTCTGAGTCACTCGTAAATAAATAGTCTTGATACATACATTTTTATGGGTCGTTACACAAAAGTAGAAATCGACTGAGTTGAAAATGGCACGGCAATAAAACGTAACATCCGTGTAATAGAAATTTAAAAGATTTACGTATACTAACGTAAAATACTTTAAATAGTAATTAAATTTTACACATTCACTCATATGCAAATAATATATGTACTCGTCTTGAATCAAGTAGACTATATGATAATTTTACTTGAGAATATAGTGATAAATTAAACTACTTTAATGAATAAATATGTGTTTACGTTTAAGATGTTCGAAACGGCGTTATATCGTAAGCAGTAAAATCGAATACCGTGATATTTTTAAAGCCATAAAACTCACGTCACGGGTTTAAACAGTTTGTGAATGCTCGTTCCATTTTACGGTATTAGCATAGTTTTCATCTGCACTTACGCATAGTTTTATCTCTACATTCATTGTAGTAAGCGAGTTTTGATATAAACAACATCAGATTTTTTTTTAAAAGAATAAATGGCCGTTTCCAGAAATTTCTATTCCAAGAACACATTAATTTTACACTAGCCAGACTTAAAATTACTTACTTTATTAATTCACTGGTCTTTTCGGTTTACCTACTTTTTATTTAAATGGCGGTAAAAGCTAACAAATTTTGAAGAAAAATTCAGCAAACATCTACTTTGCACTCATTAACAATAAGTGAGTTTAAAACAACATTCAAATACAAAATGTACAATCATTTAGGATCTACCAAACGTGGAATTAATACGATAATATTTCGACTTTTCATGTTCGTACAAACAAATTGAAAATATACATAATTTGATATTGAAATAAACTGCGAATAGACGAAACCCCTTTGACGTTTTATCCCATCGAACATCCATAAAAATACATACGTAGGTCTGTTTTATAGAGCCGTTACTTTCCGAGAATAATAAAATAAAATGGGATTTCCGAGATCGATGTAACATCTGGCTAACGTATTTATATTATTATACACAACTTAAGGTTTTTCATCGCCCATAACAAGTGTAAAATATTTTAAAAAAGTAGTAAAATATTGTCAAAAGTATTTTTCTAAACACGATAATCTATCGCAAACGACGAAGAAAAAGCGATTTTTTTATGTCGGAATAAAAGCGCGTAAAGTCCAAATGACGCACAATGTTTACACATTACGTAGTCAAAACCTGCGAAGCACTTTCAACCAAAACAAAGCTTGTCTCGATAGCGTAAACCTGTCCGAGATCCGCTGACCGTAATTCATCTCTGATTTACGATCCTTTTAGATACGTTCAGAGGAAATACTTTTACACCGATTCCACCGCATGTACCGACAACAAATAAAAAATGCACCGAGATGTTACACGAAGAGCTATCGGAACAATATAATTTATTGTAGAAAAGAATGTTTCTGTAAGATTTATGGGTTAAAATTATTGGTACATTTCGTCATAACATGTGCGAGTAGTACGGTGCAGAGATAAAAAAGTTATGTGCATGTCGAGAGTAGAAAACCTCAAGGCGGACGTAGTCCTCGGCTGCAGGTCGATCGTGACTTCATCGTAATCGCCGGTGGAGCGCCGCCGGCCGCGGTCAGCTAGCAGCTCTATTGTCGTCCAGAAGGAGCTCTCCGAGGAGCTCGAGTTGGCTCGCTGCATGTTATGGATGCTTATGACGATTGCATGTTGTCCCACAAACGACTGGAGGTGCAATGACTACCGCCGCCATTACAGTCACCAAGAGCCTGCCACCCCCGATCGCGCCGCACCCCACGCGTCACCCTGCCACACGCGAACATTAATACTGTTTGACACGTCTGACGGATGATTTTCCGCACACTCGCTGAACGAATTGACACACAAGGCTTTTTCAAACAGCCATTGGAATATATTAATTTCAATATTACAATATAGTACACATTAAATTAGCACTTAACCGCCAAGTTTGTTCGTGTACTTGTACGTAATCTAAGGAGATATCTACTCTTAGAGGAGACATGTTATCTTTGACTCTACAGGTCTATAGATTTCAGGTGATAGTTGTCACATATTTTATTGGTCCTGTTAAGTATTTAAATGCTTGTTTGAGTGGTTGGTGGAGTGCCCTACATGTAAAGGTGTCCCGTTTTTGCTTGCGAGCCTAGCGCGGGTGACCCGGATGGCGCCAACGTCGCCGCGACCGGGTCAGCAGGCCGTGCGGCCTTCGCGTCCTACCAAAATAATTACGTTGTCATCCAGTTCATTGACATTAATTTATTGCATTTGTTCATTCCGTGATTCTTTCACGTAACCACGCCATGTGACGAAGCGCAACGCACAAGCTTTCGTGTGTGTATGCTTATACACGCTTGGCTTGAAGCATACTTTCCTAATGTGTATTCTTTCCTATAGTTGCGGACAATACTTTCTTCATAAATATACATAGTGTAACTGAGTGATAGGTCAATGAACTTGTTGTATAAAGTTAACTGCGAAAACTCGAAAGAACATTAACACGAACGTTAAAGTTTTCTGCGATTCTATCTTGCATAACATCGAGTCACTTTTTTGTGATGTAAGCTGAAAGTATAATAGAAAAACAGTTACATTGCAGTTAAATTTAGATTATTTGAAGAGCAAATGCACTATTCGGGAAAGTGAATATTACGATCCGATGATATATTGATATGAAAACGGCGACGTCAAGCGTTGCTAATCGATTTAAATTTTTCTGAGATGTATTTTTGTAAGTGAAAAATAAAATCTTAAAATTTATGTTGATCCATAATCGTTTTGTTCTTCTACGTACTTGTTTATAAATGTAACATATCGATTTTTAATATAAAAACAATTTTGACACAAGCTTTCAATAACAAAGGATTTTGTTGTTGAATATAATTAAAATTTATCTCGTTTTAAACCACTTGGATTCTAAAACTTTAAAGAAACAAAAACATTTTTAGAAAGTAATAGCTTTTGGCGCGTAATGTTATAGCTACCCTACCGCTCCACTCGCTCTATGGTCGTTGAGATCTTTACTTTTTTGTAAAACAAAGACCTTGTCGTAATTGATCCGAGAAGCGCAAAGTAGGCTTGACGTCAAACTAAAAACAAATGAATCTTCAGATACAGAAGTAATCATAGGATTTTTTTTAAATTTTTCTTAAGTAAAAATGTATGAATTTTTTTGTTAGTTTACTAATAAGGAGTATTTAGATTACATTTAAAACGTTAATGTAATAAACACGTGACAGCAACACTATCAGAGAGCGGGAGGTCACGTGATTACGTCTTTGTTACACACTAAATAGAACATGGTAATAATAAAAACTTATTAAAACGATACAACTAAACTAGAGATAAGAAAACTGTTATTATTGCTTAGCAACAAAACATAAGCTTAATAACGTAGTTATGTTTATCTACAAAGATTAATATAGCTAAACAGGAAAACTCAATTAAAAATACATCATCATCCCCCCTACTTTATCCTTCTTCTGTAAAGTCGGCGCACCGGGTTTTCGTCCTCCAAATAACCCTATCATCCGTCATGTCAGTCATCACTCCCTTCTTGATCATGTCACCTTTCACGCAATCTACCCATCTCTACAATAAAAATACAATTTCCAATATTATTATATCATGAAATTTCTTTAGCATTGCTCGTGGCAACATATACTGATAAAAGTATTGCACGAAAACAAACCGTCGTATGACCTATCTGTCAAAGGTGACCCCACACGGAGCAATCATTTGCAATATTATGAAAAAAATTCTACGAAATATATCATAATAAAATATTTATATTTAAGTTTTGCTGAAGATAAAATTTGGTCAACTGATAGCGTTTATAAATCAATGGATTTTTCTTATTGCTGATGCAATTTAAACAAATATATGCGCATGTTATTGCTAATATATTTTTATCAGAATACATTGTATTTTTAAGGTAACTACTACGTAATGTTAATTATTCTAATAACATTCTACATTACATCAAAAAACGTGTAACTAATTCAAATATTCTTATAAAAGCTGTATAGAATTCAAAAGTTATTTAAGCTATAGGTTATTAGTATTAAATAATGCCTAGTTATAAAACTCACCTCTAATCTCCAATATGAAGTCCTTAAAAACAAATCATAGATGTGTTTATCTATACTATCTATATCTATACTATTATAATAAAGCGTAAACACACACTTCTTCGTTGCCTAAGATGTCAGCAATTACAGCATATTTTTGAATAATTCTATTTTTAATAAAAAGCCCTACACTTACGTCACGCTTTAGGCTATATATTTTCACGCCATTAACCTTAGTGGCTAAATACTTTGGATAAAAACCATAATGTGGGAAAGAGACCATAAGTTGCTGCCAATATCAAGGAAGCAAGACTGTCAAGGTTTGTCATGTCATGTCATTTTGACATTTGCTATTAATAATTTGACAAATGTAAACAATAAAATAAAGCTTTCATAATTACATGCCGATGAAGCCGCACGGGAACAGCTAGTTAAAATATATTTCGTGGAACTAAGTTCATGTATGAACTCACGCATATTGTATGATCTTGGCCTGCCACCAGCGCGGCAGGTTGGGTAGTTGGAACCTCTTCATCCTGCGGCGTCTCTCCACCTCACCCTCGCCGAGCTCATCTTCGCCTTCCACCTGATACGTATGTTAATACGTCACAAATTAAGACAATATTACTTCCAGGGAATCTAGAAGGTGCATGCGGACAGACCGTGTGCGCCCTCCCGCGAATTAACCCGTATGACCTGAGGGTCTGTGGGGCCATGGTTGGTTGTGGGTAGGAAATTGTATATTATATTTATATATGCAGAAACTCTGCTATAAATAGTATGTTGATTAGCTTGTTATCCAAGCCTTTCGAACCTTAAAACCTCGGACAATCGATTGAACGGTTAAAATGTGGTTATATAATTATTCTTCATATTTTGTGACCGTTCCTTTGTAATGAGGAATTAAGATGCGGAATAATATAGGATAGTAGTTAAGAAAACCTAAGAATAATTAGGATAAGGCATTACTTACATGAATCTTGACCCTCTTATCTTTATCATTATCATCAGGCATTTTCGCTATTTTTATATCACTTTAAATTTTGAAAGAATTTTTAATTGATTTTATATTTTTACAATCTAACACATATTATACTGAATTTTGATCAAATTTTTAATTTTATTACACTTTTTAAAAAATTTCAAAGTCCAAAATTGACATTTTGTCAAATTATACAACCGTCAAGATTTTAGGAATTCTTTTTTTTACGTCAATTTTCATAGTTGCCAGTATCATTTTAAGTGACAAAGCCATAGAGCCAGCAGACAATACGTTGCACAGCTCCGCCCAAATTCATACCACATGATAAAAAGCATTTTCGATTTTATCTCCGTGTTTTTACTGCTCACTAGATATACATACATTGACGATGTAGAAAGTATTTGGATAATAAAAGCAGGACATGTTCTATTTAATAACATATATTTTATAGTCAAATCTGTTATGTTATTTGTGTGCATGCTTCGTTATTCAATGCATGTAGAGGAACGTGCAACTTGTTGCGGTATGTATTCCACTGCTCCCGGACTTCGATTTCCGCCGGGCCCCAGAGCGCGTTCGCTCGACAGTTCTCCTTGATACGCTGAAAGAGATCCATAGTACAGAAACCCTGTCATTTTCATAGATATGACCTTTACAGGCCTGAGAATTTGGTGAATACAAACTTAACATTTACATACAATCCAATGATTAAAAAAAAATATGCATTATTTACTCTAGAAGATTTTCTTTGAGAAGCGAGGACATGAACAAGTAAGTATTAAGATTGAATGTGGATGGCTAGAAAGGTAGGGGAAGACCGAAGAAAGTATGGGTGGAACGTGTGAATGTGGATATGCTTAAGGGAGTGAATTCAAATATGACGGCTGATAGAGATGTATGGGGGAGCAGCACATACTGTGCCCACCCTTCGGAGGGACAAGGGCAAGTTGATGATGATTCCAGAAGATTTTCGTGTTAATTGTGATTAAGATTAAAGGATATGTTAAGGTTTAAATAGTAATTACTTGCAGAATGGGTCCTCTAGACATGTAAATAACTGTCATTGCATAAATAGGAATGCATACGACTGACGCAAGTGCGACACACCAGCCAGCTACGCCTGACGCTTCACGCAGCGAGTAGCCGGCCACTACCTGAATAGAGAAATATCTGACATCAAATACCTGACTCGAAATAAAAAAAAAAAACAAACAAATTAAAAAAAAATAACTTGTAGGAATTGTATGAATTGCAAAATATAAAAACAAATACGGTGATTGTAATATTACTGCTCTAACGACAGCTTTTTATTCTAACTTTATTTAGGTTAAAATTTTTGGCTACATTTTGTAATATAAAGCATGCTACGATCCCTTAGTACCGGGGAACACTTGGCAACACCGCACAGAATTTGACAAGTTAGTAAACATCAGCTGCGAAAAACAACCGGAATATGTTTTGATCTTTGATTTAATGCGTATTCCTGGCGAGGAGCCAACATGCCATCTTCGTAAATACTTCCCTTGCTTCCATACCCATATACTGCGACCATACATTCTTCATTTACGCTTAATCCTAATGTTATATTCTTTAGTTAGTAATTTAATTCGTATTTAAATGCTCCTAAATTACAAATCTATTTTTTCTCAATGATAATCTTTAACAAAGAAACTAGTAAACGACATGACTGTAATTTCCCTTTTATACTTGTATTTCAACTGCCAAAAACACTTTTCTTAAATTATGCATTACAATGTCTACCTATAACATTTAATAAACATTTTTACCAATAAAATAACAGGCAGTATATATCTCCAGAGTATCAGCCAGAAATTCGTGAGTGGTCTGCCGGTCATGAAGAGCACGTCCATCCTGAGTTTATCCTGGCCGTAAGTGTACACAGCCGCTACCAGCTCCAGGATGCAGACAATAGGAACGCAAGCTATCGCCACGTGCGAGTCCAGCAAACCAATTATGTGTAGACCAGCCTTTACACAAACAATACTTAACTAAGATCTGACATAGAAAAGAAATTTTGTTTGATATGTAAAGGTGATTGCATTTTCGTTAATTAATTTTTGCCTAGATAATCTACTTTTAGTAAATTTTTATATTTTTATACAAATGTTTAACGACCGCCATATAGTGATGAAATAGTCCGGATAGTTGTCTTTTACTAAATCTTTACTAAGGGTCTCTGAGTTCGACATTAAGAAAGTAATTAAGAGTCAGATATAGAACATGAAATCAAGACGTTTAAACAAACACTTCCGCTTTATAATAATCATTTGATTGCATGTTATTATTTCCGCTTACATAAATGGATGAAGGACTTCGGTATTTTCTTGTATTGAATAACAACCGTATCGCAGTATTTAGAATTATTATTTACTAATAATGTAACTAATAAATCATGTAATTACTACTGTTTAGTATTTTATTACAAGTGTTTACGCGCATGTTATTATTAGCTATACTAACCTTGGTGTTACAGATAGTTGAAATGGAAAAAAGTACTAAACAAGTCATAAGAGTTATCAGTTTTCTGCGACGATGCAACTTTGGATATTCGTCTAGGAACCCTGTAATGACCGCCTCTATCGTCACAAACTAAAATAGAAAAAAAAAACATGAATACATAAAAATTATAATGTAGAAGTTTTATTCAGCAATTTCAAAGTGTATTGTTTGTATCGTTATAAATGTAAAAAAGAGAAATTTACCATAGTATCAATTCCCAGAAAAAATAGCATAACAAAGAAGGTGATGGCCCAGAAATTGGGTGCCGGCATCAAAGTGACTGCCGCTGGGTATGTGATGAAGGCCAGTCCCGGGCCCGCGGTGGCCACTTCGCTGACGGGCACTCCGGCGCGCTCCGCCGCGAACCCCAGCACAGAAAACACCACAAATCCAGCCCAAATACTTGTACCACTGTTCACTATTGGTATTATTATTGATGACCTAAAAACAAACTGAATAACACGATACAGCAAATCGGTGCAATATTTGATAAATACGCGTCAGAAGATCACAGGTCGTTTTACGTAGAGTACGAAAATGCTAAATATAAATATTTGTTGTTGCGTTAAAATAACTTTAAAAGTCATTGGTGAAATGTTACGTAATTATTTCGTAATTCTACTAGAAAATACAATAAGATAATATGTTTTAAAATACACCCACCTCAAGTTATCGTAGTGAAATTTATTGAAGCTGGCCATGCTCACTAAACCTCCCCATCCCGGACCAAGCGAGTAGAATATCTGTGTTGCAGCATCTGCCCATACCTGGAATCGATTGAAATATATTGGAATCGATATTATAATTTTAATATGGTGTAACGACAATGGCTTTAAAGGACAGTAAAATGCTGACAGAATCGAACCTTGGGATTCTTCAACTGGCTCCAATCAGGAAGTATAAAATATAATATCCCTTGACCGGCGCCGGGTAACGTCACGCCGCGTATGAACAGAGCGAAAAGCACCACATACGGAAACAGAACTGTGAAGTAAACAATCTGCAAAAATGAAAAACAATTGTATTTTAAACCTGGAATGAGGAATAAGGGCAACGTGCCAATGTGACATCGCATTACTCACCTTACCGACGCTCTTGACACCACCACAAATGCAGAGGTAGACGAACACCCAACAGATCAGGTTGCAACAGAACAGAGGCCACACGATGCCACCGATCTCGTGAATGTTTGGCGACATTTGTAGTAGACGTATACTGTAATATGAAAACATTTGGCTTACCAAATTTAATTTAAAGAGAATTGATTTCGATTAGATATGTCTCCAGGAAGGTACTAGTAAGTTTATTACATAGTTATCTCAAATATCAGTTTAGGTCACTAGAATTATTTAGAAACCAAACAGTAGTAATTTATTTTACAGTACACAAAAAATATATATTTCACTTACTGGAAGAATTCATCTTCGGGAGTCGTTACCGCTCCTGTACTTCCTATTACAGATGTGGAGTTTCCAGTTAACTAAAATTAAACAAATCAAATCAATGATAACATTTCAAAAGTTGATTGCAGAAAATAATTTGAATTACCTCAGAACAACGATCAGTGTTCCATGAGTTTCCACAGTTCTGCCAGGGCAGGGGAGAAGTGAACGAATGATAGATGTACAGCAAGGGGAATGACATTATAGCAGCGAAGTATGTTGTAGCAATTATGTTCACTAAGATCACTGCATATCCCGCTCCTGTAAACATAAAACATCTTTTAAAATTATTTATTCTTTCCTTTTAATAGACAGTTGGTAACAAGTTACATTTAGTAGTTAGTTACAAATTTAAGCAGAGGTAACTAACCTTTGAACAGTGGGTTGATGTTGAATATAGAAATACATCCCGCGCTCGCAAACTGACCCAGCGTCGTCTCCAAATACACAAGCGGGATGCCGCAGATGACAAGAGTCAGGAAATACGGTATGAGAAATGCACCTGAAAATTGTTATAAGTTCTTATATGTACTTTGCATTTTTAAATCTCATAACGTTTTAATATGATTGAAAAGCGTAAATTGCGTCGTATTGTACATTGAAACCGTAGTGTAAAAATCATACCTCCTCCATTCCTATAACACAGATATGGGAATCTCCAAATGTTTCCAATGCCGACGGCGTATCCTAAACATGATAGTAGGTACTCTAACTGGCTGCCCCAACGCTCGTGCGACCCACCAGCCATCGAAAACGTACTAAATAAACCGCCGGTCGTGACCCCCTAGCGGCGCGATTCTTTCTGATAGCAGCATTAAACTAATTGAGGATATGGATGCTTATCCACCTATTGTCCTTTGCCTTCAATCACAGCACAGGCGATACAAATGGAAAATTGTGTGCGTGTTATATTAGGATGATCTTTAATCTATTTGTTTCTACAACTAAAGGGAAGTAATTTAGATCAAATTCGTGCAAGATAGTTAGAGATAAAAGGTAATTGGTACTATGAAACCAATTGAGAATGTAACCCTTAGTTTACCCACTGAATCATCGCTGCGTCAATTTCATACAACCGCAAATCGTTTATTTTTACGAGGAAATCAGTTTTAGAGATAGAAACAATAAATTTCATTTTCTAGGAATTGCCATTTTCGTATCACTCATAGGTGTCACATGCACGACATGACGCTGAACTAGATTTTAGAAATTGTATACTCTACTTTTAGTAGAATTGTTTGCATAATTCGATTTGACGGTAAGGACTTTTTTGCATTTAACTTGTTAAATGATGAATGGAAAATCATATTATTTCAATAACAACTGCCACAATTGGGATCTAATAATAAACAAATGACGGAAGACATTTAAACAGGTCCCATATTGTGACATTTCTATGTATAGATTTGCTATTTCATACATCAGTTAGTCTCGCTTGTTAACATCGGAATGTAGAACTATGCGCCAAATAGTAATAATTATAAATCTCATAGGACAGACGAAGAATTTTATGCTTGTTAGTGTCAGAGGTTTCTCTTTGAAGTGTGAAGCATTGTTAAAGTTCCTAACTGGCTAGAATAACTCCTTGTTGAAATACTTAACGTTTAATAGCAGCGTAAAACGTTTTTTTAATTTACCATCAGAATTTTCTTTTACCATCAGAAAGGTAATTTGCATGTGAGTAACGAAAGCTACATTTTTTCAAAAAGCGGGTATAGTCGCGAGCAACAGCTAGTTTTTTTTATAAATTCCGTATAGTTTAATAACGTAGAGTATCGATGCCAAATCCAAAATGACAAGTCATATTTTCCGGTAGTTGCTGCCTTGCGGATCCTTGATCAGTGTCCGTTTTTCCTTTCACAACTTTTGTAGCGGCTTGACTGTACTGCAAACTCTGCAAGAAAAGTAAATATTGCAACTTAAGCTATGTAATATTCTGAACATATGATAGAAACATAATTTACTAGCTTTCGCCTGCGACTCCGTAAGCGTGGAATTAAGAAAAGACAGTGAGTAACCTACGTGTTCTTCCAAGATATCTTCAACATCTATGCCAAATTTCAACGAGATTCGTTTAGCCGTTTATGCTAGAAACTCTAACAAACATCCATCCATCCATCTATCGAAACTTTTGTATTTATAATATTAGTTATAAATAAGATGTACTACCTTTGTTTCATTAAAAGACAAGTGCATGTATCGTTTTGCCTAATAGGTAAATTTGGAGAAAAGATCTAGTTTATTTTTGCAAGTCTAGATTGGCAAATTTTTAAAGTTTCTTACAGAGAGATCTCCATCGCCGTAATATATAGCGTCATCATCAAGCGTGTCGTCCCAGTGGTAGTCCTGCGAGGCTTGCGTCCAGTCGGGCCGGTTGAGGGCGCACTTTATAGTCGCTATCGTGGCTCTTTGTTCCTGCGGCCCGGCTTTCATCGTGTGAACGCTCTTCTTATCGGCTTTGCCTTGCTTTATAGGGATGCTCTGAACGGTACGATGGATATTAATTAAGTCACAAGCTTTATCAATGACTTTAACACAACAATTACTTCATTACTTTTGATTTATAATGCGCATTAATTGTTGTACATTGTGTTCATTCGTGATATATTAGCACTTATAAATATACTTTTATTAATAGCCAAGTTGTAAGCTCATTTACAGTAGAATAAGTTAAAGTCCAAGGGAAACACAAAATATTTTAAGTTAAAGAGGTTTTAAGTTATCAAGGGTCTATGTTATTATTTTTTGAAGTTATAGTTTTTAAGTTACCGAGGTTTGAGTTATCGAGATTCTACTGCATTACGCACAAGTCAAGGTCAATTTTTTTACTTATTATTTTCTATAAATACTAATCTAGGCCCAATAAATACATAAGAAGAAATCTTTTTATTCTCATGAAAACTAATTTAAATATTTTCATAGTACAAATACCTTACCACTGTATACACGAGTCGCAAAGTGACAACGGTTCGGAATGTGTCCCTCAAGCCAAATAAATTGGGACAGAATATCCGCACAGCTGGTTCTTGGAAATTCATAATCTTGTTCCACGGCACTCTATTGCTCTCGAAGACAGTGTAGTGACGGATCTCACGGGAATCCACAGCTGTCAAGTGGAAGATGTGAGACCCGCGAGATGATGCTTCACCCTCTGTGGACGAGATAATCGTAACTACCACATTCGAACTATTAGTCATACCTCACTGGATATTTCTCATTTATATTAAGGATAACTGAGGATTTCTGAGTATCAAAAATATAGGATTGATATTTGAAATAAAAAAAGAATTAGAACAACTATACGTTTCCTTTAGTCCAAACTTGGCCTCGTTTATCTAATAACGGTTGTCGTTTAGATTTTATTTATATGTCCTCTGTTCCTGTTACAAACAGTAATTCATACAGAAGTGATTGTGTGTAAGGTGAGATAGATACGGGTAGCGGAAATCTGTAACATGTACTTGCTCCTCTGGGTAATGGGCGTTAGTTATGATGTTGATTGTGTGTTCCTTGAAATGAATATGGTTTTCTTTGTAAATCTAAGGAACGTATATTTTACCTAAGACGGATTTACTTTTGACCATAGAGCCTATTTTGCTCGGCTCCCACAAGTCGTCCTCCGGCGGCGGTAACATTTCTATCAATGACTCATTGTTGCGAAACATTAAAAAGTTTCGTCTCGCCGCGTCCAACAACGGGAGCTCTAGTTCAACGTGGAAGGTCATTATGGCACCCTACAGAAATTGTAAGTAAATGATAAATAACAGTCTCTTTGCCCTATCGTCAACGTTTTTAAAAAGTAGCTATTGCTCCCGACTTCGTCCGCGTGTAATTCAGAAATTTTGCCTACTCAGCGATAAAGTAGCTTTTTAATGGTCAAAGAATTTTTTAAATCGGCCTAGTAGTTTTTAAGTTTTTTGAATACATATAAAAATCCAAAAATCCAAATTTTTCCTCTTTATAATATTAGTATAGAAGTATAGGAATATGTAGATATAGATAACCGTAAAAAGTAACCAGCTTAGTTTTGTACGTGCTTGTAACAAAGCATTTAACGTAATCTTTTACCAGAAAATTTGTACTTTTAATATTAAAAGTGTTTATTATTTGAAGGACCCACATTTGATATATAACAGACCCTAAATCTGCGTCCAAAATTTTGACAGGAATATTTTTACTCACTATAAGAACTATATTGTTAATACTAACCTTATCCCCTTTTGGTGGTTGAGGGGCTGAAATTATTCGGAATATAGTAAAGTTGAAATATGTGGAGCGTAAGTCATCCGGATGTATTTCAGAATGTTCGTCTGGCCGATCCGTGGGAAGAACTTCTCGCATATCCAACCACTGCAGTCTGGGTAACTTTGACAAAGTGAAGCGTGCATATCCTGCGCATACCTTAATGTTTTTTTAACGTTAAAAAAATTAAACATGTAACGTTGATATTGCAAAAGGATACCATACAGCGCCATCTATCAAACAGCAATAACTACAACGTACTGCGCATGGATTTCCAGCGAGCTGTAGCGAAACAAGATTCGGCAACGTTGACATAGCATTTAATGTAGCTTCCAAATCACAGATGTCGTTGTCACTTAAATCTAATACTGTGATGCTGTCGGGTAATTTACTAATGCCTTCAACACCATCTGACGAGAATTTGTATTTGAATTAAAAAATATGTAAAAACTTTAGCATTATGGTATTTTTAAAAAATAATTGGTCATTCACTTTACCTATAACATTTTTTCCCAATCCTAAATACAACAAACCGGATGGTAAACCCGCTGCAAGGACTTCTACAGACTTAATAAAATTACTTTGCATTTCGAGCGCTCTCAGTCCACGTGGCATAAACCCGGCGTCGATGTCACTCAGGAAATTTCCACATAAATTAAGACGGACCAGTCTTCGAAATCCGGTTAACCCTTTATCTAATTTGGTCATCTAAAACACAAACTATGTTAGTAAATACGTTAAGAATGTCGTACACAAATAGGTATTGTTTCTGTTCGTACTTTACAATCGTTTACTCTCAAAATATTGACGTTCTTAAAATCATGTTCCAAAATCTTTCTATCGTCGTAAGAAACAGCGTTTTTAATTAAATTTATCAAGTCATCGGTGATGCAATTGTCGTTTTGCCAACATATTTTACTTTCTTCATTAGCAAATTTTTCATTATCCCAAACCGCAGTGGGTAATATGATTTCCCATTGATTTTGAAGGCTTATGTTTGAATGTTTGTCAAGAAAACCACCTAAGACGCTTTTACTAATTTTCTGATGTAATGCTTGCGAAAATAGAACTTCCGGGACTTCTCCGTGGTAGCGATGTTTGCAATATCGAGCTGCTTCTTGTTGAATAGTCCAGTCGACGCCAGTTTCTATCCTTTCTTGATAACCTGAACAGGGCATTAAAAAGAACAAATAAAAAAATAACAAATTTAAATACTTCAATTTTAATAATAACGTATCTCTTGTATCTTAAACTTTACAATTAACCATTTAGTTTTGTTTGCCTTTCTTTTACAATATATTTGTAAGAATTACAAAATATTTGTATGTACCTTCAACAGCATCTCCTGGAACAAAATTCAAACTAGCGTCGCTTATATCTGGTCTGTTCACTGGTACTACCACTTTCCGAGCTATTTCTTTGGCTTTTGGTGGCATATTTAAATAAATGTAGATGTAAATGAAATACAAAATATATTTATTTCAATTACGAACGTCAAGTGCCTTTTTTGACAATGATGTTATGTAAAATGAGATATTAAACCTTTGGCTCGCTTGCAATAGTAGCAAGACAGTATTCATAGTAAAAAACTAAATTTAGAAACAATTATAGTGTTACACACTGGTTCAATTATATTAAAAGTAACTAAAGGAAGAATTTTATTCAGTTAATAGTTAATAACAGGTGTTAGAAATAAGTTTCGTTGCGATAGAACATACTTGAACTTTTCGGGCAACATCTTTAATTGAAAAGAGAATCATTTGATACAATATTGCGATCTCGGTCGATAAAACAGTTGCGGTTTAGTTGTGTCGTACACTTACTAGATGGCGCTGTATCGATATTTTCTTGGTCAGTGCTATGATATGAGAATGTATGGAATGTATTGCATAGTTTGGTTTGGTGTATTTCGCGATCGCGATTGACGTATGTTGTTTATGTGTGCGTTGCGTACATTATAAAACCAGACTTACTTTGCTACTTTGCTATATGAACGTCATATATTTCATTCATTTGCTTCACTCTCTACGCTGTTACATGTCCGTAATGCCGCGATTGATTTGCTGCGCGTGTGTTTATATTTAAAAACTGCATTTTTTTGGAGCAACATGTGGCGAGCGCTCTGTGTTTTCTGTGATGTGACTTTGACATTTCATGTGACGTAATGTGCGGGAAATTCGAACTTCAAATAAAGTGCAATAGAATATGCGTATAGTTTTGTTGTTCAATAAATATATGAAGGAATTTCAAGTGAAAGTAAGACCGTGCGAAACTTGTTGATTGTTAAACGACACTATGGCCTTTCTGTGAATGGCAAAGACCATATACGTGAATTTTTTTATCGTGATATTTAAAAGTTTTACACCAGGAATATTCAGTTGAAGGTATTTTTATATTTTACTAGCAATACTCGTCGCTGTATTGTCAAAAACAGTCAGACAGAAATTCACGTCTAAATATTGAAAAATAAAAATTGTCAAATAATGCCAAGGACGACAACAGGTTTTTAAGATTACTGTTCCGTAAAATGTTTTTAATCTCTGACAGCCTATTGTATGACACGACATTGTAACTTGACATTTGTACTATTTAGTGTTTGTGCGCTTTAATTTGTTTTAATATAAACAAGTTTTAGTTCTTGTCCACCTTAATCTAAAAAAAATCTGAAGCAAAAGTTGAGTAGGGTAGGGATATTGTTTGTATGCAAGCAATTATAAAATTAAAAGTTGACATATAAAAAGTGTACGTTTCCACTGTCTAAGCACTTTAAAAATGTTGTTATCCCTCTCATTCTTCTTGGGAAAATAAAGACAAACGATATGTCATGACACATTGAACTTTCAAGGTCACATTTCTTTAAATTAATAAAAAATCAACTCCAATAAGACCAAGTCCAGGAAGAAAAGTAAAAAAAGGTGCTGTTATTTTTGACTATTTGCTTTACTTTATAATGAAATGTTGTCCCGTATACCGAAATAATTTTTCAATATGCATTTATTATTTTGAATAGATCATAATTCAACATAAGTTATACAAATGAGTTCGTGATGAAAAATGAATGTTCAGAAACCGGACATTTTAAAAAAAAATTAAAAGTCTATCTTTGCATGGATTTCAGGAAATGTATCTTGACTTCCGATTTATAAGATATCGCGTACTATCGTAGTAACCTAACGAAGGTTAAGGGCTTTTTTCTGAGATTAATATTATTTATACGGAAGTACAGACATTTCAATGTAACCTTAAAAGGTAATTGATAATGAAAAAATAAACATGACCTCTATCATCATCATCTTTGTTCTTTGACCGCTTTCTTTGGAAGACATTACGGAAGGCCTATTCCAAAATGGGTTCCGCCTTTTAGACTACGGGAGGTTACTCTGCTGTCGTTGGGTAAAAGATCGCAATTATCATACTAATATTATGAATGCGAAAATTTAGATGGATGTTTGTTAGAGTTTATAGCCTAAACGGCTGAACGGATTTCAATGATATTTGTTATAGATGTAGAGGATAGTCTGGAAGAACACATAGGCTAGTTACTTTTGTTTTTTTTTTAATTCCACGCGGACTGATTCACGGGCAAAAGCAAATCTGTATTAATTAATTTTAATTAAGAAATATTTGCTATTTTATGTTCCTAAACGTAATGAGATATCAACAATCATACATGATTGACGTCTAAAAATGTCTTTCAATTTCTCTTTGATGAAGTATATACTTCATATGAACGTGTTTGAGAATTCGTCTTATTACGTGTTTAATCCTAGAATACTGTAAAATAATGTTCAATACTAAACGGTATTCAAGTATATGTAATACCAATTAAAATGATCAATGTACATGCAATAAAAAGAAATTTTCCTACGTGGAATATTCATTGTCTTTATAGGACTATTTTCTATCCTTACTGTAAATAGGTAGAGGATATACAATAACTTGTGACTCAAACGAACCAATATAGGTAGCATATTTATTATATTTGTAACTAACAAAACTTGCAATTACACTTCATATCGCAACGGAGTCTTTTAGAAATTAAAAGGAACGGACAATGCTTTGCTTATAAGTTTCAAATGCTACGATTCGTGTTTAGATATCATGATTGTGTAAATTAGATTCAAGAATAGAGGAAAGCTTGCGCTGTGTGCTCTCTGCGAAGGATTACGTCCTGTCGTTATCTCATATCTTGCGCAGCGTTCTTAGTGTAACTGAAATAAAAAAAATAGATGATTTACACAAACTTATTTATATTTCATTTTACCAGTGTAATTACAATCTAAAATAACATAAACAGGAAAGTAAAATGTATTAAAGCGAAGCTAGTTTGCTTATGAGTAACCACTTTTAGATGGCATTGTATAAAATAGTTTTTTTTTTGCCTGAATGGCCACTGTTTGCCTTGAAGAGGCATTTACAGATTCACCGGGCTTGAGGTGCAGATGGCGCTTAGCATAAACCTCGTTTAAATGTCGTTCTTTTTGTTCCAGAATACCATCATGTTTACAATGACGGAAGGAGGTTTCGAGGTGGGGGATTTCGTGGCGTTCGGGTTCCTATGCGTGGCGTCCTGTGCCGGCGGGCTCTGGTACAGCGCTGTAGGCTCCCGGACTAAAGCTGTAGTCGATATAAGAGATTACTTGCTCGGCGGACGAGCGATGTCAACATTCCCTGTTGCTATGTCGCTTATAGCTAGGTAATTTGAACTTTTTGAGTATTTGAGTAAGCATATAATGCAAATGATTACTTTATTCCAGACTAAATGTTCCTGGCTAGTTACTACTAGTTACTAGTTAGTTACGACAATAATTAAATAAAAAAAATTATCAAAGGACTCAGTTGATTTTCAATGTATTCTATGATAGTTTGACAACATTTAAGAATAAATTGTTTAATTTAGTAAATATTTACCATAAGTAATATTATGAATGTTTCTGATGTAATCTGTACATGCTTTTTATTGGCATGCATATGTAAAACGTTAATTATAATAAATGGATATTAGCTTGGATGGATGGATGGATGTTTGTTAGAATTTGTTGCCTAAACGGCTGAATAGATTTCAATGAAATTCGGCATAGATGTACAGGATGTAGAGAATAGTCTGGAAGAACACATAGGCTATTCACTTTTTTTTTTAACTTCACGCGGACGGAGTTGCGGGCGAAAGCTAGTTTGACATATATATGCTGTGGCCGGTATGTCCTAATAAATAATAAACATAATTATGAAATCTAGGGTCTAATAATATTGTTTAAATCATCAGTTACGTGTCGGGAGTGACGATATTGGGAACACCCGCGGAGATCTACAACTACGGCAGCCAGTACTGGCTGGTGATCGTGGGAGTGACGCTCAGCTGTGTGGTGGTAGCGACTGTATACCTGCCAGTGTTCTGCACGTTAAGGCTATCATCATCATACGAGGTGAGTACAGCTCTAACTAGTGCTAATTAGCTATAATAGAATGTACGAAAAGGCGATGACATGAAGTAAGATTTGTACCTTGATAAATAATTTTCAAAAATTATCTAAATTCGCTTTTTTGTGTAGAGTTTTACAATTACAGTATACTTGTAATATATTTGCAATTTGAATGTCCATTTAAAAAAGATAAGTAGAGTCTAAAACTAGGGATATGTTTGGGTTATCTAATTATAAAGAAATCAATTTTGAAATTCTCATAAATAGAAGACAAGTCTGCAGTTATATTTTAAATTAATAAATGTTCAATATATTCACAAGTTACTATAATATAAGGAAAATTATGGTTTCGATTAAAAAATGTTATTCAGACGTGAACGTAGAGCATCTTATGTAATTATTTACATTGACATTATTCATGTAGACATTGGTCTTGTTTCCTTATTATTCAAACACGTTTTTGCGCATCTGAAATATTTTAAATTGATTTGAATAAATCTCGTGATTTCTCGTAGTAAGCCTCGTGGCTTAATAACCTTAAGATTTATCATTAAAATGTATCCAAATATTCATATAGAGAAATATGTCCTTTGAATAAACTTAGCGCCAACTCGTTATCAGTATTCAAATATCGTATCCGAAATCCGAAATCAGATAACGGATAGGATCTGATTACCGTAATCGATAAAAGAATCATCTCGCATAAAAAAATGAGTCAACTAAGGTAAATTATACTATACCATTTTTCTTTAATATTCTTTTCTTACCGTTCCGATGTTTATGTTACATTTAAGCAGATTTACAGTTAAAATAAATATTTTTTATTAGTAATCAATTATGCCATATCATCTAAATGAATCCCTCCGTCTATTAGTAAGATCGTTGTGAAAAATAATGCCATACTTTTTGACGAATAGAACGCTATTTAGTCATATGTGATATTTGGAATTAAACTTGGAATTGAGAATAAACAGATAAGCGTTAAACGAGAAATTATTGAGAAAAGAATTTAAATATGACTGAAAATAAAGATGCATGGAAAAGCAGATACCTTACAGACTCTCCGTTTGGGTTAGAGCAGATTGGAATAGAACTTCAAAATAATCTAACGTAATATGAAATTATTGTTACTATGTAGGGTTTGGACAAGGCTATCGTATCGATAAAATCGGCCATGTTGGTCGACTCGTACAGTTATCTCAAGTGAAGAGATCCGTGTGTAGATATTATCAGAGCGGCAATCTATCAAGTCTCAGCTTGTCAGCGTTCTGGACTTTGTACCGAATGATATTTAAATATTACATCCCCACAAACTTATTTGTGTAGTCTCTAAAAAATTATAGATACTAATGTTACCTATAATTTAAGATGTCTCTCGAACTGTTTTTAATTTAAAGTTATTTTTTTTATTAAGATTCGATCATAAACTATAATTTCTATGGATGGTTTTAAGGTTATTTTAAATAAATTTTAATGCATTTAAGGTAATACAGAATCTCTTTAAAATGCAGTAGTATCACAAAGACCAGAAATATAAATCTTAAGTGTGGTGAAAATGGAAACAGTTTTAAAATCTTCCATTGAGGACATTAAACTTTGGGCTGTATGCAGTTGAATTATAAATCGTTATGAATTAACTACCTTGAGTTTTATGGCCCGCGACGATTGGTGCTAAGCTTGTAACAATGAAAATCTTATCAAGCGGCTCGAGCGAATAACCCACAAACAGCATCTTTATGTTTGTTTAACATAGCCTCGGTAGCACTATAACAGAGAAGCTGACTGTTACAGATTTGATTCCATAACCTCTTGTAAATGTTACGTTTAATCTCTTTGACGGTACTTTACGGGAAAGATGATAATAGAAAAGTCATTATTTTAAGCGTAATGCACTTAATAGGGTTTGTAACATACAATGTTAATATTTCGCCTCAATGAAATGGCGCCACATTTTGGCAAAGAATCTTTTTGGCAGCTGTTTGCTCTCTGTTATCGATTAACTAAATAAAAAAGTAATTATCAGTTACAATTAATAAAATCTTATTAGTTTTGTGTCCGTATCTTTTAAGTAATTGTGAATGGATTTTTATTTGCATTTTGATGTACTTAATCTATTATCTATATCTATACTATTATAATAAAGCGTAAACACACACTTCTTTATCGTACGTCATGCTTTAGGCTATAAATTTTCACGCCATTAAACTTAGGGACTAAATATTTTGGATAAAAACCCTAATGTGGGAAAGAGACCATAAGTTGCTGCCAACATCAAGAAAGCAAAATTGCCATAGTAAGGTAATTGGTATTTTGACGTTTGCAATTGAAATGTAAACGATAAAATAAAATTTTCATAATTTCATACGGATGAAGCCGTAGGGGAACAGCTAGTGAAATAATATTTAGATATGTATGTAAGTTCTATTATTTTGCCTTTATCGCGAAATGATTTTATGTTGTGCACTAAAATTTTAGTGTACATTACACGAGTAAGTGTGTACTTATAAACGAATGTTAGTTGAATAAAAATTGTTCATGCATTAAATTTGTAATTTCCAATCTCACGCGTTCTTACTCGTGACAAGAAACGTGACCTATTGTGTCTGTTAGAGAAATATGACAAGACTTTTGTCAGAATGTTAATTCAACCATAGTAAATCTGCTTAAATTAAAAATAAAACTCCACAAGGTCAAGAGAAAAGAACAATTATGTTAGAAATTGAACAAATATATAAAGAATTAAAGAAGGAATGGAATACTACTCACATGTGTATATCATCAACTTTCGGAGCCTAATATATGATGATGAATAAAATAAATCAATTAATCTATCAACTAATATCTCAGTTTTTTTTAATAGAAATAGCAAAACAACAATATGCTATCGTATATTTCTTTCGCAATGTTTGTGTAAACTTTTCTTTTTTTCCGCAGTATTTGGAGTTACGGTTCAATCGACATGTCCGCGCCGTGGCATCCATTCTGTTTTTATTGGACGAGGTGAGTTCGAATTTAATGCAAAGTTTACACTTTAAAATGTTAAATATAATTCTGTTTGTTGCATTTAATTGTGGTTTCTGCAACGTGGGAAAGATTTTTCTATAGGGCCTCTGTCTCCTGTAATTTTACAGAAATAAAGATTATCACATAGCGATAACGATTTTTATCTACTGCACCAAGTCACTTGAAAGAAAATGTTATAAATCATACTAATATTTTAAATGCAAAAATTTAGATGAATGGATGGATGTTTGTAAGAATTTGTAGCCTAAATAGCTTAGCGAATTTCGATTACATTGGGTATAGATGTAGAGGATAGTCTGGAAGAACACATTGGCTACTCACTTTTGTTTTTCTATTCCATGCAGACGGGGTCGCGGGCGATACCTAGTTTCTTATAAAATGAAATGACTGAGTGAATTTATAAAAGATGCCTCTTTATTGAACAATCAAATCAATTAAGGTCGAACTCTCAGAAGAGTGTTGCTGATGTCATTGGGTTATTTTTAAACGATAATCGCCTTTAAACTTGATGTGTTAAGATCTAAATTGAATCCAGTTTGCAAATATTTGCTGTCCGTGCACTTGACTTGTGGTTTGCAACGGTGCGGTAACCGCTTATCGATAGAGAACGATTACATTATGCAAACCCGTTAACCATTTTATCTATAAACCATTTCAGAATTAATTTGGATAAGCAAAAATGTTTCGAGATCGGTTATTGGGCTCGGCTGTAAAACAATATCAGTGTTCAACAATAGTTTTGTTTTAACACGCTATTTGATGCAATTCAACATGTATATACTAATAACCTATTAATCACCGTTTATCTTAGTCATGGAATTTTCTCATTGTTTTTTGTATTTCATGTTCTGTTTTTATTTTAATCTATGTATGGTACAAAGGTTTTTCTGAGAGTTTTTATGTGTATGTCAATACAATAAGTCTTGTTTAGCTGTGGATTAAAAAATTAATAGGTTATTAAAATGTTTTTGTAGAGGTTTTTCTTTAAACAGTAACAATATTAATTAAATTACAGTTGATTTTATTTTTAATTTTATTCTTGATGACTTTCAAACAGGTTTTAATCATGGTAATTGAGTTTAAGTGCATTTTTTGTTGATGGAAAAAACCACTTGACCTATGTCGTTATCAAATGTCATTATTTAATGCCATTTTGTAGTCTTTGTCAACTTGTACAGTAAAATATGCTATCTCTTTCATTCTTTTAGAGGAAAATAGAGACTAAATATTTTGTAATAATGAAATTCAGTTGTTTCAATAAAAACTTAACGGTAAGGTTAAAAAGTCAGTGTACCAAAAATGTATATTGACCTCAACAAAGCGTAAGATACTAGTTATTTTCGTTATTAACAATGCAAATGATGTCTTACTTCTAAATAATTTGAAAGTGCTCAATCTGCAATTCTATTAGAGGTCGTTCGCTGACTCGCGCGTGGACTTTGAACGTCGCCGGACAACTTCCTTTACAAATATCGTTTCTCTACTTACACTGCGATATATCCTTATTACATACATTTTATAGTTATTTCCAACCATCAGTCTCGAATTCAATATCTGTATCTAACCTAAGTAGAATTTAATGTTTATGTCCTAACGGAGGGAAAAAAAATTATTAATCATTTTAATCTTACGTCAATTTTTTTAATATTTATCTCTGCATGCGTTGAGAAAGTTGATAAAAGTACTTTTGTATTTTAGATTTCATTTTTTACTTTATTTTTTAATTTAATCAATCAACGGTTTTGGGACTTGGCACGCACATCGCTAGACTTGCAGAGAGAATATTTATTTTAATTCAATTTGTATGAGTCATACATGACGTGAATCGATTTGTTGTATTTGATAGTTAAATAAACATTCCAAGTAAAGCCTTTATCAATGAATTATAGCATATATTTATAGACTTCAGAGATAACTTTGTATAGAGCATTAAATTAAGTTGACAATATACGGTGTAACAGTTTCTTTCGCTACTAAAGTTGGTTGACTTTATTTACTTACAAGCTTTCGCCCGCGACTCCATCCGCGTGGAATTAAACCAAAAGTGAGTAGCCTCTGAATTCGTTCAGACTATCCTCTACATCTGTACCAAATTTCATCGAAATCAGTTCAGTCGTTTGGGCTACAAACTCTAACAAACATCATCTCAACTTTCGCATTTATAATATTAGTATGAAGTATGATATTACTCAGTGTTAATACGAAGTCCTATCTGTACAAGATAACTGTAAATTAGATTGTTTACTTTACAAAATGTCGGTATGTAATTCTATTTATACGTGTCAATTACGAGCCAAGGATGTGCGCGAATCCGGACTTTGTCTCAGGTCGACGTGGCGGGTTCACAACAATGGACAATGGTCAATTGACCATTTAAAAATGTTATGATCGTCAACACATAAATTGGATCTCAGTATCCAAGGAATCAAACAATGCGTTACGCGTTGACAAGAAGTTATAGTTTCTATAAAATTGTGACCTTAGTAGTAATACAAGCGAATAATGCTTTTATCATTTACAGAAAATGATGGCTGAAAAATGTTTTCTTTTTAATACGAAACTTTTAGGCATAGCACTGGTATTTCGGAAAGTATTGTTGTTCAAGATTCCAAGTTATCCGTCGGCCTCCGTGCCGTCGGATACTTAAATGAGCGTTTATAATAATTGGTAATAACAGGATTAGGAAGAGGCAATTTTGTACTATATTTTTTTTAAATATTTTTGTAATGAATAGCTATAGTTACTTATTTGAAAATCTAAAAAAATGAAACAACTTTATACGGAGATACGGGAGCGATTTATTAATTTGTTTTCCATTAACAGGCTTCGTAAAACATTTTTTTTACAATAAGTATTGTTTATTGCAGGTATTATTTCTGCCTATGGTCATCTATGTTCCAGCTTTAGCATTTAATCAATGTAAGTACATAAACGAATTATTAATATTTTGTTTCTCTAAATTTATGATCGGGCTACTATTTTTTTTATAAGATTGATAGATGCTGATTGACATCATTTGAGGGCACTTAAAAATAGACTTGTTTTATTATAGTAGAGCCAATTGTAGTTCGTAGTTGTACTATCAAGTTATTTTTACACACTAAATATGAAGGTGATTTTTAATTTTGTTTTTGTTACGTTTTTTCTTTTTTTTTCAGTGACAGGGTTTAATGTATACGCCGTCGGTGGCGTTATGGTAGCGATATGTGGTCTTTACACAGTATTAGTGAGTATTATTTCAATTTTTTTATTTATGTTTTTCTATCCTACGTCTTCGTCCCTTCCGCTTATCTCCCCTGCCTTATCGAGTTTATAAGTTTACTATCATCGCATTAAAGTTGCTAAATATGAATACTAGACGAATTTAGACATATTTAGGAATACCGTCATCTACTAAGTAATTTAAACATTAGATCTGCGTATTATGTTTTCTACGAACAATGTTGTTACCAGGGCGGTCTGCGCGCGGTGGTATGGACAGACTCGGTGCAGACAGGCATCATGTTTATTGGAGTGATACTGGTGGCGGCGGCGGGCACCATCGCGGTGGGCGGTGTGCGCGCCATCCTCAACACCGCGGAGGAGTCTGGTAGACTTAGCATCTCCAAGTTAGCATATTATTCTTTGTCCATATTAACTAACTAGATGGAGTGAAGCAGTGATCCGAAATGAATCTTGACCATTGACATCACAAGTCTCTACTTTTCTTGATTATGCTTGATTCTACGTTAGGTCTTTTTTATCCGTATTAAAAGTAGTCTAGTCTTACTAAGTAAAAGATTGGCGATTATTATTTCTAGTAATATATTCGCAGTTGGGACTTTTCGCCGTATGTGCGGCAGACGGGCTGGGGCTCCGTGGTGGGCGGCTTCCTCTACTGGACCTGTTTCAACTCCGTCAACCAGACGATGGTGCAGCGCTACATAGCGTTGTCCACCAAAAGAAAAGCTATCACGTGAGCATTTAATTTATTCAGTCAATCTCTATTTATTGATGTAAAATAATTACAAAGTGTTGCTAGTGAAGGAAAAGAAAAAATGCGATGCTAAGAGTACAAACTACAGGTGATTAGTATTTGCAGGAATTTTAATCGTCAGGATATTTTGCGTTGTCGAAGGTGTCAATTGGGGTCAGTCTTGTGTACTGTTTCCTGTTTCTGTTTTCAGTGCATTAGCGATCTTCTGCGTGGGCGCGATCCTGGCGATCTCGCTGTGCGTTTGGTGCGGGCTGGCGGCGTGGACCGCGTGGGTGCAGGGCAGCTGCGCGCCGGCCGGCCGCCCGCTCGTCGACGACCGCCTGCTGCCCGCCTTCGTCACCTACGTCTCCATGGCCCAGCACCTGCCGGGCCTTGCGGGAGTCTTCTTAGCTGGTGTGTTCGGAGCCGGTTTGAGGTTTGTAGAAGTTTTTTGATAGCAAGAGAATAATATTATCGTTTAACAGTACTATAAGCTTTATTGTAGTAGATATTTCTCATAATAATCAACTCTACTCTAATACTTTTCTTAGGTAACCGATCATCGGCGATGGAACGGTCTGTCCTCGGTGGTATTTCCAAACCAGTACAACTTAGGGTTCTTCAAGAAGCGGGCCTATTTTTTACTCAAAGGCAGGCAACGCATTTGTGATTCTTCTGGTGTTGCGGGTATCCATGGGCGACATTCATCACCTTAGTGTTTCCGCCGTTTGTTCGCCACCTTTTATTGTATATAAAAAAATGTATGTGCAAACTGTGATATTTATTTCAGTTCTCTGTCGGCGGTGCTGAACGCGTGCGCGCTGGTGGTGGTGGAGGACATAATGCACGGCTGGCTGCGGCTGCGGCTGCGGCCGCTGGCGGAGGGGCTGCTGGCGCGCGCCGTCACCGCCACGCTGGCACTGCTCTCGCTCCTCATGCTCGTCGTCATCACCAAGCTCGGCGGCGTCCTCGGTCAGACATTCTTATTATAACCTATAAAGTGTTTACATATATATTTTTTAAAACCTATAAAGTGTATAAAATATAGCGAAGATACTATACTTACTTTCATAGCAACTTTTGACTGTAATACAAAAATTGTCTTTGGTAAAATTAGCTTGAAAAAAGTCAATGACCTCATAAGCGTCGAGACTTGCGTTATGCTTTACGTAATACATACGTGGCTGTCACAGACAACATTCTATGTTTTCATAATTCGTCATAAAGAAATCTGAACGTTCAATGTTACGTAATGACTAGTTGAGTAAAGTAAGTTTGTTACGCTGAGAAAGTTGCAATTGAAATTGGTGTTTAGCAGGAAGAAAGGTTTATGAAAACATATATATTAAATGAAAATCATTTTATTTACAACCAAGAGTACAATAGACATACAATAATTCGAAAATAAAATAGAAGATAAAAAAGAAAGAAAAGAATAGGGCTACTAATACTTTACAGAATTGATTGAAGGTCCCGTACTATTATCAACAAATATTTCACAAGCTAGCAGGACGAGGATTGTGTAACTGTGGAAGTTGTGTGTCAGGCGTGGCGACGGCGCTGTCTGCGATCGCGGCGAGCTCGACGTGCGGCATGTTCACGCTGGGCATGGCGTGCTGGTGGGTGGGGCCGCGCGGCGCGCTGGCGGGCGCGGTGGCGGGCGCGCTGGTCGCCGCCACCGTTTCCTTCGGCACGCAGGCGGCCGCCGCGCGCGGCCTGCGCCAGCCGCCCATGAACTACACCATGCACTGCACTAATTCTACCTTCCCGCCCGCTTCCTACCTGGTGAGTGATCTAAAAACAAGTCTCAACTTCGATAAAGATATCGCTGAGAGAAAAATTGACAGTTTTTAATTCACAATATGAAAAATGTATTTAAAATGAAAAGAAACGGGCAATCGACCAAAGAAGACGAATAAGCGCCTGTCCCACCAAATTGTTAATTGTCTGATAACAATCCAACAATTTGCTCTGTCTGTAACTTACTAAACTTACAGCGTGTAAGTAACTCTATGTAAGATATAGCTACTGTGACATAGTTGTATCGCAGGACCCAGAGGAAGTGTTCCCGCTGTTCCGCATCTCGTACCACTGGATAGCGCCGCTGGGGCTGGCGACGACGCTGTGCGTGGGCAGCGCGGTGGGGTGGCTGCTGGACGCGCGGCGCACGGTGCCGCTGGACGCGGAGCTGTTCACGCCGGCAGTGTGGCGGCTGCTGCCGGCGGCGGCGCACGACAACGCCGGCATCACGCGCAGGAACCTCGCCAGCAAGGCCGCCGACACCCCGCCTGATGTGCCACTCATAGTGGGACAAGCCCCTGATAAGGTAAACGATAACTCCACGTAATGCTCTAAAATAAAAATAAAAAAACATTAAAAATCATGATTGAACCTTCATACTATCGAGTTATTCACTTATGTGACATTTTATAATAATCTAAGCAATAGATGTCTAGGATAATATTTGCTCGAATTTTAAATAAGGCGCATAAAATAAACTTTTTCTTCTGAGCTTTTTACACTTTTTTAGCAATGTTATGTAATTTTGCAAAATTAAATTGCAGATTGAAATGAACGGAGAGTCGAGCAGGTGAAGATTGTGTTATATTTGTACAAATGTACATATTGTTCATGTACTGGTAAAGTGTAAGATTATTTGTTTAACATTTATTACAACTTAATGACTAATTTGTTAGGATATGAAGACGTTATTGTCGTCTTTAAAATTTAAGTTTATCTAATAAGTTATGTTTGTAGTTTAACCTAACCTATGTTAATAAATAAGAATTTATTCAACGCATATTTCTTGAATAATGATTGTTAGTATGCACAATTGTGCATTTATTTATTACTAAATATTAGTAACATAATAAAGTTCCTGTAAAATCTTTTATTTTATAAATTACAGAAATATAACATCAATTTTGAGACATGTGAGTAAAAAAAATAATTAGAAAAAGATTTATACGAAATTAAATTTTTAAGGTTATATTAAAGTACTAACTTCATAACCTTTCGTTATATTTACAAAATAATTCGTTTTTTTAACGTATTAATTAAAATATATTTATTTAGTGTAGTATATCCAAGCATTTGTTAGAAATAAGTGCTATTGCCTGGTGTTTAACTCGAATATAAATCATTTGTTGCCCAAAGTGTTATATTTAGTGCAAAACTGGTGCTAAAACGTGGTTATGATTGAAAACCGCAATTAGTTCTTTGTGTATATTATTAAATGTAATTAAAACTATGAATAGAAAATAAAATCATGTATGTTAAATAAAATAAAGCTGAATTCAAATGTTTAGACATGTTTAGATATATAGGTCCTGTCCCACCACTGGCAGATAGAGGCTAAGATAGCTTAAATGATGCCGCGCCACGCCAAAGTCCGATATTTCTATAACATATTTTACATGTTGGATTATTTTGACAATTTACAATTTGGTGGGACAGCCCCTTAACAATGTTATTTATCGATACGTATTTGGAAATTACGAGGACCAAGTAATTTGTTTAATGTAAAGATTTTTTCCAAAAATATAAGTAAAAGCATAACTTATTCAGTTACTTCGATTATGTAAATATTACTACACTTTAAATGTTTTGGAGTACTAGTTAAATAAAGTTTATATGTATAACCTTTAATCAGTATTTGCCAGTACTTAATATTGTGAATACTTATAAAATTACTTTGTTATTTTTTTACGATTGTAAATAAGTGATTAAATAAGATATTAAGATACAGTTTTTTTATTTTCACTTGAATTGATGTGCTTAAATTGGAATTCCCTAGGGGACAACTGTCCCCTTCTCCCCTCTACCACTCGCAACGAACATGGTAATAGGAAACATAATTTTTTATTTGGAAAAGAAAAAAGAGGTAAGTTGGTACGCTTGTACTGTCTTACTGGAGTTAACGACTATAATAGAATGGTTTTATTGCTAAAAAAAACCGGTAGCCAAACATATTGCTATATCAATTATCTATACTACTTAAAGATTTGTATTTTTGTATACATTGAAATAACTCAAAAACTACTGGACCGATTTCAAAAATCACTATTAAAAAGCTAAGTTATTTTTTTTAATTACACGCGGTCGCAAGCATTACAATATCAATTTTGTAATAATATTCTGGCAGTAGAAAAAGTCAGCTAAACTCTCAAATCTTTAAATAAAATTATAGAAGGCAAAGAAATTATTAAGGCGTAGCATTAGTACAACTTGCAACAATTTCGTGGCATCCAACTTTTGCAAAGTTTTGAATTGCGAAGGCAAGCGGAATTACGTAAATAGTCAGGTGCTACCGGTGGCAACTGGCATCGTCACTGCACGATTGTAGGGGTGGCAAACGACACATTGAGTAAATGTGAATTTTATTATTAAAAAAAGCTTACTTCGGAATATGATCGCTGACCCACCACTGACTATTAATTTGTGAAAGAATTTTTATAAATAGAAGTAAAATATCAAAAACTGAATAACTAAGTGGACAGAACTTCTTTAAAACATATAAATAATAAAACGAAAATATAATCCGGAGCAGCATTATTTTTTGTACACATTCAGTATTTCTAAGCAGACCATATTTACACGTGTGTCAGTTTTGACCATCAATTGAAAAAATGTATTAATGAATCTCTAAAGTAAAGCATTGACAACCCTAGGAAAGGGTGATTTAAATTCGGCCCGCGTCGCCGCTATTAAAAGTCCCACAAAACGAGACTTTGTACGCCTCGTGATGACGCGAGGACGACTCCAGTCGGCGGCTTGCAGCCTTCGTTACAGGTGAGGAAAGAAAACGGCTTATAAGCTCTACTGATTAGGTTCTTTTCATTCCCAGATCCTAGACTTTGTAATGTATTTGATTATGATAGATTCTACCCTGTTCTGACGCTGTTTTTTCCCCAAAAAAATAAGTGATTTTTTTTTGTCAACGGAGAATGATTTCTTTCCTTGAAGGAATTACTAATATTTATTGGATAATTTTAATCGTTAAAGCGATGGGTAAAGGTAGCAGTTGCTATAAAATGAAAATTGAAAGATACTTCAAATCGAGCTCAACAATTTGATTAAAAATTGCAGTTGGATAGAACGATTTTATCTTCTTTATAAGTAGTTAACGAAGAATTCGTAGATAAATACATAAATTTCCATCTGCAGGCTTATTTTGAGGTCGTAAAATTGTAAATTTCTGCCAAAAACCGTCGTAAACCGATTGCGGCGTAGAGAAGCTTCGCGAAAGGAGAAAGGATCGTAAACTGAATTGATCTAAGACGTCTAGTTAAGTACAAAAGCCAAAAATTAAATGCGTTTTAAGGGAACGCTATTTTACGACCTGCTTTTGTTTTATTCTCAATGAAACGGAACCAGAGCTTTACATTTCTCAATTTTCAGTTTATAAAACGTTTACCGCTACCCGTAGTCATCCACAACAACTGATTAACTGCAAATAAGTTAAAATCTTTTGTGAAGAAGAGAATTATTATAATTTAAGATATGGAAAACATTGGCAGAATGTGATAAATACAAGAAAATACATTCGAAACTTCATAATTTTTTTATGTCATAAAATGAGAACAAGCAAACCGCTGCATGAATTACTCGAAATAGGTAAGCGACCGCTACCCAAAGACTTACGCAATTTCAAATGCGAGATATTCCCCTTCCCACCTATGTCTAATCCACTTCCCTTTTCCAAGAGAAATAAAAAGTGGGCCTTTTAATGTGCGTATGTTAAAACAGATAGTAAAACAGTTGTACGAATGTTTGTTTTGAAAATCTTACGAGTAACTAAACTATTTACTGTAAAACATTTTAATGCCGTCATCATTTGCCCTGAGAAATGTTATTTGTGACATAATAGTGGTTGTTGTACCACCCGCTGGTAACAGCGCGGATTTTATTGTGCTCGTAAAAAGCACTCGGCCCATCGGCATCGCCGCGACGCCCAATTAATTAATGAGCCAAGTTGAAAATGAATTACGCCATCGGGACTTGAAGGTGTTTCAAATAGCGGCACTCAAACATTTCTTAGTCGAGACTTGAGGCATAAAATTTTAAGCGCCCAGCCGTCTTGCCTTTATGCTAATACGAATAAAACTTATTTGTTTTTCATTGCAGAATGTTTTTTTTATTGTTAAGTGGTAATTTAAGAGTATTATAAATTAAATAATTAAGTTACAGTCTGGTTAAGTGTTCTTATTTATGCAAATCGTTATTCGTTTCATTCATGACATGAAAAATAAGCTCGATGTTGTTTTGTAACAATTTTATTGGCAGTTTAATTATTTTTTTTAATTCGTAAACATCAGTGGGATAGACCATTTTCTATGAACAAACATTTTAATGGATAGGGTTTTTTTAGTGTTGGAATAAAAGTCGTCTACATCCAATAGTTTTTAATTTGTTTGAAAACAATAGAATCTTTTCTGTAGCTAATATGATTAATTTTTTAAAGTAATTGGACTACGATTTTTCAGTTTTTCTTAACTGGGTTTTATTGGTTTTTCAGACATTTCCATCCATTACCATTGTAAGGAGAAATACAAAAAAACTATCCAACGATAACAATAATTTGTATTGTAATGTATAGATACATAAGTGGTAAAACTACATAGGTATATTTTTTCGTATATAAGTTGTAAATGAAAACGAAGGAAAACAAATTAAGAAAAGCCTAATAGCGCCTTCGCAGAAACATCTTAATCTCAGTCCGACAAAGCGAGTCCTCCCCGCGGCGGTCATTGGTCAGATATCGTCGCACGTCTACGCCCACAACAAAAAAAAATTGACACGAGCCAACAACGTGAAGATAAACTTTATTTTCATGATACTGATGAAAACGTTTTTCTTTAAATTATAAATGTATACTTATGTATCTGCACATAAACTTGAGTATTACTTTTAAAACTGAAAATAAGTAACAGAAACTCGATAATTGTAGTGTAAAATATACTACATAATTATTTAGATACTTGTAAATGTGGAAATTCGCTAAAGTCATTTTATGCGACCATAATGTTCTTTGTAGCGGTTTGTTTGTATATTAAGCAAGGCGCCGAGTCACTGAGCTAGCCTAATCGTGTGATGTGAGGCGAGCGCTACGACGTTGTTTTAATTGAGTTTCCCATCCCTCCAACCCCTTGCATTTTGCACCTTTGTGGCGAATGTCGTATAACGAACGTATACACAATCGCGATGCTAAGTGCCGGTTAAGAGATGCGAGGGTAGTTGAACTTTTTTCCGTTTTTTCAGTCATTTTGCTACAAGTATTAAGCTATAAATTAAAAATATTCTGTCGTTGTTTTAAAATAGTTTATGAGTAATATAAAAATTTGGCACTCCGAGTAAGCAAGCTTTAATTCAAGTCAGACTTAGCTATAATATCTAATAGCTTAATTTAAACAATTAACTAATTTGAATCTAACAACAGTGGTAAAAAGTTTCTGTATACCTGAAAATGTATGTAACTTATTAAAAACTATATTTCTTTAAGTTTGAATATCTAATTTCAATGTACAAAAGCAAAAGCGCATAATAAAACAAAGAAACCAAGATTCATTACTAATAATTCTTTCCGCACTTGTCGGTAGATGGCGCTGCAAACACTGTCGCCTCATTTAATCGCCACATTACATGCAAAATGCATCTCTTACATGTAAAACAGTCCCGGCGGGTATTTAAATTTTCGCCTTTCCCCGTAATTCGTGGAGTGCAGACAAAGGCTTTCGAGGAAACACCGTTAATGTGTTACCTGATGCGTTTTACTTTAATATATGTACCTTCGTATTTGCGACACAAAGAAAAATTTCACTGCAACAGAATGGCATTTAGCGCCTGCAATTTTTAGGAGGCAATTATGTGAATACCGGAACACGTAGGCTGGAGAATTTATGTTTTTTAATTCTGATATTCTTTTTCTATATGTAGTTAAAAGTTAATTTATTCTAGGACTGTCAATTATTACTTTCTTTTGTATTTACTATCTATTGCATAATATCTTAAAAAAAAATTAAAACATTCTCAAATAGTTACGTTAACAAAAGTTTATCTCCAATAGTAAAAAACAATGATTTAGCATTCGCATAAAAAGCCACGAGCTTTTCCCGTTAAGAGCTTAAAGCATTATTAAGTCCTTACGTGGGGTTCTAGGGAGCTGCGATAAAAAGAAAAGGCTGTGAAAAAACCAACCAAGAGTCAACAAACGAATATCCGACATGTCAAACTAAATCTCTGGCCGACAATACGAATGGCAATAAAATCCACCGCCTGCCGCCCGTCCTACGAACAGAATTGGAGACCGGTAAGCTTGCAGCCCCTACTACGATGCTGATGGAAATATACCCAAGTAAAGAATAATTAAAGAGTTTTGAAGGATTTCATCGCATTTTTAATAAATTATAACTCTATTAATATTAAATGCTCAAATTCTTGTGACGATATTTTCCGTCAAAAAATTGTGCCTATTGAAATTGAACTTTTCCTTGTTTATATGACAGCTGGGTTCTGGTTTAAAAATTATGTATAGATATTCAAAATTAAATAAATCACCAGAGTAATATATGTATGTAAATATTATTAACGACACTATTACGTTACTTCACATTTTACAGAAAATAACAGAGAAAAAAGTCAAAATAGTAGGGGTCGGCAGTTTAGATGCGATGAAAACGTCTACATGGTGCAGT